CCGAGCAAGCAAGCTGCTGCCTCGCACGCCCACCCACCGCTGCCTTGCCACACGACCCCACCTCGCCTACCACGCGTGTGTGCCCCACCTCCTCGCCAGCCGATGCGCACTGCTGGCACCTCCTTGCCAGCCCTTGCCCACCACCGGCACCTTTCAACTGGCCCCCTGTTGAAAAAGTTTGAGGACCCCAGTCCTAGCTGGTAATATTATCTGCTCAAATTCCATAAAACACAATACTTGCATCTCTCCCTATTATTGTTACATACTTTCAAACTGTTCCTCACAGCAACTCTGAGTGAAAACCCTCCAAAATCTCCTGTCCTCAGCAGTCCTGCTCAGCTTTTGTAAACTCAAGATTGTGCCTTCTTTTATGAAATTGGTCCCCCTCATAGGTGCCTTCCTCTTCTTCTGCCTTTGACTTTCCTTAGCATTATTGTCTTCTCCAGAGAGATTTGCCTTCTTGTGATGTGCCTGAACTGGGGTACCTTCAGTTACATAATTTTTACTTCCAGGGGAACTTAGGGCTTGATTCGATGGGCTCAGTGCTCTTTGACATTTTTATTAATGATTTGGATGAGGAAGTGCAGGGAATGATTATCAGATTTGCAGATGAAACAATGAGTGGGATTGCTAATGTCCAGGAAAACAGAAGATTCAACTGCTCTTGATAGGTTGGATCATTGAGCTGAAAACAACAGAATGAAATTTAATAGGGACAAATACCAAGTTCTGCATCTAGGAAGAAGAAGCCAAATGTATCGCTACAAGATAGGGAATAGTTGGCTTAACAATACCGCAAGTGAGAAGAATTTTGGAATTGTTGTAAATCACATGCTGAATATGAGTCAATAATGTGTTGTAGCTGCAAAAAAAGGCTGCATCTATTTTAGGCTTCATTAATATATGCATCACTTGCAAATCACGTGAAGTACAAGTTCTCCTTTACTCAGCACCGTCTAGGCCTCATCTGGAGTACTGTGCACCACAGTTCAAGAAAGATGCAGACAAGTTGGAAAGGGTTCAGAGGAAGGCATGGACTGGAAACTAAGCCCTGTGAGGAGAGATTGAAAAAACTGGCCATGATAAGTCTCGAAGACTGAATGATAGCACTCTTCAAGTACTTGAAAGGCTGCCACAGGGAGGAAGACCAGAATCATCCTAGAGAGCAAAACATGGAATAAAAGGCTCAAATTACAGGAAGCCAGATTCTGGCTAGATATCAAGAAATATGTCCTGACTGTTAGAGCAGCAATGGAACAAATGACCTAGGGAGGTTGTGTGCTCTGGAGGCATTCAAGGTGCATCTGGGCAGCCATCTGAAGGGGATGGTTTAATTTGGTGTCCTGCACTGAGAAGGGGCTTGGACCCAATGTCCATCTGGCCCCTTCCAGCTTTGGTATTCGATGAATCTATGAAATAGGACCCAGTTGTTCATATTTTTATCTGTCCAATGTATTGACAAAGCTCTCCTCCTACATCATTTTTGAAAGCATTTATTTTCTTCCTGTCAGTTTTCTTCACTGTCCAGCTTTTACACCCAAACATAATGATCTAGAATACAGTTCTATGAACAATCTTGGCCTTGATCTTCAGTGGACCATCCTTACCCTTGACGATCTTTTCTTCATTGCTGCCCTTCCTTGACTCAGTCTTTTAGATTTCTTGGCTGCAGTCTTCATCTGAATTCATGACTGAGGCAAGGTATGCAGAATCTTTCACAGTTGCAATTTGACCTTAAAGTTGTGTAATTTTTCATTTCAGTTAATTGCAGTCAGTAATATGGTATCATCTGCATATTTTAAATTATGGATGTGTGTTCCACCCATTTTCATTCCTTCCTCTGATCCTAATCTGGCTTTCCTTAATATGTATTCTGCACACAGATGGAACAGATATGGAGATAAAATAAACCTTTGTCTGACACCTTTACCTATAGGAAACCACTGTGTTTCTGTTTTAGCAGTACCTCCTCGTCCACGATTCAGTTTACCCATCAGGATGATCAAGTGCTGAGTCACACCCATTTCTTTCAGACCCATCCATCATTTCTTATGATCCATGCAGTCAAAGGCTTTGCTGTCACCTATAAAGCACAGACTGATCATCTTCTGAAATTCTTTGATGTGCTCCAGTTGACCACATAGTTGAGTGTCTCTTCTTTTCCAGAGTCCAGTATGAACATGAGACGTTTCTCACTCCATCTCCTCCTAGTACAGGGTATATTTCCAGATTTCCATATACAATTCAGAGATGCAAAACTTTTAGGATTACAGTCCTGTGTGCTTATTTGGGCATAAGCTTCACTAAACAGAGGTGGATTTCATGAGTAAACTCACACAGTGTTTTTGAAATGCAAGTTGCTTTGGGGAGAGTTTCTACCATAAAAGGTAGCCTAGAACAATATTTAAACATTGCACTGAAACATAAATATGCTATGTAGAATAATTCCCATGTTATGTAACATAAAATTCATCATTTATAACTTAAGGCAGTAAAATAAATTTGGATTTAATAAGAAAGTAAGGGTAGCATGTATTCCAGATATCCAACATTCCCCCCTTTTTATTTGTTACTTTCTTAGCATAAACAAAATGCAAAAAGAAGAAAAGTATATGTAAAATAAAGTAAGATAGAATAAAGTTGCCAAGGGATTCAAGGGATTTCAAACAAGCACAACCCATACATTCAAACCCACAAATTTATAAACACTTCTGTCACCCAGCACTCTATCAGAGCTCAGAAAAGAAGTCCTCATGGGGCAACTGGGCAACTTGTTGGTGTGCAGCAAGTCAACCATAGAGCCTGAACTATTTTTCAAAGAGCTTCCCCTTACAGCCCGCCAGCTGCACTGGGTACAGTAGAATCACCACGTGTCATCAAACTCCCCAACTGGTCCTCCACTCACACAGTCAGTCAATTCTGCCATCACTGTGCACCCTGCCAGCCCATCTTGGTCAATAGGCAATGTAATATATAATGGAAATTGAAATATAAAACATGTAGAGATCTGCTTTCTGCTTATCTTTGCTCTAAACAACCAAGTAATATAATATCAAATTGTAAGAAAATACACTTTGAAAAATACTATGCTTTACTATTAGAAATTACTGTTTTATATATCTTTTCAAAAAAGCCACGTTTGTTTGTAGTCGTACACAAACTTGAATTGGACTAGCACAACAATCAATTCAAGTTGGAATCTTTGTGGTAAGAACATAAATCTTGGAGTTGGGCTTAATAGTTATTTATAATATTCAGAATCACTTTTCAGCCAAGGTCCAACTCACATATCATGAGAATGAGCTAGTTATTTTGCGTGTGGTCTACATGGGCATGAACATTGTATCATGAAAAAAGAGAACTTCCATGAATACTGCATGTCTAAAAATAGAAAAATTCCTAGTCAAGGAAAATGCTACTGTGGTATTGCATAGGTTTTGAAATATAAATGTCTTGAAATTTTGAAGCCACAGTTGAACAAGGTAATTTGAGGGGAAATGGCAATACATACACATTTGCTTGATCAAATGAAGAATGAGCTTCAGGAGCTGATAAGCATGCACTATGGAGCTATGTTGCATTTCTTTCTGAAGTGAGGCAGCTGGGCACAGGAGAAGGGGCCTTTTCAGTCACACAGTGGGCTTACGGAATTCCTTCACAGCCTGGCCAACCTCTGCTTACCATTTGGCAGACAAAGAAGACCTGACTCTTCTTGTGGGATGTTAACACAATTCTAATTTATATTGTGCTTTCATTGTGATGATACTTTTTAAGTGCATTTTTGGCCACTTTTATGATTTTTGTAAGCTACCTTGGGGGGTTTTCACAATAGAAAGTGTAGGGGCTAAAAGTGTGTATAACTTAATTTGTAATACACAAAATACCTTTCCAAAGTCACAGGTGGAACTGCATGCTGATGGTGATAAAGAAAAATCGAGAAGAGAAATTCTAAAGCTAGTAGTTGGGGGTTGAAATGAAATGTAAATCTTAAGACTACCATGCAGAAAAAAACTCCAGAGAAAAAGTTCAGAAATGGGCCTTCATATAATGCAGTAAACATATCTAATTATTTTGTGAAAGCATTTTTTTTATGAGACATCAGGTTTTCCCTGTTCTGGGTTTTATTCCTTCACATATAAAGAATCCCTGCCAACACACACTTTCATACTGGTAACGCAAATTCTTCCTTCTACATTGTTAATTAGACAGTTTGCACAAGCTGTGAAATAAGCACTTAATATATTGTGCTTAGATCTGATGCATTCCAACTTGTCAATATGACATTTCCATGCTTGTACAATATAAAGAATATAAATTAATAGTAGGTTTGTAGCAGCCAAACTCTTGTCAGAATTGCCTTTTTATTTTTTTAATGAATCTCAGCTCTTTTGAAAGGACTGTCTAGCTTTAATTGTTGCATAAAATTACCTGATGGACAATAAAATTCTAAATCAGAAACAAGAATAGCATAAATTTAGGGACTGAGTTCCATTCAGCAGAGTGTTGTGTAAAGTGTGCATTGCTGTGTGCAACTCATAGAACCACCAACTTGGTTTTCAGTTTTATTTTCAACTTGTGCTTTAAGTCCATTTATCAGGGTCTAATACGATCTGTACTAGGTCTCCCTGTGTGAGTATAACAATGTCTAAATCAAAATATTGTAGAATGCATTTCACTGTCTTTGCAACTTGCTGGATAATAATAAACACCCAGCAAGTTTTATAATGATGTAAATTATATGTAATGATTTATAATGATGTAAATTATATGCAATGAAGATACAGAGTCAGGCTGCCTATTTTTATCATCCTCAGTGCTGAACTGTTTGGTTGTCCCATTTATTCATAAGACTGTTCCCTCTTGTGTGTTAACATGTTTCCTTAATTCTTTTTTCATAAATTTTGGAAGCACTTGATCAAACCTAAAGAAGATCCAAATTTGGATAAACAAATCTTGGGTTTGTTTAAGTAATATTGCAAATGTTTTCATGTTTTCTGTAGGAGCTAAGTGATCTGCAACGTGATCCACCTGCACACTGTTCAGCAGGACCTGTTGGAGATGATTGTAAGACCTTTATAGTTGATGGCAAGATAACTTTTGCCTATTTTGTCATGTTTAAGCCTTTAATAAGGGGAACAATATTTTGTGTTTTTCAGTGTTCCATTGGCAAGCAACTATTATGGGACCTGTAAGTACACAATTTACACCATTGAATTACTCTTCAGATTACCTCTCTGTAATAATAAAGTTAGCCTTAATTGATTTCTGTATCTTATTTCCATGCTTCCTTTAAGTAGTAAGACACTGAGTTAGATTAAGACTAAAACCTGCTACTAAACATTTTTGTCTAGCTTCCTGTTTTCAGAACGAATGCTTTAATTTCATTGAAAGCAACGAGTCATGACTAGTTTCTGTCTCCATTGATTTCAATGGAATTAAAGTACGACAAATCCAGTGTGTTGTGCTTAGCTCTAAGGCAGGGATGGTGAGCCCCTGGCCAGTGAGCTGGGTGCAGCCTGCTAGGGGTGCCCCTCCAACCCGCCAACTTCTTCCCCAGATCTTGCCCGTTGCTCCAGCAAGGAGGTCTTTTCTGCAATCAGCAACTGGTCTGGGGGAGCAGCTGCTGAGTGGTTTGGTTCCAAGTCCTGCTTACTTGTGTGTATCCATCCTGTTCATACTTGCTTGTAAGTAGACATGCAGAGGCTTGGTATTTGGAAGTGCTTCTAAGTAATTCAGCCCTGCTTATTTCTGAGTAGACATGCAGAAAGCAGATGTGCTGTACATTCTGACTAGGAATTAGGCATTCACACTTAGCCCAACCCTCTATTTGGACACACCCAGAGGTGGAATACAGTCAGCCATTGTCAGATTGGAATTCAGCCCTCAGACTGAAAAAGGTTCCCCACCCCTTGATTAGGTTGCTTGACGTTTGGCTTGCTGTATAAAATGTGAGCCTTCACAAGCCATCTTATATTAGCAAATGACATTTCTGCTGTGGTAGACTTCTAAAATGAAAGGTGACAAGGAAGTGTTTGTCCCGGCATGCATGTCTTCCTTTGAATTTTAGATGTGAGGAATAGATTGATCAGGATCAGAGAAGATATTTTGTACATGAAGAGAGGAGCATCTTGTTATATGGTGTGCTTACTGACAGTTTAGGCTATTAAATCTAGAGCTGGGCCATTGTTCAAATTAAACCCTTCGGGAACTTGAGCTGGGTTCCTTTACTGCACCATCTTTTTCTTTAAATCATCTTTTTCAGATAAGAAGGGTTATAATGTTGCATTAACATAAGAAGGGATTTATGTTTGCCAAGTTCCACAGGAGTGCAGAAAAAGTGCAGAAGGTGGCAGTGAGTACAAAATCAGCTTCCTGGGAATTTCTACTGTGTTTCTTTCAAGGAAATTTTTAAAGCCCATGTAGCTATAAAGACATGACTGAAGTCCTTATAAGTTAGGTGGTTGAATAAGACTTGGACTAGAAGGGGTAGAACTTTCAGTTTCCATGATTTGCAAAATAGCAAAAATTGCAGAATACATGATGCAGTTAAGAGAAGCTTCCAAGTTTCCTTAAATGGGCTGAAAATTTAATTTGTTTCCAGTCTGAATTTCAAATGTCTAATTACTTTAACCCAGCATCTGAAATATAGGTGTCAAACATTTCAGTGATGAAAATAAGGATTTACTTGAAGTATTTCTATTCTGATAGTAGCTGCTGAAGTTTTGGTGTTGCACTTGCTGAATGTTCTCACTGCTGTGCTTTATTCATTCAGTCTGCAGTACCCTTCTCTTCCATTGATATAAATTATTTTAAGCACAGAAAAGAAATTCGCTCGCTAAAGGGAGATTCTGCAATTGCTGTCTTTATATTTTAGTTTGTTTTTCTATCGCTATTGCCTATCCTCTTGTTGTCCTCCCTAGAGAATGTTGGATGCCTTGTATGATGGAACATCCAACATGAGAGGGTTATTGTGTATTTCAAATAAGATATTGGCAGAGTTCACACAGCACAATTCATTGTGAGCCGTTAGTCATGGTGGGTTGTTATGTTGCCCATACTGAGATCACTTGGCAAATTTGGGGGCTATAAAAAATTGTTGCCTCAATTATTGTTTTTCCAGATTAAAAAAGTGCAAATTTTCCAGGTAGTTAAAAAAACTTAGAGGTGACAGGACAGGATGGACCAGATGGAGATCCAGCAACACTTACTCCTGCTCTCCCAAAATGCGGTCCCATTCAGACTATTCCATTCAGCTGCCTTCTCAGGTTTATGAAAATAAACCTCAAGGAAGTACAGTAACCATAGCAGTAAGTGCTGTGAAAAGATGGGAGTGGATGCTTAGAATTCTTGCCTTAGAAAAGTGAACACCCTTCGTATAGGCTTACCCTTCCTGGAACAAAAGTTTCCTTCTTTTTCAAACTACAATTAAGCAATAAAGATTAGCTAGGTTTTCCATTAACCTAGGGTCTGAAGCACATGGCTGTAGCAAGCTTAGCTTTATCACATCTGGCCAGTGCCTGGCACTTGAAAATCACCTGTAAATCATGTATGTGCAATCTTGGATTCTATGGGGAAAAGTGCATTATTATATACATAGTAAATAACTACATGCAGGATCTCAAACCTCTTCCACAAGCAGTACCAGGACACTGGAGGGGATAACTTGTTTCATGTAAGAAGGCACTTGTTTGTGAAAACTAGCTCCCAACTGAACAGTGGCTGATGGAACCAATATCCTATTTCCACTGGTCTGTTGAGTTATTTGGTATTAATACCTCTTCCTACTTAGCCCTTATGCTCATACTAGGTCAAGATGTGTTCAACCAAATATTCATATAATGATTGATTTTCTGGCTCTAGAAATAAGAGTATATGCTGTGTGTTGGGTCTGCCTTGGAATGAATTTTAGAATCACTGCACGAGGTGATACAGAATTATCTAAATGTGACTTTCCAGGCTTTACAGAAATTGTTCGTACAAGGCTAAAATCCTAATAATAGGAATTCTGCTCTGCTATCAACTAAAGTGTCATGTGGTATTGGTAAATATCCTAACAACTAGGTAAGAGATTCTTGCTGTAGGTTTTTGGTTCTATATTTAATAATATAATCTGATAGAACAAAAGAAAACTATAGAAGCTTGCTCAACAGTCGCTGAGCAAGAATATCTTTCTGTCATTCAGCATTACTTGCATTGCACTTTAAAGCACATCTGAAAGTTGTAGCAAGCCTCCCCAGGTAAGGCTGAGAGACCAGCAACATACATGTGCCTTCTGTTCTGGCACTTGCATCCTATCTACTGAGATTTTCAGCAGTTTGAAAATCTGTGTTCTGTTGTTATCAAAGGAAATAAGCCTTAGCAAGTGATCCTATATCCCTTAGACTCTGTCTGGAGGATCTGGAGGGCCTTAAGATACTTCAGGTTCCCAGATCTGAGGGTGGAGACAGCTGGGAATCTGTGCTTAGCCTCCTCTGAACTGGCACAGAAAAAAAATTGCACCAGCTACCTCTCCCAAGGTCAGTAAGTCAACCTGGGAGATGGGCAACAAACCATTACAGTGGGGTGGGGAGGAGATTGCAGAAGCCAAGATACAGTGTATCCTCTGTACCCTCTTCCCTCCCACTCCAAAGTATTCCAGCTAGGTAGCAGAAAAGGACCATCTAGAGAAAACGAGAGGAGGAGGAACAGGGCGCACCCTGCTGTGCTTAGCGTGATCAGCAGCCACAGAGTTCAGAGACTGACAATCGCAACTGGATTCTGCTCCATCTAAAGTATTTCCATCCTTCTCCACCTGCCCAACATAAGGCCCTTGGACCAGTTGCAGGCCCATGCGCACCAGTGAAAGTCCCAAGCCCTCTCTGCCACGTTGCGGGAGCGTTCCAGACCTGTCCTCATTACAAGCCTATCAGAAAGTGAGGAGGGGGTAGTGCATCACTGCAGCGCCTACTTCTTATCCTGCATCCATAAGTACCACTGAACTTGCATAGTTTTTCTCAGACCATCTTGTACCCCTTAGTGCTTGAAAGCCTGTAAGAGCATATCTACATATTTGATTATAAAACAAAACAGGTAGTGATGCAGATGGGAACTCTGGAAACATCTTGGTGCCAACAGGATCCCCCCCCCCCCCGATGCTAATTGAAACAGGTGGGGATTAACCTCTTACCATGTAGTAGATCTCAATAAGGGCACCACTGCCACACTCACACCTCTTGTTTAATTTTTAAGACCCCGTAGCATGATTGATAATTGCATTGTTTCTGTAATGTTTCATTAAGCCCTACAAGCCTTGTATAGCATTGTCACTGAACTCAGTGAGGAGTGGATGCTAAAAGAGGGAAGGCAAAACATATCAGTAGAAAGAGAAGCTGAAGAAAATGGAAGTACCAGAAGGAAATGCAGAGATTTGGTGGTGGCAGAGAGCTCTCTGTGGAGCAGTGACAGCTAACAGTGTTTCAAGACTTTTTAAATTAATATTTGAATCTAGCCCTTCAAATAAAATGCCTCTATGTGGCTTATGTAACTTCATGTCTGGTCAGAGCTGCAAAGAAAGGTTAAAAGATGCCTTACAAGTACTGACCCACATGCTTTTCCATGATGAACATAAGCAATGCACCACTTAAGCTGTTGAATTTAAAAATGACCCTCGGTGATCTGTATTGCATGCTCTTAATTCAAAGGATGGGAAAAAATAAGTTTTAAATCGGCTGCTTTGTGTGAAGTTCCTGTTTGCATTATTTTGTGGCAGTCTTCCATTTGGTTCCTGCCTGTTTAAGCCTCCAATTTAAAATGCCTTTGCCTCTTGGTCTTCAGCTTTTGTTGTTCAGGAGGAAAAGGAGAATGATCTTCTGCAGACATTCTTTTTGAACATTTACCTTTCAGTTTTCTACATAACTGAACTCAAACAAGCAGGCATTTTCTTTAACAAAGTGTGTGTGCAGTTTTGTTTTGTTTTTTGTATAGATATATTGCATGTTCTGATACTGCAATAAATATTGAAAATAATAAAAGTAAACTAGTATTCAAATAATAAAATGAAAGTAATATATTTAATTGGATAAGAGTTAAAAGACCCATAATAATTACATAGATTTGCCATGGTATCAGCCTTTCTGGATGGGTGAGAATGTTTGCTTTTGCCTCTTGGTCTGAAGTAAATTATGTGGGTTTTTTAAACATCTGTAGAAGAACAAGAAAACAAAGGCTTTGAATCTGGGGCAATGTGCTGCAGAGATATTGGACAAAAATACCTCCAGTGTATATTATTGGAAAGATCCTTCAGATTCAGATTGGAATCTCTCACAAAATGAACAGATGATATTGTTTGCTTGTTTTCCAGCCTGACAGTGCATATCAAGGGGGAGTCTTCTTTCTCACAGTACATTTTCCAACAGACTACCCATTCAAACCACCAAAGGTAAACATTTTAAAACAAAATTAAGTGCACTTTGTTTTTCTTAGAGCAGAGCTCCACTTTATCTCCCATGGTTTATTGGTTCTTTGGGGATTAAATGCTGAAGAATCTGCATAGCAGAGAGAATTTATTGAAGCAAGAGGATACAAGAGGTCTCAGCAGAAAGCTTTATGAACCAGTTGCAGATGGATTCAACATACAGATATATTAATGAAAAAACAATTTGACCAGAATATCCTTATAATTTTTATTGTAGGTTCAGCTATATTTTTCCTACTAATACTCTGGTCACACATAAATATTTTTATAGCCCTCATTTTTTAAGGTTTCTGTATGGAAGGAACGTTTCTACACATGCTTATGGGCATGGAACCTCTGCATGATGCAGAGGATTCTGACAAGTGTACCAAGTAATATTTAAGCCTGTTAGCTTGTATGGTAGGGTAACAAAGAATGCTACCAACACTCCCTGATAGTTTGGTCAAGCTGTCTTTTATGTCTACCCATACTGCTTGTGGCTAGTTTCTAATTAATGCCAAGCTTCTCAGACACATCTTGAAAACTATCATCTATAATATCCCATTCTGGTAATATGCTTTGCTCTGTCCTGTTTGGGATTGTTAACCTCATTTGTATCATAATTTTTCTTCACCTGGACTTTAAATGGAATGTCTTATATACTACACATATAACTTTAAGGTAAAAACCCAAAGGTTAAATCATTTCATGTAGCTCCAGGTTCTGCATTGGTAACTGTTTAAGTGAATGCATTGTTATTTGTTAATAAAGTCAAAGATTCAGTTTTCAAACATGACAGTTCACCATGGGTAATTCACCTGGCACACCCTGAGAACACATAGCATGTTTTAAGGGATTGTTCCACCCATAATGGGTTGGTAAGTCATCCACATCCCACAGAGAATTGTTCTAGTGGGTTGTGGGAATGGCTGCAAAGCTACTCAGAGAAGCAAAACCCACAGCGACTTCTTTTCATAACCTTACCCATTACTGCCCTCCCATTGTTGTTAAAGCCACTTTGGAAGTACTATCACCCATTCTTGAGCTCTTAAAAATGCATTTCCATAGCCTCCAAAAAGTACAGTTGGGGTTGTCTATTTCATTTAATTTTGGGGCCCTGAAAATGAGCTTAGGAAAAGATTGTCAATCCGTAACAGGAACACAAAAGTTCATTTCTCCAGTTCTTCAGCTGCCCTATAAAAGAGAGATATTAATTCCTGCATTTTTCAGAACAGTGACTGCAAGTACACTTATTTTTCCTTAGTTTACATCCCAGCCTTTAAATGGGCACAAATTTTCCCTTAACTTGTCTTCCATTTCTGCATTTTTTTAGTTGTTGGGGAACCTTAGTAGTGCTCTGAAAAGGAGCTGCATGAAGACAGGAGAGCTAATTAACCCCCTTTCTGGGGTAGCTGAAGGCCCAGAGAAGTGGCACTTGGAAGGCACTGAGAACTGTTTGCAACACTTGAAATTAGAAGTATTCCATTACTAAGTGGGTTATAGTCCACCATCCCCCTTTTCTTGCTGTCCTTGCTTTCCCCCCGCTTTTGATTGACTGCTAGGTAAAGAGAGCTGGTAACTCTGCATACACACAGTCTTACCTTGTCCTCTGACAGCTGGAGCAGACAAGGGAATTGACTGGGCAAGACTGCAAATACCTGATAACCATAAGTGTGCACTTGTGCACGTACAAAGAACCAACCAATTTTTTTCACTGCACAGTTTTCAGGCTGCAAGCAAATGTAGTTTGCTTTTTTATGTTCCTTTTTTATGGCAGCAAATGAGAAAGGGAAGTAATCAAAATGGAATGTGGGGGAGAATAGATGGTTCTGCATGAAACTCACTGGGCTACCAGCTAGAACAGCCTTGCCCAACCTAGTGGCCTTCAGAGGCATTTGGACAGCAACTCCCAGAAGTCCCATTCAGCAAGGCCATTGGCTAGGAATTCTGGGTGTTGCAGTTCAAATGTGTCTGGAAGGCATAAGGTTGAGAAAGGCTGACCTAGAAGACCAAGGGAAAGGAGGGAGAGAACAACCAACAGTGAGTCCACTTACCTGTTCATTGGACAGCCAACATACTGTGGCTTATTTCCAGGTTGGCTTAGCATGATGTGCCAGTCTGCCCCAGGTCTTCTGCTTCAAGATATACCAATGGAGAAATTAAATAAAGGGTATGAAAGAAACAATAAATGTGGTTTGAACACTGTAAAAATGCTTGACCATTCTTCTATTGCAGATTGCATTCACAACAAAAATATACCATCCAAACATAAATAGTAATGGGAGTATTTGTCTTGATATCCTGAGGTCACAGTGGTCACCTGCTCTGACTGTATCAAAAGGTAACTCTCCTTGTAAAGAACACCATGCTCGGTGTTAGGTTATCATCTTTCTTTCCTATTATGAACTATGGCCAAGCAAGTCTAGATTAAAGGAAGCCACCGTCTTCCTGTGGTAGCTGTGCAAATGTTCCCATAGGATCTTACTGTCTTTCATGCCAAATTATGTGGGTGCTCATACTCTGACTATAACAGAATGCAGTTCAGTTCTCTGGGGTAATCCCTGCTTTCTTAACATCTGCATCCCTCTTCTTTTAATGTATTTTTCTCAGATTAAAGGTACATGTTTGCACGTGGACAAATGCTGGGCACAGAGCGCTTGCTTGGAGGCACTCTGGCTCCAAAGTTACACTGTTCCTTTGATGCCCGAGTTTGAGTTACCACGTGTATGGTTTTCTCAACTGCTCACATTACCTAAGTTCCTAAGCATGATGGACAATGAACACTCAGGCAAGTGCCATGAGTAAAACATTAGAACAAAGCTGAAAGGAACATCAGCTGAGTAATGTAACAATATCTTTAACATTATTCGTAACTGTTACTCAGTGATGCTACAGAATGCCCAAGTTAGTGCCCAGATCCTTGTATCCTTGAGGTATCTGTAAGCATGTATAGTTTAAGAATGTGCAAGAGATCTGCTTCCACCAGGTTTTTGGGGTGGATTTCTCCAGTTTGCATCACCTAGAAATAGACACAGACTGAGTGCACTTTGCTTCTGGATTTCAGATGCTCACATAAAAATGCACACCTTAAAAGTATGCAGGAAAAAATGCATCCAACATGCTTTAGTCAATGGGTATATGCACACATTTGTAAAAATATGCAAAAAAAATCTATTAAACATACATCAGTATGGAATGAATTTGGTGATAAAAAGGGGGACGGCTCACAAAATCTTGAGTTGATGGATTCATCTATTCCTACTTAACTTAGACACTGGTGTTTTTAAATGACTGTTGAATCCTGTGAACTTGCAGTCCTAAATTTAAAAAAATCTGGAATAGGTAACATTCAATCAAAAATTGGATATTAGCAAGAGGCTCTAAAATTAGTACTCAGTTGTGAATTAATGAACTTTTAAAATTATCTGCTCTATCATCAGGGCATTTCATAAAAATGGCAAGGCACCATAGAGAGTTTGCACAGCTAGGTAGACTGCTTATCTAAATGAAGTTTGGGCTTGTGTTTCTGAAACCACAAATCTTACCCCAATTGTTTTTGCAACTGAGGAAATGACCAGAAGCAGTTTTGTGTGATAGAATACTGTATTTTAAAGTTTAAAAGTGCACCATTCCCCTAAGATATGTTTAAACCCTTGGATGTACATGAAGTTGCTTTTGCAATCTCTAATGTATGTTTAACAAACAGCCGTATGGGACATTGCTTTTGATTAGTACCTTTCAGAATGGCTGCACTTTTTCTGAAACTGCGGATTAGGTCACAGAGGGGTGTGGAGTATTGCATTTCTTATTGAGTATAAACCTATAAAAGAGTAAAAGCTCAAATATTTTTGAAGTGCGAGTTGTGACTGCTGTTATTTCTAAAACAAAGCAAGGTTGCAAACCTCTGAGTTGTTTCAGTTCAATTTCTCATGAATTAGCAAGGACTACTACCATCAGCACAGGAGATGATACTACTGGTCCACTTTATGCAAATATTTTTTATGGGTGCACACACAAATTATTAGGATGTTACACTTGAATGGTTGCATAATTCCAAAGTTTTTGAGAAAGCTGAGCTACTGAAAGATTATGAAATAGCAAAATTTAATTTACTCAATGGCATCATTAATATAAAGTTTAATTGTTCTTTTTTCTTTTAATTTAGTTCTTTTGTCCATATGCTCTTTACTCTGTGATCCTAATCCAGACGACCCTTTAGTACCAGATATTGCACAGATCTACAAGTCAGACAAGGAAAAGTAAGTACACTTTAAAAATCTCATGTATTTGCTTGATCTGTTCCTTCTCTTACACAGTGATAGCTTGTTACTTTGATATAATTGTTGCCTTCACCTCCAGCAAATGGGGAGGTTTGTACTATCTCAGACTTTCAACAGTATTTTTAATCTTTTCCTACTTTTTATCCCTGTTCTCTCTCAAATTTCCATATCGCAGATTGATGTAGCAGGTAGTGTGTATAATTTAACTTGTCAGCTTTTTGTCTTTCTTTGGTCTCAATGTTTATCCAAGTGATTGTCACAAATCTTTTAATATGGAATGGTAATTTACCAACTTGGATTAGATGTATGAGCAAACTGATATTAGTAGCTGAAAAGCTCTTCTGCCAAGTTTGGAAGCCTGAAATGCAAAAAAAGTTTTCTTTCGGATTATTGGAGCAGGACCTCATCAGATCTGCTTTTTGCGTCAACAAGTTGACCTTGCATGAGTCTTATCTTTGGTCTGATCAGTATACAGTATATCACAGAAGTGAGTACACCCCTCACATTTTGTAAATATTTTATTATATCTTTTCATGTGACAACCCTGAAGAAATGACACTTTGCTACAATGTAAAGTAGTGAGTATACAGCTTGTGTAACAGTGTAAATTTGCTGCCCCCTCAAAAAAACACACAGCCATTAATGTCTAAACCGCTGGCAACAAAAGTGAGTTCACCCCTAAGTGAAACTGTCCAAATTGGGCATTATTAGCCATTTTTCCTCCCCGGTGTCATGTGACTCGTTAGTGTTACAAGGTCTCAGGTGTGAATGGGGAGCAGGTGTGTTAAATTTGGTGTTATTGCTCTCACTCTCTCATACTGGTCACTGGAAGTTCAACATGGCACCTCATGGCAAAGAACTCTCTGAGGATCTGAAAAAAAGAATTGTTGCTCTACATAAAGATGGCCTAGGCTATAAGAAGATTGCCAAGACCCTGAAACTGAGCTGCAGCACGGTGGCCAAGACCATACAGCGGTTTAACAGGACAGGTTCCACTCAGAACAGGCCTCGCCATGGTCGACCGAAGAAGTTGGGTGCATGTGCTCAGCGTCATATCCAGAGGTTGGCTTTGGGAAATAGATGTATGAGTGCTGCCAGCATTGCTGCAGAGGCTGAAGGGGTGGTGGGTCAGCCTGTCAGTGCTCAGACCATACGCCGCACACTGCATCAAATTGGTCTGCAGGGCTGTCATCCCAGAAGGAAGCCTCTTCTAAAGATGATGCACAAGAAAGCCCCCAAACAGTTTGCTGAGGACAAGCAGACTAAGGACATGGATTAGTGGAACCATGTCCTGTGGTCTGATGAGACCAAGATAAACTTACTTGGTTCAGATGGTGTCAAGCGTGTGTGGCGACAACCAGGTGAGGAGTACAAAGACAAGTGTGTCTTGCCTACAGTCAAGCATGGTGGTGGGAGTGTCATGGTCTGGGGCTGCATGAGTGCTGCCGGCACTGGGGAGCTACAGTTCATTGAGGGAACCATGAATGCTAACATGTACTGTGACATACTGAAGCAGAGCATGACCCCTTCCCTTTGGAGACTGGGCCGCAGGGCAGTATTCCAACATGATAACGACCCCAAACACACCTCCAAGGCAACCACTGCCTTGCTAGAGAAGCTGAGGGTAAAGGTGATGGACTGGCCAAGCATGTCTCCAGACCTAAACCCTATCGAGCATCTGTGGGGCATCCTGAAACGGAAGGTGGGGGAGCGCAAGGGCTCTAACATCCACCAGCTCCGTGATGTCGTCAAGGAGGAGGGGAAGAGGGCTCCAGTGGCAACCTGTGAAGCTCTGGTGAACGCCATGCCCAAGAGGGTTCAGGCAGTGCTGAAAATAATGGTGGCCACACAAAATATTGACACTTTGGGCCCAATTTGGACAGTTTCACTTAGGGGTGTACTCACTTTTGTTGCCAGCGGTTTAGACATTAATGGCTGTGTGCTGAGTTATTTTGAGGGGACAGCAAATTTACACTGTTACACAAGCTGTATACTCACTACTTTACATTGTAGCAAAGTATCATTTCTTCAGGGTTGTCACATGAAAAGATACAATATTTACAAAATGTGAGGGGTGTACTCACTTCTGTGATATACTGCAAGTCCCTTGCTTTGAGCTGAAGCTTGAGCAGATGTAGACTAGCAGGCAGATTCAGTGTCTCAGATATGTTGACTGTCTGGGCATGCTGGGAGTGGTTGGCTTTTTTTCCTGTCTAACCGTGCATATGATTGCACCCTTAATTTATGAAGTTTTGTTGTATCACACATTGGACACACTCGACTATTGGTTGGTTATATTGCTATAATTCAGTTTGTAAAAGTCTCTGTTGTTATACTGAGGCAGGAGTGGGTGTGGGGGGGAGAAGAGATTTGAGTCAAGTACTACTCTGGAGTTTAGGTTTCAGGGTTCTGCCCATCATCCTCTGTTGATTGCTCTTTGCATCATTTTCCTTTGTGTCAACTCCTGGAAATCGGTTCTACATATTAGTAGGTTGCTGCCAGGCCATTGCACCCCACTGCAGATCTTTTTTTTTTTTTCGATTTATATCCTGCCTTTTTTTTTCCTACAAAGGGCTCAAGGCAGCTTACATCTCCTCCGCCATCTTATCCTCACAACAACAACCCTGTGAGGTAGGTTGGGCTGAGAGTCTGTGACTGGCCCAAAGTCACCCAGTTGGCTCCATGGCCGAGCGGGGACTAGAACCCAGATCGCCTGAGTCCCAGTCCCATGCTCTTAACCACTACACCACACTGGCTCTCTTATCTCCATGTGTAGTTTATAACTGCCTGCACACAGCTTTCTAAGTGGCTTCGGACATTGATCAGGCCTGTATAGAACCCATGCTCTGAACGATCAGGATGCGTGCACACATTCTGTAAATAATAATCAGGCACTAGGTCTTTGGTAGGAAAAGCAGTAGGGGTGCATCCTGTCTTTCTTCCACAGATGGAACTTACCTTCTCCCCCAGTGACCAACTTGTCTGGGAAATCATTAGCACCAGGTTCATTTTGCATCTTAGTCTCTCCACATCATGGTCTACTGAAGCACACATTATTTGGATCACTTTTGAATACTTCTTTTATAGGCAAATGAAAGTGTAACATACTCCTTAAGATCATAAATATAATCTCTTAAAATGGTTTGTATCTGCCCTTGACATACCGTATGTTGGACCATTGCTGTGAACCATAAGCCTGTGTGGTTTTACTTTTTTATTTTCTCTGACAGATATAACAGACATGCAAGAGAATGGACACAGAAATATGCAATGTAAACTTTGAAGACTTTTTTCATATATACCAGAGTACTGTAAATCCTAGGGTTTTTTTCAAAATTAGAAGTAAATGGAGCACAGTTTACTGTTTTCATTGTACCATGAAGCCCTTTTTGATTTTCACCCATGTAAGTGTGTTTCTGGAACAAGGAAATTAACTACAAAAATTAACCTGAAGACTGTGATGAGAGTATTTATCCTTTTTGTATGCTTTGCGAAAGACATTTATTCTGTTTTTAAAGATACTTGGACATCTGCATCTCCAACCTACAAGATCCATAATGCAGTTGTAGAGCAACCAAATTATTTTTTGCTGAAAAGCTAGGTGTTACATGAAAAATATTCTGTGTCTTTGAAATGTCAGCCTTGTAAGTTCATGTTTGAATTTCATTCTTTGTTAGTTCATTGTATAATTTGTATTTTTTTACTGTATAGACTATATTTTTATTTACCATGCAAGTCAACTCACTTTAGACTTTCTGTGCAGTATTGAAGAGATACAAATGCTATTAAATTAGTGAAGTATTCTTTCCTGGGGAATACTCTATAGTCTTCTTAAAACAAATTTTGCACTCTAATTCTCAGTATGTTGATTATGAAGAAACACATGGTTTTGATTCTGTTGCATACTTTTATTGCAATGTGAACTAATTGCACTGCTCTGTAGAAAAAAATGTAACTAATTTTGTTCTATTCACAGCTGACTTTTTATCCCATATGGGCAATATAATATCTGACCTTTTAACAAAATTGACTTGAAGCATTTCCTTATAAATAAAACATGTTTTTTACTACTTGTCTTGGCTGTTCTTTAAGTCTTGCACATTCTTTATATGTGCTTGCTCTGAAAAGATCAAAATATTGTTAAATATATGAATTACATTTAAAAGGAACTGGCTTATCTATTTGAAATTGCTATGAATTCTTGAGTATTTATGGTAGTTGTTAAAACAATTTTGTGTTTATTCACTGTACTGTATAGGAAGTTGTTGGATCTTGTACACAATACAGCAAAACTTCTCTTTGAGTTTGCAAAATAGTCTTCAAATGTTTAAATTGGCAACTTCTTATTTTTAATATTACTGTAGTTTTTGCCTCACCTGTATAACAATATTTTGATCTGATACTTCCACACAATAAACTAATACATCTAAACCATTATATGTATACTTCATGCATGTGTGGAGGAAAAAAAAGCCTTACATTCTTTACAAGTATGAACATTTTTAGTTTTAAGTATGTTGCCTGGAGGTACTAAATCCTTGTTAAATACATTTCAGTTTCTGGCTGTAGTAATTCTAATTAAACACACCTTGCTTGACTAGGAAGTTTTGCTGCCATAGACACCATTTGACTCTCTCTAGAAAAGGGAACACAACCCCTAGTGCTTTGATATACAAGGAGCCATTTTAAAACACCTCATAGCTGGAATGCATAATAATGTGGCAGACATCCCAGAGGCTATTTTTTATTACTGGGCTTTAAAACTGTTTAGTATTTTAATCTTGAAATTCTCAGTTCTGATGGCCTAGGAAACAAGTCTGTACTGGGCACTTATGCATAAAGGTAATCTAGGCTTCAGTTGTTTACCTCAATCTATACAATCAAAACATGGAAGCTTTCTGAAATAAGCACTGAAAATGCCATTGCATTACTTCTGAAAATGTCATTGCTTGCTGTGAAATAGATCATTCTCTGCAAACAGCCAATAAATACTTCCATAAAGTAAATGAGTACTTCACAATACTTGAAAAAAGGGATGCCATCACTTTCAAAGCTATTCACCATAGTCATGAATACTTAAAACTAACCAGTGGTAAAATAGTTTAACTAAATGATTTCCCAGATTTTTTTATCCCTGTCTGTTTTAGATGTTTATAATAGATTTCTCCCCAAATAAAGAATTTATAGTCCCTTAATCCCTTACAATGGATTCTGTAAAATTTGGTAGTTTGATTTGCATGCCTGTTAAGTGAAAGCATTTAATCTTCTGCTTTGCTAAAATTATATGGAGGCTGGTTTGAAACTGTTTAGATGTTACTACGCTTTGAAGTATGCATCATACAAAAAGGAATTTACTTACCATAATGCAAAGTCTTCAGGCTGAGCAAAAGGTGCAGTTACCAGCAAGCTTCTCACTTGTCCTCCTTATGGCTCATTTGAAGGCAAGTGTGTTGAAGCTATACCTGTCTCTGTTCAGTGATACTTTAAAACTGTAGTGCAGAGATGAGCTTGATACACTGAACTTTCAGATTAATCTTCTTAGTAAAACATTAGCACCTTTTAAGCAGACTAGATTTTCATACTCTAGGCTTATTTGGAACCACAGTTTTGAATAACTTAAGGGTGTTAAGAATTCCTTCTTAAATATTTTGCATTTCCTGGTAAATGTTATTTTGCTATTTCTAAATGATCCCCCTGTAAAGGTCCCCCCTGCTCCTGCTGCCCCATACCAAACATTTGCTCAGTCCTGGTGCTTCCATTATGGTGGCATAAATGTTGTCTGTGCTTCAGTCCCCTCCACCCTAATACCAGTTTATACTGTACAGTGCCTTAGCAAGGGCACTAACTGAGCCATCCCATTCTCTGTATATTCTTCACTTGGCACTATATTGGCATGACTAAAGCAAAGGATCTCTGTATCACTGAAGTTCTCAGAAGTGTAATCTTTAGTCATTCTAGTTAATGTTAAATAAGGCATACTTTCTAGCTACTTCTGATGTGGTATTTTTTTTGCCTAAAAGATGTCAGCTGAGGTTTGAATGAAAATAAAGATTTGATTTGAAATCAGAGAGTGTCAAGTTTTATTCTTAACTTTGCCTTTTTCAAGGAATGGTGGCATTCTAAACTTGGTAAGAGTGGTTATTTGGTATTTTTGACTTCTAAGCACATCCTCTGTGATCTTGCTAGCCAATCTGAAAAGTGAGACAATAGAATTGTTACAGGAATGGTGGCAGATGCTGCACAGCTACCAGCAATAGGGACTCTGTTCACACATAACAAGACACGGCAAGAATGGCTTGTCGTTAGTGTGAATACCAGAAGCATGGTGAAACATGGCACATTTGGTAACTCTGAATCTCCATAGAGAACAATGGTCTGTTCTAAGATTTCCATGTTTTGGCATTGCTTCTCGTTATGCATGAAGCTGGTGACAATGTTTTCCCATAGTTTCCCTGTTTTCACCAGCAAGTTTGGTGGTGAGAACAAGCCACAGTGGCTCCCAGAGCCATTTTCCACGGTCTTGGTCACCTAGCAATGGCTAAGTTGCCAGCAAACAGGGCAGTGATTGGCTGGTCCCCTGCTCCCTGTCTTCTCTCCCAGTGCACACACTCTGCTGCCTGGCCAGATTGCCCATCTTGCCTGCCTGGTGCAGACTCCCATGCAACTGCACTGTCCCTGCTCACGTGAGATCACATCCCCTCTCTTGCAAAGGTCTTGCAGCCTCACACAGGAGGCCATACAAGGCAGGGACATGACAGCATGGCTGACCAAGCAGGCAAGACGGGCATCTTGGTGATCTGGCCAGGCATTGGAGGGCACATGCCCAGAGGGAAAACGGCAGCGGCCATGTGACTTAAATGAGCAGATGGGTGCTCCATGAAGCAGGGATGGGAAAGCACCAGCTGACTTAGAACAAATGCAGGTCGGCGTGCAGGCCAGTGGAAGATGCAGATGACGCGCACAAGAATGGAACACGCTGGGATTGGCAGTCGGCCATGGGGGTCAATGGGCTATGTGCTGCCATTTAGAGGGAAGATGGAGCTGTGTGAAGACTACTCATGAGTAGTTATCTTGCTAAAGTGTTAATGTGAGGATAAAATGGAGCTATGCAAGCCTCTTTGGGTTCCTCACAAGAGGAAAAGAAGACAGGATATAAATGCAGTGTAATAATAAGGCCTTGTTGCTATAGCAATGTTACTAGTCCTATATGCAATAACATGTAAAAGAAAGGCACTAGTTCAACTACAGAAACAATTACTAGAGAAAAAATACAAAAAAACACCACCAAAAGCTTAAATTACTAGTTAGACATTAATATAACTTTGACCCATTTTCTGGAACAGGTCTAGGCCTGCTACGAGAAGGAGTAAAGGTACTTAGATGAAAAAATAGAAAATTACTTTAAAAGGTATCCAATGAAAAATGTCACCTGGAAGTGGAGAAAGGGGACTGTTTTAATCTTTCACTAATTCAAAAGGTGAAACTGTATTGCCACTTTATGCATTGACACACAGTACCCCATTCCACCACACAGAGGCCTTTGGCATGCCATGACGTACAACTGTTTTACGAGGGGCATTCAATGAATTCTTGGTATCAACATGAAGAAAAAGGAATAAATTGAAATAATTTTTATTTTTCAGTGTAATCCCCCATAACTTCAATACACTTATTACATCTAGAAATTAACTTTTCAATTCCCTGTAAAAAATGCCCTTCCTCGTCTAAAAAATGTGCGTTAATTGCCACCTTGAGCTCTTCATCGTTGGAAAATCGCTTTCCACGATCTTTGTTTAAATTCAGGAACAGGTGGTAGTCACTGGGGGCCAGGTCTGGGCTATAGGGTGCGTGGCTTATCTCTTTGAAAGCACAGTCTCGCACAGCAGCCTTCGAAACGCGCTGTGTGAACGGGCGCGTTGTCATGAAGAAGCAACACACCTGCGGTCAGTTTTCCCTGCCTTTTCTCTTTAATTGCTTCTCTTAAATTACGCAGAGTGGTTGCATAAGATGCTGCGTTTATGGTTTCACCTTTCTTCATGTACTCGATCAATAAAATTCCCTTTTATTGATCGAGTCCCAAAACACTCTGGCCATGACTTTTCCGGCCGATGGAGTGACTTTGAATTTCTTCGGAGGGTCAGCATCTTTTTTATGCCACTGCATGGACTCCTGCTTACTTTCAGGGTCATACTGATGAACCCAAGTTTCATCTCCAGTAACAATCCGGTGGAAAATACTCGATGGATCTTCACCACAGAGCTCTAAAAACTCCCTGCAGCACTCGACTCACACTTGTTTCTGAGGCACCATGAGCATTCGCAGCACCCATCTTGCACAGACCTTTGAAAGGTTAAGATGGTCATGAAAAATAGTAAATATGGTACCAACGGATACGCTTGTCATCTCTGCTAACATTTTGATTTTTATTCGGGCATCTTCCAATACAAGTTTCTCAATTTTTTTTACATTTTCTTTCATAGTGACAGTAACCAGCCCGCCCGAGTGAGGGTTGTCGTCAATGCTTTCTCTGCCCCTTTTAAATTCACTTGCCCACTTTTGAACAGTATATAATGAAGGTGCAGAGTCCTGGTAAACGGCCACCATCTCTTTGTGAATGACATTTTGACTTTTTCCTTGTTTTGTAAGGATCTTAATCACAACGCGGTGCTTGATTTTCTTCAACATTGTTGCGTCAGTCATTATGGTCATCTTTCACTGAGGATTACTAAAGAACTAATGATCTTTGATTATTTGAAATTTTGCATGTATACCCTCAGATAGTGTCATTAGCTAATGAAATAATTAAATTACCCACATCAATCACAAATCAACCCAATACTGAGAATACATTAAATGCCTCTCATATCTTACAGTTTTCATACCTTTCCTCCCTTTTGATCTCTCTGTGGGCCCATGCACCAGCTTTCTCTTGCTGTATGCTTCCCTTCCATGATTTACTAAATAAAGGCACATTTAAAAGAAAGCTAAAACTAAAGGTAGTATTGATCCACTAGGGGAAAAATTCCCCAAATCCAGAGTTTGCTAATATCTTTATTAGGAAAGTGCAAAATTCCACAAGATCATGCAAAGGGTGTACACCTTGTCTCATCAATCATCGGTTTGGGGTTCCATAGAACTGTTCATCAGACAACAAACAGAAAAGGAAAGAAGAACAGTGTCCAAAAAATGGGCCAAACATATTCACAGTATAATCTGCCATTTGGATAGGTCCAATCTCAAAACAGAGTTTTCCAGTCAGAATGAACAAGTCTGTGTCTGTCTAAACTACAAAGCTCATTCCCGATCATCATGCATGGGTTTGAAAGCTGGATAGTGAAGAAGAAAACACTTGAAACATGGTGAACTTTGCAAATTCCTGGACCAATAGACTCGATGAGACTTGCTGCTGAATAGGTATGCATGCAACAGAAAGATGAACAAGTGGGTCCTACATCAAATCAAGCCAGAACTTGCTTTGGAAGCAAGATTAATGAAACAGGTTGAATACTTTGGGCACATCATGACAAGACTCCCTAGAGGACAAGCATGCTAGGGGAAGGCAGAGGAAGAGAACCACCAAATAACCACCAAATATATGATGAATCATAAGGGAAGCCTCGACCTTTTCAAGAGCTGAGCAGGGCTGTCAAGGATGGGACATTTCGGAGGGCACTCATTCATAGGGTTGCCAAATAATCCATAGTGTGGAGAAAGAGAGGGAGACTTTTTTTCCTTCTCCCATAAAACTCAACCCCGGGGTCCCCCCATAAAACTGACTGGTGGAAGGTTCAGGTCAGATCAAAATACTTATTCACACAACATATAGTTGAACTATGGGATTTGCTGCCACGGGCAGTGGTGATGGCCGCCAATCTGAATGGCTTCAGAAAGGGTTTGGGCAGATTCGTGAGGGGGAAGGCTATCGGCCGTCGTTAGCCTTGCTGCCAAGTCCTGCCTCCCTCACCAGAGGCGGCATGCCTGCACAGAGCACTTGCTGAGGAGCCTGGCCAGGGGGAGGCGTCTTGCCCCCATCCTGCCTGAGCGATCCGGTGGGCGGCTGGTTGGCCACCCTGTGTATGGGGTACTGGATCAGATGAACCTCTGGTCTGATGCGGCGTGGCTCTTATGTTCTCAAAGGTCAACAGACAACTGGACAGCACGTAACACTTTCGTCCACTGTCCCGCCTGTCTCTTTTACCCGAAGAATCGCCCCGGAGGACTCGAAGGCGGCGGCAGTGCTCGGTGAGGCGGGCAGCACGGCGACCGCTCGCCGCCATTCTTGCGCCGTCTTCAGTCCCTTCCCTCCGCCCTGGGCGGGAAGGCTTTCTTTCCGCGTTCCTCAGAAGTGGCGCGAACTCAGCCCGCCCTCGCGGCTGACGGGCGGCGCAGCCGAGGCCCGCCAAGCTGGCCGCTCTCCGCCAACCTCAACGATCACTACGCCCCGCATCCATCCATCCATCCATCCAGCCGTTTCCCGCCAAAGAGATGAGCCGCCCTATGATCGCGGAAGGCTCATCTCCAAGAGGATCTTGGGCCCTTGGTACAACCACATTTGGGGTTCTCAAATGGTCGTTCAGCAAAGAGGAACCGCGTTGGATACCAGCCATTTGAGTCTCAGAGACTCTAGCCCGCCCGCTAGCCCCTTTCTGTGCCCTTGATGGTAGAAACCGGAAGTGAGGACTGAACGCTTCGCTCTATTCTTTCACTCGCTGTGGTTCACCGGCGCATGCGCTCACGAGTGCTTCTCTAGAGAAAGTTAAACCCCCCAGGCCGTAAATAGAAGAGCCCGCTCTCTTTCCTTGGCCCATAATGCCCCGCGAACGCGGCGCGTGGTGCATCTGAGGCTCTGGCCGAGCAAGGGGCGCTCGTTCGGCTGCCTTTGTTGTGAGCGGCGTGGACAGCGCTATGGCGGGTGCCCTGTTGGCTCGCTTGCTTTCGCCTGCATCTGGGTCGGGATGCGTTCTCAGGTAACTGGCGCTGATGCCTCATCTCCCCGCTTGTACTGTAGTCCCTGTGTCTTCCCTTCCCGCGCATCGACCTCGGTCCCCTCCTCGTTGGCCTCTGTCGCCTCCCCTCGTTTGCTTCGTCTGAATAGGCTGGGGCCGAGAAAAAGGGCTGTTGCTGGGGTCGAGCAAGCTGGATCGTAGACAGACAGACTTGGCTTTCTTACAAACGTCCTGCTGTTTCGGGCGTAGCATGCGGATGCTGGGATTTGTAGGAATCTTGTTCTGTCTAAGCATGCTTAGGATTGCACCCGTAAAGGTCTTATAGGTTGTGACTTGTTACATTAGCGCTCTGCCGCCCTTTATTCATTTGCCTGTGAATAAGGAACATTTAACTGAGTGGGACTTGCTGAATAGATGCGTGTGCTGAGCGCAGGGGTAGCCTCACATTTTGCTGCCTGATACAAATAAGGAAATAACCCCTGACATAGGCACATTAATCACCTCTTTCTAAAACATGCTTATATCCCATTCATTCATAAGCCTAAAAACACTCTCAACATGCTTGAACTCTGCTCTGTTTGCACTCATCATCTGCCTAAAGAGTCTCACAGACTCGTAGCCTTTTCTCCGCGCTTAGATCAGACCTGCAGGAACCCTGCATATTGTCCGGTTCCCCCCCCCCCCCCCCAAAAAAAAGTAATGAAAGAAAACTAATCCCCAGGATTTTTGGTCTCAGCCTTCTCCATGACTTGCACATAAAAAGGAAGCAACTTTTTATAAAGCATTGGTATCAAACCTAAGGCCATAAGGGCTGAATGTACCCCTCCAGGGTTCTCCAGATAACCGTTGCCCCTTCCCCAATTTCCCAGTTACTTCCCCCTTTGTTTGATGAGTTCCTTTTTACATCGTTTTTGCTAAAGGTCTGAAATTCCTCTCTAAGGCTTACTAAGGCAATAGGAGCTTTAAGCTAAAATATACTGGTATTTGAGCCATTGCCGTGACTGGCTGCACTGGAATGAGCAAGTGTGCAGTCTCCTGCCTACTTGCAACATCCATTTTGCATCCAGTTTAGAAAACAGTTATTTGTGTCATGTGTAAATCTAGAACACTGAGTTGTTGAAGGAGAAACCCAGAACTCTGGGATGATACATATCTTGAGACAACCTAGGAATAAACTGTTCCTGGGTTATTTTCTAAACTGGATGCAAATACAAAACAGCAGTTGAGGAGCAGTATGCTTACTTGCTCCGCTATGGCCTTGAACAACCATGGGATAATTAATTAACCTATGTCTGGTCATTATATGCAAACCAGGTCATCTTTAAAAAAACTCTGAAGATATGACTTACCCTTACAGAAGTTATGTTTGCTCTTTTTCATTTGACTTCTGTCTTCTATATACTTACTCATTTTTAATAAGAGTTTCCAGAACAAAATTTACAGTAACTAGCCTGTAAGTTCCTGGACCACCCTGGTTTCCTTTCTTAAAAAAAGAAAAACTTTACATTATCCAAGTTATAAATTATTTCCAGAAGACGAACAATTTTGCATCAAATTCTTTAAGAACGCTTGAACTCATCTGGACATGGTGTTACATGGTGTTACCTTCACTGAGTTTCCTAATAATGCTTAAAACATCTCTTGTTAGCCCTTCTTGCCTCAGTTCCTCAGACCACCTTATGGAAAGTATCTGTTCAGGCGTGGATATATGCCCTATATTTGCACTGAAAACAAGATGTGAAGAATTGATTTTGATTCTGCCCTCGTCTTCCTTTAGTATTCTTTTAACTCAGTGACTGGGTTTGCATAAACACTGGGGAAGAGACGGCACTGTGGCGTCTTTCCCCCATCCTTGGGCACGCTGCACAATTTGTCTCATGCTGTGTAGGTGGCTGTGTTGTCCAAACCCAGCAAGGTGCATGGTGGAGGTAGCTTCCAGACCACCCCCTCCAGCACCATGTAAAAAGCCACAGTTCTGGATGTATGAGTGCATCTACAGGCCTGACTGGGGATTCTATGTAGACTGGTTGGAGAGACAGATAAGGAGAAAAGCAGGGGTAACATTAGACCACCTACTGCATAAACCAAGCACAGGTACAGTGCTGAAATAGCGCTTCTTAAAGTGTGTTTTGCTTTAGTATGTGGTACTGGGTATCTAGGAGCTCGGGGTTCTAGTCCCCACTCAGCCATGGAGCTAAGTGAGTGACTTTGGGCCAGTCACATACTCTCAATCCAACCTACCTGACAGGGTGGTTGTTGTGAGGGTAAGATTGAGAGGAGAAGGAGAAATATGTAAGCCACCTTGAGTTGCTTGAAAGTCAAAAAAGCAGGATATAAAATAAATACTCCCAGGTGGGTTCTGAAATAGTTCAAATGAAAAACATGCCCTAGGTAATTTCCTTGCTCTAGGACTGGGTAGAAGCTGCCTGAATTTGTAAATTCTGTTGAGTTTTACTTGTACTACTTGTTTCTTCTAATTTCCAGAATACTTTCCCTTTTATTACTGTTGCTTTCTCTTTTATTTTTAAGCTTCTTTCATAGTTACGGATGTTTTAACGATATTTTTGTTTTTATTAAGATGGAGTAGTTTTTGCACAGTGGAAAAATGGTTTTCAAAATGTATGAGTACAGGTAACTATCCAAAGAAGCCCATGACAGCATACTTGCGCTTTTATAAAGACCAACACCCTATTTTCATGAAAAACAATCCAGGTAAGAAATAGTAGGACAGCATTTCGGTCCAGATTTAAGTTGTGGCAATTTCTCTTTGAATTTTGAAAGTACTTAAAAGGCTGACTACCCTTTTTCATTAATTTGGTTTATTTTGACTTCCTCTAACTGGACTGTGCACATTTGTTGCCCAAGGTGCTTCCCTCCTGCTGATTATGTTGTGCAGGTCACCAGCACTGTTTATGCAACGGCACTCTAATGCTTCTGCGGCTGCTTGAAACTTGCAGAAACACTAATTCTGGGAGGATGCAAATTGGAAGTGCTCACAAGAGAGCTTTGCTGTTTAGCCTCTTTCCATGAACTAATATTTCCCCTTGTTTCGGGTCTTTTCGAGGGCGTGCTAAATCTCCCTTGCCTAAGCAGCAGAGCCCACTTGTGCGGTTGGTGTAGCTCACTGCTTGCACAACAGAATGGGTGGGGAGGTACGCACATTGTTGGATTCTCTCCTAGTCATGAGTGAACCCGTAATATGTAGGGGAACAAGGTCTAAACCAGGGGTCTCAAACTCGCGGCCCACAGGCCACTTGCTGGGACGGGGGGGGGCACGGGGGAGGGGCCCTGCAGGCTTCACAGCGCCGGCGGCACCCGGGCCGGCCTCCAGGAGCGACGCAGGATGAGCGGCCCTCCACCACCGCTTGATGTGGCCCAGCCTCACCCAGACTCTACTTCCAGCGGCCCCCAGGTAAGTCGAGTTTGAGACCCCTGGTCTAAACTAATCATGACTATTCGTGCCATGTATGTTATTAAAAGACAGAAAACTATTTGCTCAGATAATATTCTGTACAAGCAGACAGATTGGACCTTGTCCTTCTGTTATTTAGGAGGCTAAGGGAAAGCGCAAAGAGAATGTGGTATTTTCTCAAATTTGGCTAATAAAATGTACGATCAATGTACCTGCTGCTTTATGGAGTAACATAATTAACACATGTCCTGCTCAAAAAATTAAGGGGGCATTCATGAAGGAATTAACAGAGGAGGAGAGACAAAAGAGAAATGGAAAATGGATCTGAGCAAATTCCTTTTTTTAAGAGTGAAACTTTACAAAAATATCAAGTCTTGAGGAGTGGTGTGATGGAACAAGGATACTACTACATAGCACTTCTGAGCATGATGGTAGCAAGTGTTAGTGTGTATAGGTATTTAGTGAGCCAGAAAGTTTATGATGAATAAACCTTTTTAATAGTTATTTTTAGATGCATTGACTTGCTATTAGAATAAAAATATATCCTTTAATTTCTGTTGACAGATACGTTTTTCTTGCTTGTAGCAGCAAGTCAGATGCATCTGAAAATAACTATCATATTTGCTACTGAAATAAAGTTGATTTTAAAAACGTGTATTTTATTTTTTTAATTCCACTTGGATAGTTAATTGTTATGCCAGGAAAACTTTTTATAGTAAGCATGTACCAAAGACAAAAATATACAACCCTAAACATAGAATTATTTGGAGAGGTGGGCAAGAAATATTTAATGCAGCTTTACAGTCCGAGGTGACTAGGAATTGCCATGAGTGAGCAGATGAGTATCAAGATGCAGCTCTAACCCGCACCACCTGTCCCAGTTGTACAAAGCTAAATCCTGTAGTGCAGGGATTGGGAATATGTAACCCTCTATATAATGAGGGTTATATCATGCTAATTGGGTCTAATGTGAGTTGTAGTTTGCCAAGATCTGGAGGACCATACCCCACAATCCCCACCACTGCTGTAGTAACATACTTTGTTTTCCCATTGAAGGAAGCATGGTATTATGGCCTTTTCCTGTTTTCCCCCAAAACTAAATGCCCTTTATCTTCTAGTTTGAACGGAAGGAACTACCACAGTAACCTGATGGGTTTTGTCATCTTCATAATATAACTCATTTATTGCAATACGTGCTCATAGTTTGCTGCAGCCCTCCATTCTGATTCCGGTTAAAATGTATAAACAGGGAACTATGTCCCCTTTCCCATGGAGTGTTTGGCTGCTGCTATTTTAAAAGAGACCTTGTTTTATTTAGTCATATAAAGGTCTTATATTTAGATTTTGAAATAACAAGAGTGCCTTGATCAATAAGCATACCAAATTTTACCTTCTATCTAGCATTTTTATATAAATATGTAGAAGTCCCAATTTATATATAAATGGTGAAGTAACTTCTGGATTCCTGAAAAATACTATAAATGTAATACTAAATTTGACAGAATTTTCATCTTTTCAACTATTTTTTTAAAATTTTACAGGTGTGAGTATTACAGATTTAACAAAAAAGATAGCACTTGCTTGGAGGGAGCTACCAGCATCCGAAAAAGAAGTTAGTATGACTTTACTTTCAATATTATTTCTATATGAATAGAGTAATAGTTTCACTGGTAAACTTTTCCTGTTTTGGATGAAAGATCCTGTCTCTAAGGTGATTAGTATTCAGCATAATACTGTGTTTAGATATTGCCTTTTTAATGTCAAAGTTACATGTTATTTTATACAAACCTGCCATTTCACCATACAATTCAGTGGAGTAGTGGATATTTTTATTTCTAGCCTTATGAAGCAGCTGCAAAAGTTGACAGGCAAGAATATAATGAACAGTTGGCCACATATAAAGCCCAACTCACTCCTGACCAGAAATCAGCTTGGATAGAGGAAAAGAAGAAGAAAATGGAAAAAAGAAAAACCACAAAAAGAAAGAGGGTTTGTATTTTTTTTCCTTAAAAAAAAGTTCTCATTAAAGTATATGAAGGACATGTAAGATATGTGGTGTACTAAGGTCTCAAACATGAAGATCACATGTTAATGTACATCATACATGAAGTTTCCTTCCAGATTAGCACCCTATGGGGTGTAAGGGGCTGTCAGCATAAGTATATTTTTATTACAGCCATCTCCTGTGTATGCAGGCATTTGACTTACAGCCCTGTCTAAATCCCTACTACCATGTTTCCCCTTTTTGCTCCAAAAGACGCACTCGGGCTTATTTTCAGGTGATGTCTTATTTTTTCTTATGCAAACCATAAGATTCTTTTTGCACTTGTCTGGGGATCAAAATATTATTCCCTTCAAATCAGGGGTCCTCAAATTTTTTCAACGGGGCCAGTTGAAAGGTGCTGGCGGTGGGTGCAGGCCACCAAGGCAGTGCCAGAGGGGGTCGCGTGTGGCGAGGTGGGGGTGGGAGGCATGCAATGCAGAGGCTTGCTCACGTGGAGATAGTTTTCTCCAAGCTGTCCAAAATGATCTCCCCGTGAGCAAGCCGCCATCTTGCTGCGTGCATGGCAAGTCCAAAACCTCTGAGGTGGGTCAGATAAATGGCCATGGCGGGCTGGATACGGCCCGTGGGCCGTAGTTTGAGGACCCATGCTTTAAATCTACCATTAAATCAAGTGTTAATTAAAGACTTATGAGACAGGAGTGGCAACACATGAGCACATTAAGTACATCTGTTACAACACACAACATACTGAATTATGAAACATCTGTTCGATATCAAGTGTGCACGTTATTCGTGCATTGTGTCTGTAATCATTTGGCAATAAGTCTAGAGTTCATCTGTTTACATTGGCATTTACTTCTTGTCCAAAGGAGCCTGTTTGAGTATTTATAAATACTTAATTATGATTTATATTATTTATTTTAAGTATTAATGTCAATAATATTTATATTATATATTAATATTATTTTATAATTCTATATGTCCATTGTATAGTGCAATGGACATACTAAATGTGTCCATCCGGCAGACGATCTTAACTGGGGCTTATTTTTTGGGTAGGGCTTATATTAGGAGCATCCTGAAAAATCATGCTAGGGCTTATTTTCCAGTGAGGCCTTATTTTCCAGGAAATAGGGTATACAAGTGCATGTGTGCTTTGTGACTGACTTTAAAATCAAGTGAGAGAACAGTTTACTGATCACCTTCATTTCTTTATAGCAGCAGACTGTTCTTGGAAAACCTAAAAGACCTCGATCTTCTTTCAACATTTTTATGTCTGAACATTTCCATGAAGCGAAAGGAGCCTCAATTACGGTACACAAAGGGGGGCTTGGTTGTTTTAGCAGCATGCAACTGTATCTTATTTTCTATACTAAGAATGAAAATTAGTACTGAAAAGTTGTCCCTTTAGTGGTCTGTAACCACAGGCTTTCCATAATAAGCTGTTGAATGGCTTGCTGTTGCAGATCTTTAACGTAAACTACTACAAGATCGGTATACAGTGCTTTGGCCAGCTAAACACATTACATTAAACAGGGTTTTAAATATGGTTTAACCAATCTCAAATATTCAAAAATCGATTTCTGTTTAACAGCTAGTGCTGAAGTGTGTGAAAGGCTTGATTGCTGCTAGTTCAGTGAAAGCCAAATTACATGAGACAGCAGGAGATCCATGGCTTTGGCACTGATACCATTTTCTCCCTCCTCCATTTTCCTAATCCAAATAGCCTTTCTTAGAGTTGTTGTTAACACTGTAAAGAAGATCATAAGGATACCTAGAGCAGTGACCTTTGATAGGCACACCGTTTGGCATTGAAATTGCAACTAGTGTTTTAGCCAAATCATGCATATTTGTTTTTGCTGTCAAGAAGTTTGATTTTTAAAAAATGGGTGCTTAAAACTGTATTCAGGTAAAAACTTGAGGTAAAACATGAGAATACCAGTAAATCTGCATCTTCTTCACCTGTCCCTTGTGCCTTACTAGTAGCCCAGCAAAATGTACTCAAGTTTGGACTTAAGAAAATTTCTAGAAGGAATTTCATATCTGGAAGGGCAGAAATTAACTTTCTTCGTGCCCTTGCTATTTGAACCAACTTCACAGGTATGATTAAGCAGTTAATCTGGGTGATTGTTTCACTGCTGTGTATGTGATCTTGTGACCATTTCATCGAACGGCTCACCATAGCTGTGTGGAGATGGCCATTTTTAATATTCAAGCAATAACTGCAGCTTACTGTGTTGTCCAAACCTGGTGGGAGTGACTTGTGCAAGGGTTAAACAGTCTGCATAACTCTAAAACAGGACATGGGTTACATGAGGTTTGTTCAAACCTGCACAACGTATCCCTGCCAAATTTGGACTATGCAACAATGTGCAGTCCTAGCCACCCTGAGTAGCCTGAGGTACCTGATCCTGCCTAATCTTGGAAGCTAAGCAGGGTCCACTCTGTTAGAATCTGGATGGGAAACTTGAATTCTGTGGTTTGACTATTGCCAGGCTGCTGTGGTTACAGTGATTTTACAAAGCAGGTTACTGTGTTCTGTTTGGCTCTGTTTTAAGGGCAGTATGATAACTATAAGAAATTAAAAATGTCAGATGGGATTTTGCATTGGATCTGACAAGTCTCTAGAATTATGCGTTTGCATATATTTCATCATCAATACACCAGCAGTAGGAAGATTTTTCTGTTTCAGAGCTGTAGCCAAGTATTCTTGTATGTTTTTCTTTCTCCTGTAGCAAAAGTTGAAAAATATGCATGAAGAATGGGAAAAATTGCCTACTTCACAAAAGCAGGTATTGTTATAAAGCTGACTTCAACGTCCAGTTTTACATAGGTTTTTTTTGTCTTTAACTTATACTGGCATAACTAAGTCTTCCCAAAGGTAAATGTTATTTCTTTTTGTATTTCTCAGATATATCTACAGCTTGCAGAGGATGATAAAGTTCGTTATGCAAATGAAATTAAGTTATGGGAGCATCATATGTTAGAAATAGGATGCAAAAATTATATACGTTCCAAAAACAAGAACAGTCTGGTAGAAACAATAGCTATAAAAAAGACCTCAGAAAAGAGTTCTTTGGAAAGCCAGGTTGTCTCACCAGCAACAAACAAAAGTGTAAAGGCATCTGAGGAATGAACTCGAAAATAATTTTATCCAGAAAAAGACTATATACGGGGAAAACCCCTGAGTAAAAGGCCGAACTTTTCTGAAAACTGTCAAACAATTAGGATAAGTCACATTTTTGAAAATGTAAGAAATCCTTGATCATGAAAAAGGAAGTGTTTCTTTCATAATTATGTAAATAAGCATTATCTTATAGTCAGGTCTTTCTTAAGACTGTGATCTGTATAAAATCACTATCTCTTGAAGTTTATTAGAAATTAAATTGGAATGTAAGCTGCAAGTCTATTTAGTATGTAAATAATGTGTGAATTGCTGGAGAAAGCATGTATATTTGCTAATTTCAGTCTTGGAATTTAAAACTACTGATTCAATAGTATTTTTCATTTACATTTTGGTATGCATTTGCCAACAATGTATACTATTTATATTGTATAAAATAAAGCAAATTTGATAAAATAGCCTCCAATTTTCATTTTATCCAAATCGTAATATAGAGTGGAATCCAAAGCCTTCTGTTTGCCAGTGACGTGGCATCTGTAATGTGGCAACAAAATGGATTCCTGCCCATCTTCATAAAAAATCTAATCTGAAGGGTTGGGAGAATTTTGACCAGAGTTTGGTGGTAGTCATGAGTTTGGTCGCTAATTTTTTTTCTCATGGAATACCAAAATTTTATTAGGGGTTTGAATGCATTGGTTGTATTTGTTTAAAATCCCCAGGAACTTTATTTTATTTTACATATAGTTTTCTTCTTTTTGTATTTTGTTTCTGTTAATAAAATAACAATAGTAAAAATACCACCTATCTTCCTTCTATTAGGTGTAGTAAGTCAGAAGAAGCAAGGGTAGGTTGAACCTATCCATGTCTTCAGGTCCTAAAAACTGAAAGTTATCCCCCAACTGCCCGTGGGGGGGCGGGGGGAAGGCCAGGATCTTTCCACTGAATCATCTGTATTAAATGTGGAATCCAGATTAAAGCAGATGAAAAAATAAAAATGTCAACATGCACTACTGTGGTTTCCTGCACATTTCCCACTGCCCAGATTGCAAAAGTCTCAAGAAAAGCCCCAAAGGGGCTTGTGTAGGCATGATGGTGGTAGAGAACAAATGTTTTCCCGCTTCCATCATACACTGGCCCGGTACTGAGTTCTTGATTAGTTGCAAGATGTCCTTATACTTGTGTTCTACCAGCTTGCCATCCTGATTCATTACCATCACCTTATTAAGATGCTGCCCAAGCATTGCCAAGTAGGAGACCAATTGTGGCAACCAGTGCCACTTCTGATATGAATGTGATGAGAGATTTGGCAGGCGTATCAAATGGAGCATCCACAGAGCTTATTCAAATCCGTAGCTCCTCCACTCTTTAAGAGTTGCCACAAACTCCAGCTGGAACAGGAGATAATCCAAGTATGGCAGGGGAACAGATGTAAAACGCACGCACACGCACGCACACACACTCTTTAAGATCACCATCATCCTGCCTGCCCAAGAAAATGAAGTTGAATGTGTACCCTGCTTCCATGATGACTTGTTGGAACAATGCCATGGTAGCCATGAAGCTTCAGTCATCCAAAGTACAGTGGCTACAACACGGATGCAGAGGTCCGAGAACAATCATCATGCGAATTCCGAACACCAAATCTAAGACCACCTTCATCAGCTCAGACAAGGAGACCAACAACAGTGGGGTGGTTTGTTCCAAGTGCCCAACACAAGTTATGGACACTTGAGATTTAGAGTCAAGTGAGCAGAAGAACTTCCCTACACTACAGGAATTTCTAGCTTCCTTGCATGTTGTTTTATGGAAAGGTGGAGTTATATAGAAGCTTACAGTAGCATTCACCACCACCCCTTTGACTTTCCCTCATCTTGTGTTCCAACCTGGAACTGAAATGAATGACTCTATCGAAGACATTACCTCTTGATGTACACAAAGATACTCAAAGTGCGAGGCACAAATTATTTTAACCCTCTTCGTTTTTCCTATCTCTAGCTTTTCCACCTCTTGTCCAGTTGCTGTTACGCGCTGGAGTGCGACATTCCTGGCGCTGCCGTAAAGCAGCGCCGAGAAAAGGGCGGGAGGGTGGCTGGCGGCAAAACGGGGCGCGCGCGCTGCTCCTGAGGAGGGAAAGTGGCGGCGGAGCTTCCGTCGCGGGTTGGTGTGATGAGCGCGCCCTGACGAGGCTATGGGGCTGCTCGAGCTCTGCCAGGGGGCCTTCGGCGCCAGCGACCTGTACCAGGTGCTGGGCGTGAGGCGTGAGGCATCGGCGGACGAGATCCGGCGCGGCTACCACAAGGTCTCCCTGCGGGTGCACCCGGACCGTGCTGAGCCGGCCGATAAGGAGAAGGCCACGCAGCATTTCCAGGTAAGGGGAAGCCTCGCGTGCAGCGAGCCGCGCTGCGTCTTTCTCGCAGGAAGGCAGGCACGCACGCAGCCGGGAGAGCCTTCACCAGCACTGCCCGTGGCAGGACGGGCTGTACCGGCGCGCAGCGTGCGCTTACGGTGGGGCGGGGCAGCCTTGAGCAACAAGCGGCGGCGGCCCTTGCGCGGGGAGGCGCAGGCTCAGCCCCTTGGCGGGGAAGCCCGCTCCTGGGCCGGTCGCACGCAGGCGCCCCGTTGTCGGGGTGAAATGCGGGGCTGCGGGGAGGGGGGCAGACTTTGTCGGCCGTTCTGGGATAGAAATATAATAAAACCTGCAGCAAAATGCCTCAGACTGCTCATCCCGTAGGGATGCCCTTATTATAAGTTTTGGCCAGCTAGAGGAGTCGTATCTACAACCCAGCAACACAGATTCTTGTTTGTTCACGTGCTCTTCACTACTTCTCATTTGTAAATATACAATAGACACCTGCACAGGTAGGGAAACACTGTTCCCTCTTCATGCCGAAACTGTTCCATTATTTGTGCTGCCCCGTTTTGCCCTGATAAGGCCTTTGACCACCTAAGTTTGCTTTTAGAGGGAACAAGTGGAATCTACAATACCAGCCACAGTTTTACAATATTACTTGATTTTAACTATTTTTCTTTATTTTGATTCTTTTCTACTCTGTTGAGGAAAATTCAGTATGTGGAGTGATTCATAAGTTTTGCAATTGAATAAAAGAATTAGAGTGTTGGGGTATGTTTCCCCTCCTTTTAGGCAGAAAGTAGAGATTGCCAGTGCACAAGCTGGATGCGGCCTACCGATCCTCAGATGTGGCCATCCTGAAACAATGGCACTTACTAGATAAGACGGGAAGAGGGAAGACTGTTCCCCTGCAAACTTTCCAACTTGGTATGTTGCGGTACCTTGAAGCAGAGGTTTCCAGGAGTAGAATTCAGGGTGGGTTTGGATAATTTAGTAATCTACCATTTTATTATTACATTTCATTTATAACTTGCTTTTCTTCCCGCTGCAAGAAACCCAAGACGGCTTACAAGGTTCTTCACTCTGTTTTGTCCTCACAACAATAAACTTGTGAGGTAGGTTAGGCTGAGAATCTGACTGACCCAGTGAGCTTTATGACCAAGTGGGTTCCAGAACCTAGAACTCCTGAGTCCCAGTCCAGCACGCTAAGCACTCTGCACAGGGTATAACACAGCCTTCTGTTTGTGTTAGAATAACAGAAAATGAATGTTCTATTTATTTTAGAAGTTAGTTTAATAGAAATATTATATCCTTGCTTGTTCTGATGGAGACCACACTTCTCTGAATGAGCAGGTGTCCTTGATCCAGTGCTGTCATTGAATGTTCAAGTATTTTTGGATGCTACAAGTGCCTTTTACAGTTTCTGTTGGTAAGACAGATATTCTGGAACATGGATTACTTGCCACTGTGGTCCATGCACAGGTCTCCTCAGAACTGGATTATGGTTGCTTTTACTAGTGGTCCAGAAGCTGCAGTTGATTCTGAATGCAGCTTGGTAATGGGACCAGTATGTTGTTAACAGATTACAGCTATACTGAGGGAACTACACTGCCTGCCTTTATTTATTTAAGATTTAGGTATTTTCTTTCAAAATCCCTAAGGGACTCTAGACAAAGATGCTTAAGAAATCACCTGATTCCATACCTGCCTGTATGGGTACATTTCTCAGGAGATAGTTTCTGAGTGATGCTTTAGATATTAGACATTCAGTTTACAATAGCCCATAACAGGGCCTGTCATATCACAGCACTCACTTTCTGAATCTCTACTAATTCATATGGGATAGGCTCTAGTCCTTCTAAATTTTTTGCATCTAGTGAAACTTTCTTGTTCTAATGATCTCTCCTGGAATGATCAGGTTTTTTCTGCTGTTGTGATAATGTCTCTTAGTTTTATAGAGTATTTATTACAGTTTTATATTGCCTGCATATTGCTTAAAATATATTTTAATCCAAACAGTTCATAAATACTGATTAATTAAATCATGCAAGCTATTGGACTACCACAGACTTCAGAATGCCTTTGATTTTTGCGGCATGTGAAAATAGTCTGGATTATGGTAGAATGACAGTGAACATGCATCAGTCATCCATGGGGGGGAGGCTCTCTTCTTGAATTAGAATTGCATCCCTCATGGTTCCTCATGGGAAAGGCAAAGGACAGGAAGGTCTTCTCCAGGAACATGATTTACTACCTCAAGCACTGGAGGACACCCTTCTTACAGAGTGAAAGGAGCCACTGGAGAAACATGGAAGAAGAGATGAGATTTCAATTTCAATCAGGTTGCCCTGCCCAGCAGTTGTGAGTGTGTGCGCGCACACGTGTGTGCACATGCCCTCAGGTCTTGGCTTTGGCCCTGCCCACTATTGGCTTCACTTCACCATTCTCTGGTATGCAGCCCATGACTATCTTCCTCAAAAGAAAAAATGGTTCACTACCCTTGTTCTCAGGGGAATGTTCCTGTTCATGGCTTGTGCCAGCCTTTCTACTTCTTTTTAGGCCTGATGGGCTGGTACATAGGCAGGTCATTTGGTGAGGGGAGAAGGATCATTTTCCCCCTCTCATTTTCCATGGAACTCTTACTCTGATGAGCAGGTTTAAGGTTGCTTTTCTCTTTAAAGGACTGTATTCACTTTGGAACAATCTTCTTTGGGGCCATGCTGATAGTGGGTAGAGCCAGAGCTAACAGCAGGCTAAGCCATTCAGTCATCTCTCTCCTTCCACCTAGCAGACTGCTGGGGGAGGGACCATTTGCTTTTGCAAGACAGGTGAACTGATACTTTGCAGGACACTTCTGAAACTGAGTCAGGCTAGGACTAAAGATTGCCCAACCCTACACAAGAAGGCTTCATAATTGCAACTGCTAGCTCTGAACTGAGCATTTTGTTGTCGTCATTGTTGTGTGCTGTCAAGTCATCTCCAACTTACAGCGACCCTATAAATGAATGCCCTTCAAATTGCCTTATCCATGAGAGCCCTGCTCAGCAATTGGAAATTGGAGGCTGTGGCTTTATGGAGTCAATCCATCTCATGGTTAGTCTTTTTGTCTTCCTTCAGCTTTCCCTAGACAAGCATGCTAGGGAAGGTTATTTTATAGCTATGTAAAATGGCAAAGTCGGAAGTGGTTGTGGAGGTTATCTAGTCCAACCTCATAACAGGGCAAGGTGTAGAGTGGAATGGCTATATAAACTGGAAAAAGTGACCTGTTAACGTTTCCGTTTCCAGATACATGCCTGTAGTGTAGGTAGAGTGGTTCTTAAAGCCTCAGTGCACATTTTCTTCCAAAGTAGTTCTGCCTCCAGACTACTCATGGGAAGCCATTGGGAGCTCAAGTGGAGCAATGCCTTCCTCTGTCCTCCCCCCATTTTTTTCTTCTCCCCTCAATGGACACTTAATATTCTGGAGATTCACTGCTAACTGGGTGACTTTGGGCCAGTCACAGACTCTCAGCCAACCACAGGGTTCTTGTGGTGAGAATAAGACTGAGAGGAAGAGGAAATTTGTGCATACTTGGATATACTGAGAATGGTTCCCTACTGGGTTGGTGAGGTGCCCTGACTTGTCTCATTTCAGATCCTGGGCAAGGTATATGCAGTGTTAAGCGATAAGGAGCTCCGAACTCTGTATGACCAGCAGGGGATTGTGGATGAAGATTCAACTGTGTTGACCCAGGACCGCAACTGGGAAGAATACTGGAGATTGCTCTTCAAAAAAGTGGGTCTTTTTCCTTGACCTAGTGAAGTATCAGGATATAGAAGGAGCTCTTCTGTCAAGACTGGACTGAAAAAAATGCCAATTGTTGCTTGGCTGCACAAATTTGCAATCCTGAGTCTTGTGTACATTTCTGTGTAATATGTAAATGTTACAGTGGTCTTTTCTCACAACTAAAGTAGTTCATTATTTCTATTAATCCTTTGCTCCCTAATGAAACTTACTTAATACAATTGAAGAAAAAGTGTTCAGTCCTGTGCTTTCTTGATTTTCTGCAGTGGCAAACATTGACAGCTCATAAACAATTTTCTAAAATCTTACCCATTCTAAGTACATTTTTGGCAAGATGGAAACAGTATGTCAGTTATATTCCTGCTCTACCTTACTTTGTATATAGAGCATATTGTTTCTCTGTAAAGGTTCAGAAAAGATAATTCAGATTAACCAAGTAAACAATAACAATGAAGTAAAAGTGGAAAATAGGTGTGTATAACTGTTGATGGAATTTAACTTTCTTTTAAATCAGATTACTGTAAAAGACATTGCTGATTTTGAAAAGAAGTACAAAAATTCTGCAGAAGAGTTGGTGGACATTAAATCATCATATGAGGACTTTAAAGGCAATATGGACAAAATTATGGACTCTGTGTTGTGTGTTGATTATACGGATGAACCAAGAATCAGGAAGATTATCCAACATGCCATTGACTCTGGAGAACTTCCTTCTTATAAAGCCTTTATAAAAGAGTCTAAGCAAAAGGCAAATGCAAGAAAAAGGAGGGTATGTTTGCTGAAGATAAGATTTAATGGCAAAAATATTTGCAATTAAATACAGTTCTGAATGTTCATGGTTTAACGCATGTTCTTTATTTCATATTTCACGTACTATTTCTTTTCAAGTGTAGCATGCTTGGGGGTTGAACTAGTGCTCCACTAGTCCCCCTTACCTTTTATTCTGGTCATCTAGGTGACTAGATTACAAGATGGGGACTAATATGCTTCAAATGAGAGGAAATCAGGAATAGACTTTCTGAATTCCATTAAGGACTCTCCATTCCTTCCCTCACATAGTTTAACGCATAGATTATCCAGCAGATACACATTTAGTACTTCATTTCACTCATTGCTGAGTGAGCCCATCAGACTTAACACTTCTTTCTGGGAACAGAATCCTGAAGGATTTTGATCCCTCTGTCATAATTGCTGGGTCCACAGTGAGAATTTTCTGGAGTTCTGTATTATAGTCTCACCTATTTGATATTTATGGTATCATGACTGATAATCATTTAATGTGACACTAAGTTTACATACAATTCAGAATATATACATATATTTCCTTCCTCTAATTTGTAACAAGATTCTCTAATGATACTCAAGCTGCCCTAAGAATTAGTTGAAAATGGTGGGGTACAAATTACTACAACACAGAGAAGAAGAAATAAATCTTGAGAAATATATCAATAAATATTTATTTGTTCTAAGCATTAGGGGATCTTCCTACAGGACCTTGAATGGAGAAAGACGAACATGTATTTTTTTTACATCGTGTGTAGATTTTAATGTTTACATTACATCTTAACCAATTGTTGGTTGCTGCAGTCAATTTGATTAAGAAACTGGCTTAAAATTAATTCCATGGACTGTGTTGTTATTTCAGGCTGAAAAAGAGGCTAAAGAGGCAGAACAATCCAGAGAAGAACTAGGTCTTGGTGAAGGAGAAGATGACTTGAAAGCACTGATTCAAGTAAGACTGAAGCCACATGCAATTGTCTTAAGTTATAAATACCACTGCCTTCTGTGTAGTGTGAGGATTGTTTAATCTTTTCAACATTGCCACACTACTTTATTGGTCAGTATAAGGATAGCCAAAAGCAGCAAGGTTCCCTAAGTAACTGTATTGAGATCAGGCTATGTCATTAACCCATAAACAATCCCAAGCTAGAAGCAAGCAGTGAGTAAAGCACATTTCAGATAGTACCAATTTGTTCATGATGATGAAATCTAAATCAGATGTAACATCTCTACAGTGGTCTCTCCACACTGGTTGAAGTGGTAACAGAGTATATTTAGTACTGTCAGATGTAACATGATTCACACTGGGAGAGCCCCCACCTCCTGGCCCTGATGATCGGTCTGTATTGGGTTGTGACTAATGGATTGGCCATATCGGAATATACATGCAAAAGGGAATGCCAGTGACCTGCTGGACTCTTTCATTTAGTTGCATGCTAATTAAATATTTTATCTGCAGCAGTTCATAAAAAGAGTTGCAGTTTCTTCCTTCGTATTTTCTTCTGGAACAGTATCACCAGCAAATCTGATTTTGTTTATTCTGCTCATATTCTCTGTTTCATATACTGGTGTATACATCAGGCACAATCCTATGCATATGTAAACAGAAAAAAGTGCTACAGTTCCTAGTATTCCCAAGCCAGCCATACTGTCTGGGGAATGCCAGGAATTAGTTGTTTGTCTAAACCATCATAGGACTGTAGGGTTTCAGTAGATCCATTGATTTCATTTTTAATGGATGCGACTTTCTGATAACTGTCAAAGGTTTTATAGTAGAAAGTGGTGGTACATTTGTGACCTTATTTAACCAGTTTGTTCTTGGTCATTTAACAGAGCAGAAATGAAAATCGAAAAAAAGAAATGGATAATTTTCTGGCCCAAATGGAAGCAAAGTATGGAAACAAAACCAAAAGAGGAGGAAAGAAACCCTCATCCAAGAAATGAAATAACTGTCTTTTTATAAATGATACCTACTACTTTTCTTCTATTAACATTAATTTAATTTGGGGCAACTGAAAAACAACATGGTTTCATCAGCGCCCTGCAACTGCTATAGAGTAGAAGACAAAGATAGAAAAAAATGAAATGCATAAATAAAGCTGCTATGAAACTCTGATGTTTAGCAGAACTGTGGCTTTCTAGCAAGATGGCTGCGAATAAGCTTGGTCAGATCAAAAAGCTGCTTATTTTTATAGAAAATGCTTGTTGCAGGAATATATTGTTTGTTGTTGTTTACTTGAAAAGTCATGCCCAATAAATCACGACCCCATGGACTACATTCCTCCAGGCTCTCCTGTCCTCCACCATCCCTCAGAGTCCACCCCAACTCACACCCACTGCCCCAGTGACTCCATCCAGCCACCTCATCCTCTGCTGTCCCCTTCTCCTTTTGCCATCAATTGTTCCCAACTTCAGGGGCTTCTCCAGTGAGTTGTTCCTTCTGATTAGGTGGCCAAAGTATTTGAATTTCATCTTCAGTATCTGGCCTTCTAAAGAGCAGTCAGGGTTGATTTCCCTTAAGATTGACTGGTTTGATCTCTTTGCAGTCCAAAGGACTCTCAGGAGTCTTCTCCAGCACAATTCAAAGGCCTCACTTCTTAGGCGCTCAGCCTTCCTTATGGTCCAGCTTTCACAGCCACACATTGCAACTGGGAAAACCATAGCCTTGACTATACGCACTTTTGTTGGCAGGGTGATGTCTCTACTTTTTAGTATGCTGTCTAGATTTGCCATACCCCCCCCCCACCAGGAGCAAGCGTCTTTTAATTTCTTGGCTGCAGTCACCATCTGTGGTAATCTTGGAGCCCAGGAAAATAAAATCTGTCACTACCTCCATTTCTTCCCCATCTATTTGCCAGGAAGTGATAAGAGTGGATGCCATGAACTTAGTTTTCTTAATGCTGAGTTTCAAGCCAACTTTGGCGCTCTCTTCTTTCACCTGCATCAAGAGGCTCTTTAGTTCCTCTTCACTTTCTTCCATTAGAGTGGTATCATCTGCATATCTGAGGTTGTTGATATTTCTCCCAGCAATCTTAATTCTGACTTGTGATTCATCTAGCCCAGCCTTTTGCATGATGTGCTCTGCATATAAGTTAAATAGGCAGGGTGACAATATAGAGCCTTGCCGTATTCCTTTCCCAGTTTTGAACCAAGCAGTAGTTCCATGTCCAGATATGAATATATTTAGTCACTCTCTAAAGCACTTAGGACTCATCAAATAAGGCAAATACTTCTTTATAAAATGCAAGGCTTTTGAAAAGTAGTTATAGGTGAAAAGATCTGTTTGTATTGGTGGGGCATTTGAGATATTCTTTCCTAAAGGCTGCAAGCAAACATTAGATCAGCTTTTCATTAATACACTAAGTTAATATGGGAACCTTCTGCCATGGGCTATGTATGGCCTGTGGGAGCTCCCCATTAGGCACACCAGCTCTTCACAAGGCTTCACTGCCTTGTAATAGGTAGAAAAGGCTGCTGATCAGAGAGAATAGCTGTGTGTGTTGCATTTTATGTTTTTAGGAGCATAACTAATACTTGAGTAGGGGAATGTGTTGTCTCTGGCGAGCAGAGAGCTAGCTCTCCATGGATGCTGTAGAACCCTTGAAAATCCCCCTCCCATACTACAGAGGCATTTTGAGGAGCAGGAGTTTTGTGTGCGTGTGTGGGGGTAAGCAACCAAGTTCTGGTGGTGCCATTTTACTATTTGCTTAATGTCCCTGACAGGTTTGATTGAGAGCTTGTGTCTACCTCCCAGCAGCAGAGGTAGATGTTTTACCTACCCACAGTATTATAAGTCAGAGTGGAGCAGCATCCAGTGAGCCCACCAAGAATGGTGCTCCCAGAGAGATCTTTAGGCAATTTTTCACTGCCTTGGGCATAATTGGTCAATGCCAGTTTTCAGCCCAGAGCCCTCAGTGCAACTTCAAGACCTTAGTGCAACTGTAGAAGACTTGAAGCCTTTCTTAACCCGTTTGAAATGTTGGGTCCACCATTCTATGGTAGATGTTGCAGAAGAATGACAATTACAGAGATACATAGTATATATTTATTGAATCTATTTGTTGCTTCCATTAGGAAACCACACTAACATGGTTCTGAGGAAAGGGAATAAAGGGTGAGTTTTCTTTGTGATCTAGTTCCGATAGTAAAACAAGCCCCTTTAGCTTCCAGCTCCAAGCCTACCTTTGCTTTTGGTGAGCCCCTTCTTAAATCTTTTGAAGGTCGATTAAAATTATTTCTGTTGGATCCTTTGCTCCCCACATATTAAATAGCATTCAAAGAACTCTAGAAAATTTCTCCTGCTGAAGTGTGTCTGACCTGGCAATGACTGACCAGGAGATCTTGGGATGTGGTAGATAGATCAGTGAAATGTTGAACCCAATGCTTTGCTGTGAAAAAGGCAAATTCTCTGTTGGAGTTAATTAGAAAAGAATTTAAAAGCAGATTGCCAGTATTGTACTGCTGTTATACAAATTTATGGTGTCATTACATCTCAAATACCATGTACAGTTCTGGTTACTGCACCTCCTAAGATACTGTGAAGCTGGAAAATGTGCAGGGCACCCAAAACAATCAGGCTGGAACAAGCCCTCATGTGGGAAGGTTACATTTATTGCTGCTGTGCTTAGAAAATAAAGTAAGGGAGATAACATTAGAAGATCATAAAATTATGCATGCTGTGGAGAAAATGGGTAGGGAGAGGTTTTCCTCCCTTCCTCAAGATCCATCTGAGTGGTAGATTTAGAACAGGTAAAATTTTTGTGGTATATAAACTATGGAATTCACTTCAAAATGAAGTGAATTCCTTTTGGCCACTAATTTGGACAGTTTTAAAGGGGAATTGAACAAATTCTTGGAGAATAAGGCTCTCTTTGGCTACTGGTTGTGCTAGTTATATACATTTATCTATTACCTGCAATATCAGTATGCTTACATACTCTCGTTGCTGGAGAACATGATCTGGAGGGTTGCTAATGCAGTCTTCTTGCTTGTGGGCCTCCTGTTGGGGCATCTGATTGGCCAGTAGAGGAACTAAACTGGGCTAAACAGGCCTTTGATCTGATGCAGCAAGGCCCAGATATTCTTAATCAAAAAGCTGGCCTGATCTCTAATCCTGATTGGTATGATCTGATCTATTGTCAACAGGGCAATACAGATGTCCTGGAGCCACAGAGATGGGTGACTTTGAGTGGGAGTATGAAACGTTTTGTTGGGCACTTACGGTTATATCAATGTGTATGTATACTTAAACCTATGAGAGCCTAAGAGTATAATGGTTAGCACAGGACAAAGACATAGGAGCTCTAAATTCAAATCCCTTTTTGTTTTGAAAGTTACTGGGTGATTTTTGGATATACAAACTCAGCCTAACCTATTCACAGTGTTGTTACTAAGATAAAGTGAAGGGTGGTGGAAGAACTATAAAAACACGTCCTTGTGTTAGAAATTTTTGGTTTCACCTCACCACTGAACGAGTGTCCCAGGCAACATACAGAAAATACAAGAATTAAAAGATATAAAATACAAACTCCCAGAATATTTTAAAACTAGGGACTAATGATAACTGATAAAACCAAGAGCATTCATTGTACTATCTTCACCAGGAATGCCAAGGAGGTGGCTAACCTAAACTTCCTGGTTCTACACCTGAAGTGCTGCTAAAAACAAGGCCCAGTTACAAGTGCCAAGTAAGCTACCTTCAATAAAGGTCTTATCACTCCATTCAAGTAGCTGGAATATGGCATTCTTTCAAGAAAGCAGTAAAAATATCCACTCACCTACCCCTCCTATATAAGCCATGATGCTAATGACACTAAACTAAGGAACACACGAATGACCTGTCCTGTCCTTTGAGCTCCTTGGTGAAAAGGCAAGATGTCAATGTATTTAAATAATACCATAAACACTAGTTTCAATGGACCACTCCTAATGCCAAGAGCCAGGCCCGAGCCTTTATTTAATCACAATTCAAATGCAGTTAAGAAAATATTTTTATTTACATATAAAAATTACTCCATTTTACAATTTAATAAGTGTGGGTTCCCATCCTGGCTTTTACAAGTTTCACATGGTACTTGGAATATAATGCAAAGCTATCTTTAATTTACACAGTTTTGTACATTTGCGGTCTGGCACTTTGACTAGTGACCTAGAACTAATCTTTGTTATGTTCAAATTATAGAAAACATTAAATGCAATATTCCATGTAAGCTATGCTTTTTCTAACTAATTCTAAGTTAACATATTTCACTAGGTGTGTCTCCTACAATACGTAGAAAGTGTTCTCTCTCCCCCAATGTGAGAATCCTAAAACTGAACTTGACTGCAGCACAGAAATAGTGGCTTATAGGTTTTTACCAAACGTCTTGCTTTACACAAAACAAGGGAAAATAAGCACCTAAAGTACAGTTGTAGCATATACAACTGCTTCAGTTTCTTGTAGTCATAGCTCAGTCCATGGTTGAAGAGGTCTGATTTTAATGATACACTACATTTAAATACATTAACACATTTAACTACAGTATAAGCTTTTTATCTTGCTGACCTTTCATTTATGAGGTTCTGCAGTTTCTCCCAAAAATGTGACTCTTTGGTACTGACAACCTTTAACTTTTTATAATGTTAGAGGAACTACTAGAAATTGGTCCAAGCAGTAATCGAATATAACTAAATATGTGCCATTAAATATTAACTGGCAAGTCAGGTGGTGTTACAACAGTATTACTACTAGTACAGGAATCCGTTCTTCAGCCAGGCACCAACTGTAGTGGAATGTGTAAGCAACAGGATGCATGAGGTGAGCAGGTTTCTAGAATACAAGACCAATGTCCCATAGAATAGTACAACGTATCTAGAGGAACAAAATTCCAATACAAACTTGTCTTTGGCAGTTTAGGTACATACAAAAATAAAGCTCTAAGAAATATTTAGAGTTCTTCTGTAAACAGGTTTGATGTTGCTACAGTTGAATACTGATTTTAAAAATGTCTACAGGTGCTTCCCTTATCTTGGACATGGGTGGCTTTTTCTCATACCATGCTAAAGCCCCTGTTTGCTTCTTGATCCGCCTCGACTGTGAGTTCTCACAGAACCGTGTAACTGCAGACCTACTAAGCAAAAACCAGATAAACTTTTGAAAGCAACCGTACTACTCAAAGTCTACGCGTATTTTATGCTTGCCATAATGATAATCGGATACGAAAATCTATATTACTTTACACCTGTTGAGAATTATTTGAAAGTGCAGGTGCTCACAAGGCACAATAGTCTCACGCACGCAAGGGTGCTTCCAAGCATATATGGGGCCTTCACAATGGGGCCTTCTCTAAGTGGAAAAACATTTTGATGAAGGACATTCTAAGCCCAAGCCTATGAAAGGGTTGTTCCACTTCAGCTTTTGTAAGTTTGAATTGCTCTCCAGATCAACTTAAATGTTTCCTTGAAAGGTAAAGTTACTGCTTTTCTGGAATATTATTTCTCATGCTTCTCTGCCAACTACACAACATTATGATCATGTGGTGGGGCCACTGTATCGGTATGGTAACACAGGAATAGGAAACAACCACAGCAGTCCCTTTGATAAAATTGCAACATTACAAAAGTGCTGCTGAGCAGCAACCAGCCTGCTCCTGCGATTGAGGTACCAGACCTCAGCAGGTAAGGTACAATTACAGTTTTCTTTTTGTTACTACAAGTTAACACATAATACTGAAACTTGTTAGCTTTACGAGAAATGTTGGGTTCCAAATAGTTCTCTCCAATTTCAAATCAATTTGCAAACCAAGATCGCATTTTTATTCAAAACAATGGTATAAGTTTAACAAAAAGCTGCATGGTTTTACCAAATGAATACTCTCATTTTAAGCATAGGACTATGAAATTATGTGCCATTCCAGAAACTTCTAAGTGATTGGAGCAAGTTACTTTAATTCCTTATTCGACCATATGGACTTAAGCCAGAGATAAAATTAAAGACACAATCCAGGAGATATCCCATACATAGGATTGTAGTGTGTGTGGAAGCGGGTGACACATGAAACATTTAAGGATATCCTGCATGCAGGGAACCAAGAAAATGGTAAGGAACTGCATCATCTTCTAGGTCAATTATCTAATTACATTTTTCAACATATGAGGACACACACAGTAGCTAGCTATAGCAAAAGAAAAAGATGATGGATGTGGTATGTAACAAACTACCTTTCAAGGCTACGGTTGAGTTAAAAAGTAGATTGTTATACAGATTTTTAAAAAGTAGTAAACTTAGCTGTATTCAATTCAGTGAAAGAAGGAAACCTACACTGCTCTTTTCTGAGCTAAAAAGATCAAGATTTTTAAAAATGGGACAATATGGTCAGTGCTGCAAGACAAGGTTTCCCTTTAAAATGAATGCAAGACAAGGTTTCCCTTTAAAATGAATGTATATACGAGTCAATTTCAGCAAGCGCCACTCCTTTAGTTGCAGTGTTGGGTATGACAGATAACATTTCAACTGTGGGAAGTTACTTCCACGTAGTTTTTTGAAAAGGCACAAAGATCTTTTCCAACCTGGAAGATGTAATCATGCTGTCTGATGTCTACGGTATTTGATCAGGCAGCAACAATGGATATCCAAAATAAGAAATATGTAGGACCTGAAGACTCCTCTTGAGGGTCTTGAAATTCAAATTTCAGAAGAGGAATTCAAGATTCAGAAGAGGAATTGGATGACTATTTCAATACTTGTAAAAAGAGGTAGTGATTTAAACATCTTTGCAGAAATGGGATCCTAAACCTAATGTGAAAATCATTCCTTGTAGATTTCTTTATAGAAATGTATGTTTTATCATGAACTGAAAATACAATAAATCATGCTTGCAAATCAAGCTTCAACAAGTGTAGCTTCAGATATAATGGTTATGTGGAATGCTAATTTCCTATCACTGTACATTATATACCTTTATGTGGGATCTTTTCTCCTGTATGAACTTCCTTGCCTTAGGTCATCTAAGAAACCTTTTTCTGGTACCACAATCATCTGAAGTTAAGCTGATAGCTACAAGGAGAAGGACCTTTGAAGTATTGATGCTGTCCTGGTGGAAAACTCTCCTGGCCCACTCTCATTTCACACCTGGCTATTTCAGCAAACTACAGTGGTTATTGCAATTTGTTTATGATAGTTGTTTGGTTTTTTTCAGATCTTAATCTCCTTTGTTTTTAGAAATTTTATTTTGCAAGTTACATTGGAAGTGCTGCTTGGTTCATAAATTTAAACACTATTACAGCTAAGTATGACTTTAAATGTTCTTACCAATGAGATGCACAGACCTCTGCTGCACTATGATTTGTTTGCAACTATCATTTTGTTCACCTATTTCTCAAGCCAATACAACCCTTCCTCATACCTTCACACAGTGGAAAAGGAGCAGGATCGTGCTGGCTGGTTACATGCCCTCCATACCAATCTGCAATGCCCTTCACCTCAGCAAGGTGTTTGAAATAGGGCTTCTCTACACAAAGAGGTGCAATCCAAGGGCACTTCCAGCTGGCAAATAGTACAAAGCGGGACCAATCCCACTCTGTCCAGCCTCTTGGGTATCAATAATCATAGAGTAGTAGTAGCTGATGTTGTTTTTAATTAAGTAGATGTTCTCAGAATTTAAAGTACTGTGGTGAATTATGCACTACCAAAAATTGCTATGATTCGGTCGTAAATATGTACAATCATCTGCTTGTCTTCACAGTACTGTCATTACACACACCACCTCCAGAACGGCTTTTTAAACTTCATGTTTAAAAATGAGTTCGAGGCTTTATTATGAGAGTTGCTGAAAGCAGGAAACAAAATGGTACACAAACACCGAAGACAGATTCTGTTTCAACATCTCTATGCTGCATTTATAAACTCTGCTGAGTTTAGAAGCATTTCGAGGCACCTGATGGAAGAAATGCTGAAAGCAAACTGGTAGGTGCGTCCCAGCTGACACAAAGTTATCAAAGTTAGCTGTGATTGGTACCAATGAAAGCAATGAGATAGGATTGACAAGCTTCTGCTACATTGACAGAATGAATAAGAATACAGTGGCATGACCACTGATGGGACAGCAAAAGAAGCTACACATGCTATTAAAAGCTAGCATCCAGATTAAAAGCTAGACCTCTGAAAAAATGACCAACTACATTTCAAGAAGGATGTTAACTATTTTATGAGACGCAATCAGATAAATGACATACTTTTCCAAATCAGTTGCCTCTTACTTCTTACCCAATGGAGGATGATCTTTGTCCTCCTCATCCTCATTAACGAAATGACCAAGAGGCTGATGGTGGAAACAATTAATATAGGAAGAACTAGATATCCCTAAACTGACTCCCATCACTCCTATGTTAATAGAATCTGTAGAGCAACAAAGATTTCAGCATTAAAACTGTTGTATGTAAGATGGCTTGATGTAGAAAAATCAGTCCAAGTGTTGTGTTCAATTCTGTACATACCTGTGCCTGCAGATCCTTTATTACTTCGGGGTTGATTAGCATAATCAATTATGGTGCATGAACGACGATACTGTGAGTCTGGCTAAAAGACCAAATAGAGTAGTTTTACCATATACTGAGTCAGGGCATTATAGAACCAAATGCTGAAAGAGATGGTCCTTCCCCATATGAAAAGGATCTCTCACAGTTCAGCAGGACCATGCTGCTTTTCTCCCTGCATCTTAGCATGAGCAGAAGCAGCATTCAAGGACTTTGCGGGGAAACTAAAAGTCTGTGCATTTTCCATCTCCCTGACCATTCTTCCTTTTCTGCACTGTCACCAGATCACACACAATTGAAAATCATGATAGAAAAGATAATGTGACCTGCACACAAAAAGCAGTGTGTGGAGAGAACGGCTCTGCATGAGTATATGCACAGAAATCCCGCAAGGATGAATTATCTCTATCTGAAGTTATGATAGTAATATTAAAGAATCTAAAAGATGATACAGACAACTCAGACACTTCTCTATGTTTAATCATAATGTCCATATTTCTGCCTCAATTTTTTCATTAATGGTAATGCTCAAGAATGAGTTACCCAAGGAGGTTAGGATTACACACTATTACAGTAATTACAGTATTTACAAAACAGGCACAGAGCCAGCAGGATATTCAGAATCTGAAAGTCACTCTGAAAACTCATATACTTGTTTTTCTAATGAAAAGGGGTGTTGGCAGTGTAATGAAATACACAGATAAGGATGAGAACTCAGTCAGTTTTTCCTCCTGTAAGATCAGGGCAATTTAGTGGAGCAACTTAGAACCCCCTTTTACACAATTTACCTAGAAGCCAATAACTTAAAAATATGGATGCAATGAAAAAAGTTTTTTTAAAAACCCAGGGGTACATTTTTCTGATTTTTATCATGGAAAACAATAGAAACCTGTAAATATGAGGTTCTGTGTTGCAGCCTATGCATCATGGTACTACCCACAGATATAGCAAAACAGATATCAAACTATTTTGTTCTGGACATAATTTTAACACACCTTACCCAGAATGCATGTGACGTATTGGGCCTGGAGAAACTGTCAGGTAATAAAAATCTTTCTTGTATTGGCTGATGATTCATCTCATCTGCTATTGCACTGTGAGCCCGGCTAGCATGACCCCGGGATTTCTGTCAAGTAACACGGAAACAATTGGTTTTAGAGCGAACCTTTCACCAAAAAAGGCTGCAAACTTTTGGAAATGGTGTTATGCCACTCTCAACACTAACAGTGCCCCTAATCCACTGCCTGGGGGATGAGGGGGTGTCAGGATGGAGGTGTCCTCCTCTAGTTTAAGGCAACAGCAGCTAACTGATCCAAGGTGGTTAATTTGCTGAAGAACTGAACCACAGAAAAACAGACCAGACTTTCCCCTTTCCTAATTAACACATTGTATGGTATAGGCCAGTGGTGGCAAACCTATGGCATGCGTGCCAGAGCAGGCATGCAGAGCCTTCTCTGTTGGCACGCAAGCCAAGTCACTCCAGCTTCACCTCGGCAGCCGAGCATCAGATAACAGTGCACAGAGGGGCCATGCACATGCTCAGAAAGGAGTAGTGGCGCCAGGCAGAGACCTCAGAAGCCGCAACTCATTAGCCGCGACTCATCCAAGCTTTCACATGGCTGGTCAGTGTGCTGCCAAGGATATATATATTTGCTTGGACTGGCTGTGAAGTGTTTTTTCTAAACTAAAACCTCAGTTTTCAGGGTTTATTGTAGTGTTGGCACTTTGCGATAAGTAAGTGCATTTTGGGTTGCAGTTTGGGCACTTGGTCTCAAAAAGGTTCACCATCACTGGTATAGGCAGTAACATTTAGTTTCTAGGCTGACGGCCTCAATAAGCTAAAGTAGGCCACTCAGACCCTGCAAAATCATTAGCTATACTCGGCATTTGTGTTCACAGGGTATAGTTTCAGTTTTAACATTTTATTTATTTATTTATTTATTTATTTATTTATTTATTTATTTATTAAAACATTTTTATGCCGCCCCATTCGCCGAAGCCTCGGGGCGGCTTACAACATAGATAAAACAATAAGTTAAAATCCATATAAAATAATCTTAATTAAAAACACACATTATAAAATAAGCCGCCCTGGCCAGATAAAATTCAATTGTATTTAGCATTTAAAATGTTGCTTAAAGAAAAAGGTCTTAGCCTGGCGCCGAAAAACAAATAACGACGGCGCCAGGCGGACCTCTCTGGGGAGCGCATTCCATAACTTAGGTGCCACCGCTGAGAAAGCCCTTCTCCGAGTAGCCACCCTCCTAATTTCTCTCACGGAGGGCTCCCGGAGAAGGGCCTCTCCCGCCGATCTCAGGGGGCGACTGGGCAAATATGGATGTAAGCGCTCCTTCAGGACCCAAGCCGTTTAGGGCTTTATAGGTCATTACCAACACCTTGAATTGGGCCCGGGCTTCAATGGGGAGCCAGTGAAGCTGACGGAGAACTGGCGTCATGTGAACATAACGTCCAGTCCCCGTCAGCAGCCTGGCAGCTCTATTCTGAACCAATTGAAGTATCCGGACCGTCTTCAAGGGTAGCCCCACGTAGAGCGCGTTACAGAAGTCCAGACGGAAAGTCACCAGCGCATGAGTCACTGTTGCAAGGCAGTCGTACTCCAGGTAGGGGCGCAGCTGATGAATCAGCCGAAGCGGGAGGAAAGCACTCCTCGCCGCTGTTGTCACCTGAGCTTCAAGTGAAAGCTCCGGGTCGAGGAGCACTCCCAAGCTGCGGACCTTGTCCCTAGGAGGGAGTGCAACCCCATTCAGGACAAGGTTCAGGTCACCTTCTCCGAAGCCCGAACTGCCAACCAACAGGACCTCCGTCTTGTCTGGATTGAGCTTCAGTTTATGTAATGAGCTTCAGTTTATGTAACATGTAATGCAATTACTCAGATAAAAATATCTTGCATCTCATTAACAGTATAAACTATTTTCAAAACCTCATCGAATTCTTAGTAAATTACAGTGAATGCTGTAATGCTCCAAATGCTGAAGCTTAAGGGAATCCCTGTAATTTGGGGGATTGAAGTTTCATAACAGAACAGATGGCTTACCATTTGCTTTTGGGATCCTAAATGTTCCATCGCATCTACAGCAGTAATAGGAGGCAAGAGATTATTTCTACTCAGTGGCATTGGGGAAGGTGATGACAGTTGCTCGTTTGCAGTAGATCTGAAAGACAACAGTTATTAAAAGCTGTGCATTTGCATACTAGAAATGGCAACCGGAGTTCAGCTTCAGTGACCAAGTGAAGTGCACAAACAAGTTCATGAAAAACATTGCATGCCTGGGAGTTGCTGAGTCTGTAGGTAAATGGTGAACTTAGTATTGAACGAAACTTAGCAGAGATGAAAAGTGGAGAAGTCTAATCATGTATTTTTCAACTCTTAATATATCAACATTCAGGAATATAAAGTGGTTACATTGCCTTCTTTTCCCCCACGTTAAGGCTTAAGTAGAACTTAGTAACTGTAAGTCTATCATCCAGAGGTGACCTGCCACTCTTCAGAGCTAGGGCTTTCTCTAAACCATTTCCCAGCAATTAACAGGCACAATTTCATGGTGACTTATAGATGTATGTGACTCATTTCACAATGCTAGTTCCCTTTTACACCTGGAAATCAACAGGAAACATGGTTCAGTCATGTTGGTCTGCTTTAGACTTAAGTTCTGTATTTGAGCTGCAATGCTCACTTGCCTTCCATTGTTAAATCACCAGAAAAGAATATGATCTGTATGAACTCAAATGCAGGAAGCATATCAATGAAATAAGGTAAACTATCATTTGCAGATGAAACAAATATCATACTGTGAAGTTCCATCTCTAACTAACAAAATATGGACGAAGCAAGAGCTTTAAACTCAAATTTAACAGATATTGGTGGGCAAAGGGAAACTTTTGAAAGATTTGTATATCTTTTGCTGATTGTTTGGCAAACTAAACAGATAAGGTTACAATTACTTATTCTACTGTTCTTTTCATGCACTTCACCTCTGCTCATCACTGATTTGATTCTATAAGGCTGAATATTTGAACAGAGAAAGATTAACAAATTAACATACAGTCGTGTTCCCCTGATGACTTCATCCATCGGTCTTGGCGTCCCTGAGCGAGAATAGCTGGTGTTGAGGGGATGCAGGGTACGTGGAGGTGGATTGCGCCTTCTGGCAGACTGGGCAGAATACGACAGAGAAGAAGTACTGAGCTCAAGTGGGCGATTTGGCCGAGCTCTGGTTGACAGGATAGAACTGGAGCCTGGTCTCATAAGCAATCTGTCATCCAAGTCTCTTGACACCAAGAAGGGGAAAAGTAAAACATCTGCTGACTGATTTCATATTACAACATAAATTAGCTAAGCATAACACCACTACAAATACAGCTATTAGCATAATAGGAAGGCCTTTTTGCAGTCATAGGAAGCATTACACACACACACACGTGTGCGCGTGTGCGTGTGCGCATAAATAAATAATCCTTCTCTATAATGCTTATGTATAGAAAGACTAATTTTGCTCCCATCCCAATACTGCCCTAGTATTTCCATTAGGGGTGAAAAGAGAATGCTAATCAGTGCCTATTACAGTGGAAATGCTACTGCATCTAGGAAATATGCTACATACTAACTGCACTGTTGCATCTTATGTATATTACCCTAAGTGTGATTGATTTCATAGTGAGTTTTTGAAAGGGACCTAATAAAGTTTGTCCCGTGGCCTTAAGAAGGGCAGAAACCATTCACTGTTCACATCTTAGACTGTCAGCTATACCTTGATTATTGTAATGTTGTTTACACTGGGCTGCCTTTCCAAACTCTTCAGTAACTTCAGACAGTGCATAATGCAGTGCATAATGCACAGACCTTTTTATTCAAACGTTATTTTAATTGTTAATATTATTTATTTATTTTATTCTTTGGCCAGGGCGACTTAATTTATATTATTTTATAGGATGTTATTTATTTATGTTTGTGAGCCGCCCCAAGGCTTCGGCGAATGGGGTGGCATAGAAGTTCCCTAAATAAATAAATAAAATAAATAGAATGCAGTAGTTGAATTAGTCACAGGAGCTGTGGGACAGAGCATAACACTGGGCTGGTTCACACTGTTGGTTATTTAATGGTTGATGAGGCTGTGGTGCCTACAACCACTCTTCTGCATCTTCAAAACCTGTCTAGGGACTGTCATGTACAGTGAACCCAGCAAGCATGGGTTATGAGAGTTTAAAAAAACCCCTCAACAGACCATGTGTTTGCAGGTTGACCAGGGTGACATGATTCCACAAGCCCCAAGTGCGAGTTGGATATGTAAAGCAGTGCCTGCAGGTGTCAGGTATTGTTGTAGTTTAAAAAAAAAACTAGCTATAAGCCATGACATGTGGTCTGAACCCTGGCTATCAGGTTAGAGCTTATCTTCCCCACAACACATATCCATCTCTTTGTTAGATCCTGCCCCCACTACTCCCCAGAAATACACCTGTGCTGGTGTGGAAAAGAACATTTCCTGTGGTCTTCCACAGCTGTGGAATGCACCATCAAAATCTGGCTCATGCTGCCTACGATTTTATAAAGATGATCCTTATATTGGAATTTGAACTACTGTTTGTTATGGTTTTGTTCAATTATAGGGAAACTCTGTAATTATGTTTCTTCATTAAAAGTTGCTCTATTTGTCACTGAAAATCCTAATCCCACAACAAATTTAGGTAGGTGTCGAAACTGAGGAACCAGGCTGCCCTGCCCTGCCCAATAGGACTATACTTTGTGTTTTTCAAAAAGGAGACCTTTTAATTACTTCCCACAGGATACAAAGAACAGGAGAAAGATATTCTAAAGTAAGATATAAAGTTAAGCTGTCAAGTCAAAGCTTGGAACATTAATATCTCTGTTGCCTCATCTCAGTAACTGATAACCCAGCTTTAAACTAAAGGTTGTTTTTCTTACAATATTTTGTCCATCAGAGGCAAGTTCCTTTGCTGTATAGGGATCCCATGAATCACCATCAGACCATTCAAATTTCGCTGTGGTCCACTGCTTGTTCCTTGAGACAGACTGACCTGCACGTTACAAGAAATTAAATTTACCCTCAGAATTAAGTAAAATATACTCATGTCAATGGACACACTCACTAAAAAATGGCTAGAACAGAGAATATAATTTCAACACTTCAAAGAAAAGCTGGGTACATTCCTTAGATTGTATTGTATTATACAATACACTTAATGCAGGGTTTAATTTTGCGATACATGTTCCTTGTTCCATAACCGAATCCCTAATTTACATGAAGCAATTATGAGAGAATCCTATACATTTTTAGACAGAAAAAGGCCTACAATTCCCAGTATACCTCATCCAAATCTACATGATATTGTGGTTATACTAGTACTTTTTGTAAGTACTACCCCTAACTGACTGAGCACATGGAAGCCCCTACAGATCAATTTCAGTGTTACTGCACACATGCTCAGACTAGCTCCCTTTCTCATAATAGATAAAATGAAGTAATTGTCAGGAATTAGAGAGAAGCAACAGCTGCTGACACTCACTGCTACACACCTTCTTGGCAACATCTTACCTAACATGTACAACTAGAAAGCTAGAGCAGCAGTGCAGCAGATGGATTTACAACCACTGTCTCTCACAACCATCACTTTTCTCAAGTCAGATGAAGAGGCGAATCTCCTTAACCCTTCTTCCAGGCTGGCTTTTAAAAATTAATCCTCTTCTAAACCATTACAGCTGGTTAGAGCAGCTTCTGTACCAACTGTTGTATCATACAAAGCCTACCATATCCAAAGAGGCTCTTCTACAGAAGAGCTTCCATACATACAGCTTTTCTGGTATGGTAAAAGGTTCAGACAAAGTGGTCCTGCTCCACACAGGCTCTGGAAGTTTGGTCAAAGTAGTAAGATGTAGTAGTAGTAAGATGACAAATCTACAGTCCTCAAAAGACTACCTTAACCTCAAATCTCACTAAAGTATGTTAGATTTGATACTAAATTTATTCTGGGTCATAGCCTGAGCGTGGTAACCTGGAATGTTAGTGATGTCTGACTAAACTAAATACTTAATGGATCTGATCAGATTTTATTTTGCCCGACTGCCTACTTAACACAAAGGGCATGTAAGAAAAGATGACGACTTACTTAGGAGTAAGTTCTGCTGAAATTAATGTATCATACTTTCACCTAAATTAGTTTAGGATCAACATAGTGGATTTTCCTTATATGGAAAAATGCCAAAAATTCACCCACTGCTCTGACAAGGAAAAAAAGAGCTATACCCCTCCATCATACATACATCTGGTGCTTTTCTCTTCTCTTTGGTTTTGCAGCCACATCTGCGTTTTGAGTACTATGCATACAATAAGGTATACAAGAGGAACACAGAGGATTATACAGGATGGTGGAGGGGAAATAAAAAAGGAAAGAAACTGAGTTAAAACAGATGGAACACTGGTTAATCCTTGGGTATTATGGGCTATCATGTGGAGAGTATGCAGAGTAAGAACCAGTACATATTTAAAAACTACAAGTAAATAACCAAGCTGGCTTTGTACTTCAAATCCGAGAATCACACTCTTCCCTGTTGGCCACTAGTTGGTTATATTTCCTGTATTTGATTAGAGTCTGACACTGTAGTTCTAAGAAAGAAGCTGTGTACCAGCTTCCAGCCCTGCATATGTCTATCTCCTTAAAGTCCAAGGAAAAATATTTGCTAAGAAAAAATAAGAAGAATTTTGAAAGTTGTAATAGCACATGGCAAGATGAAAGTTTCACAAGGGCAATCAGTCAAGCCATTGCAGCTTCTAATTTTCAGACAAAAATTAGGACAGCTTCCTTTGCCCAGCCACTACCTTAGTCTAACATAAATCACATCATTTATTAAGCTTACCAGATTTGGAGGGATGGAGGGCATCTTGGCTTGTGGCATTCGAGGTAACAACAATGGCAAAGGTTCTGTCTGCATAAAAGGGCTTCCTGAATCTGTCCGGCTTGTTTCTACTGTTAAGACATTCTTCTCATCTTCTACTATTTTGAGGACAAACAACATTAATGGACATTATTCTCTGGGAACTCTCATAAAATTTTAAGAAAGGCATTTTAAATTTTAAAACTATACTCCAAATGTCATTGACACCTTTGATGGGTGTCACTATTACTTAAACGTTAGTGCATTAAAAAAAAAAAAAACCTTCTAAAAGTAAAAGCACACCTACTATCAAATTCTGTAGTCTGTGTGCTGAAGTCATCAGCTCTGTTTGAAATATATCCTATTCCCTATAGAACAGACACACAAGTAAGAGAAAAGGATTGTGTCTGAAAATGAGTAGTAAGATTTAAAAAAAAAAGACTTTTAAAATACTTTTTAAAAGACAAAGATTTTTTTTTAAAGGACCTGCTCCTAACTGTACCAGGTAATAATAACCCAAAGACACAACTTGTATTTCTTGAGTTGGTTTTAAGAGACAAGCCCAGACCTCCAGGAAAGTAGCTAAAGACTCTCATACCAATGTTCCCTCTTGCAGGATGGGAGAGCCAGTGTGCTGCCATGGTTAAGAGCATGGAACTGGACTCAGGTGATCTGGATTCCAGTCCCCACTCAACCATGGAGCAAACCAGATGATTTTGGGCCAGTCACAGATTCTCAACCCAACCTGCTTCATGGGGTTCTTGTTGTGAGGATAAAAATGAAAGGAGGGGGAGGATGATAGAAGCTTCCTTGAGTTCCTCGGAAGGACAAGAGGTGGGATATAAATTTCATAAATAAACAAATAAAAATATAATAAGCAGCTCTGGCAGAGGTGGGACAAGGGTGGAGACAGGCTAGAAACAGCATCAGAGAAGCTACTTTGCTCAAAGTGCAGTGCTGCACTGCCTTTGTTAAGCAGGAAAGGGTTTTCTAAGGCAAGTGCACAGGCATCTCTGGGCTCACCTGGCATGCACAGAATGGCACCAGCAAGTACAGAGCATGGCTAGTGCTAAGGCAGCAGCAGCCCACACAGAGGATGAGGCTGCCCAACAATATATGTAACAGCAGCTGAACACTGTCTGATGTCTTCTTAAGATTTGAGTCACTAGACACTAACTCATCCAGGCATACTATATATTTCAAAAGAACAGTGCCGGGCAATAGTAAGTATGAATTAAAAATTATGTTGAAAAAGATGTCTGGAGGGTGACATTTGTTATGCAGGCTTGAGACTTACCTGAGACTGCCCCTTCCCAGTGTCTACAGATCAGCTGCTCCATAGAGCCCAGGACTTCGCGCCACACATCATCAAAAATGTAGGAACGAACAGCATCTCTCATGCAGTATGAGGGTGAGACGGGAGGAAAGCCTAATTTTCTTCTGCCTGGTGAAAGCCCCGTTTTCCATTCACGCAGCCCTTCTTCCCTTGGAAGAAAATTAATGCTACAGCTTTGTGCTCACTTTTTATATTCACAAATTCAATCAGACATTCTAATAAGACATTACTGGAATTGCCATGTAAATAGACATTTTATGATGGATTATCTATAAATGAAATGATATGACGTATAGTCACGGCCTTTGGTTCATAGGTTGCCAGTGTGATTCTTATAGCTTGCTCATCAGCATGTTCTTTCTTGTCCTATTTATATGCTACATTCTCATACTTTCTTTCACTCTCACAGCCCCATGCCCCCACCAGGGCATATTCAGACAATACTTTAAGCCCAGGTGAGCTGTGTAAACAATCTGGGCTTAAAGTTGTCTGGGGACCCCAGCTATGCGTAACTAACAACCAGGCACACGGGGTGGGGAGGGGGGGCACTGAGGCACCTTTTCCCCTTCAGGTCTGCCATACCTCAAGGGCACAGAGAGAAGTAGGCACTTCTCCCCAGTGAAGGGGGGGGGGGCACAACCCACGGAGCACTCGCCTCTCTAGCCTTTAGCGGCTAAGCACTGTCACTCAGGTTCAGATGAGCATTTACTAAATCCCAATACAAGCCATGAATAGGTAAGAGTGGTTTATACGCCATCACAGGATGATGAACCAACCACCTCCTCGGAAGTAGGAGATGTTCAGAGGACAAATTAAGCCATTCCCCACTTAATGTGTCAGGCAAACTGAGTCACTGTAATCAGACTTAAGGATACTCTGAAGGGAAAAAAGCCGCAAAATTAACAAAACCATTATCCCCATCAGGTGGCATCAATGGCACTGATTTCCAAAGCTACTTCCATTATTAGGAACACTTCAGTTGGAGAATAGCCATTTCTGTCCTAAAACTTGGAAAAATATAGCATCATCCCACTTGCAACAAATACACTGCAATATTTGATTAGTTGCTTTCTAATGTTAAGAACAGATAGCTATTTATTACACTTTAGCAATTAAGTCAAGGGACTACCAGTAAACAAGTTAAAAGAGGTTAAACAAATAATCAATACCTACACGTCTCTGTGGTCAAATGCTAAATATTCTTCCATTATGCCTTCGGAGACAATCAAACCATCTTCTCCTTCTTCACTCTCAAGTAAACATAATTCAGGAGGTTTTGAAATGTTATCTTTTATACAAGCAGGAGTAACAGAGGGGAGAACTTTTTTGCCCAAAATATTAAACCTGAAAAATAAAGTATATTTTTCCCAAGTAGCAATAATTAAGAAAAATTAATAAACTTTTTAATCTTTCAAGAGTACAGTTTTTATGACAGTTGCTTGTATGAGCTATTTCTTATTTTATTCTTTTTTACCACTCTCTCATCAGATGAGGTCTCCAGAGCAGTTTTCAGATCAATTAAAAAAAAACAAAAAACCAGTCCCTGACCACATGCTTACCACCTAAAAGACATGACACAAATGAAAAGGGGATCAGAATGGAAGAAGGTAAGACAAAAGGATGAACAGATACGTGTATGTACTTATCAACAGTGTGAATCCTGTACAACAGTTGCTTTAAAAAGATTTAAATAAGAGGCTAAAGTCCCATACAACTTTAAAAACAAAAAATATACATTAAAGGCTTTAGAACTTTAAAACCAGCATAAATGAACAAATTAATATAGCCTGGAATCCCAGCTGACACATGTAATTGTTTTGCTAAAAGGGGGCCTTTAAGTTCTACCCATGCATAGGTCTCAGCTATATAAAAGCTGCAAAAACTGTTATTACTTACTCACTAGGATCTCTCTCTTGCATTGGGCTCATGTCTGATAAATCTAAGGTGTTGCAAGATGACGCAGAATACCACCCATAGCCTTCATCTGTGGGAGTCACCACTTGTTTCCCTATAATCCTGTTACCAAAAAGGCAATTGTCTAAATGAAAATAACTTTGAATAAGCATGACAAATCAAAGCATAAGGAAGAACCCAGGACCAAGGCTGTATAACTCAAAGAAGTAATTCATAGGTGAGCAAGAGCACCAGGCATACAGCCCAGAGCAGCATATACTCTAGAAGAGTTTGTTATTGTGCATGATGGTCCAATTCTCAGTGGTCCTGAATCCTAACATTTCTCCAGCATCAATATAAAGTGATGATCTGCAGTATTGTGCTGATGTTATCTGGTACGTTCCAAATGAGTCACTTCCTAGAATTGAGACATTCAGCAGCAATGTAAGAAATACTAGAAGTGGACATCAGTGTGGTCTGCACAGTCCGATGAGCCAGAGCTCCCTTCTCGTTTATGAGCAGGGTGCTTGTGCATACTTCCCCATCAGTCCCACTGCAAGTCGGAGGACCTAACTGAACCACAGAGCTTCCATCTATGGTTCATTAGCTTATCTCTTCCCTGGTAAGCTAGTCCTGCCCTCAGTAAACCTAGGCTTATGACTAGTTTGTCAAGGAAGAAATAAACCATAGTTCCTGATCCATGCACCAGATAGTCTTTGTGAATAATAAACCAAGAAACCCTGGCTAATTGTGATGTGTGAATTGGGACAGTGGGTTGTTAAGTAGCAATTCAACCAGGGGCAAACAGAAAGGAGAAGAATGGTTAAAATACATTGGCACTTTAAAATACATTGCCAACTTTTACAGAAATTAATTACATCAGTTATGAAGAAGCCTAAAAATATAGCTTTTGCCCTTGACAAACTTTTCTGTTATGAAATTTTCTGCATTAAAACTTTATTAAGATACCTGAGATGGGGGAAGTTTGACATCCATTGTTGGCACTCTTCCTCTAGGCCTTCAACATACACACTTGTTTTCTGTTCATACAAAAGCTCATCAATGTGTCTGAATATCTGTTGAACTTGCCATGTAGCAGCTTTATCAAATTCCTAGGGGAAAAAATGGGTGTGAACTGAGCCAGTGTGTGAAAATATGTGAATACATGAAAGGACAGGAATCCAAATTGATCAGCAATGCCTTTCAAGGCATTTTTCCCATTTTAAACTGAGAAACTGTACTCTACTCACATCATAGCCCCAAGAAAAGACGGAGCTGTCTTCTGTGGAGTTGCCTGTGAAGCTCTGACTAGCTGACCATGAGTTCCCATTGTCCACCGAAGTGACAAATTGGTAGTTTGAATCTCTTGTACTTTCAGACTCACTGAAAGGCACATAAATGCAGATAAAGTCATACATATACTGATGGATTAAGCTTTTAAAGGAAAAGTAAATATATATGTGGAACAGTTTAGAGTCCAGTCAGAAGGAATCAACTTTAAATTATGTAAATTTTCATCTCAAGACATATGTATCATACAAAATTCTGCTAAAGATTAGGTCTGTAAATGCATTCATGTACTCAAATTGTAGCAAAAAGAAGCTTGTTAGTTATAAAATAAAAATATAACTCACAAAACAACGAATTTTACAATGAAGTTAAACTCTATATCAGTGCAATCAATTATTATAACAATATTATGTCAATTTAAAACTATCTGAACAGTATTTTAAACCAGTCAATTTTTATTGTCATCTTGAATTCCAAAGGTCAAGCCATAAAGTTACGTTTATACAACTGAAAATGAAATTAAATAAAGTATTTATAACAGAGATAAAAGAACATTTTAAAAACACAGCTATGTGTCTGCTGTATGGCAACAGATGCTTCTTCTACATGAAGATTGTATATACATATGAGTATGCGGTTGCTTCATGAAATAACTGACTGGGAGGAAACCTTCTCTCACTCTGCAATCTGATGTGCCATGTTACAAATAGGATGCCATCTCCTACAACATCCTTGTTTGCTTCATGAAACAACTGACTTGAGATGCTGATCAAATGATTAGATAGTCTATATTTAAAGTCAGTATTTAAGGGAGTGATCCTATAGCCCATAAACAGTGCCTGAAGTGCCATGGCGTTTTCCAGATTTCCAACTGTGAGGTCCAAGACCCTGGAACTGGGAATCAGAGCTCCAACCCCCACCCATCCCCTGCAGTTTGTCACAGGAAGAACTGCACTGACTGCTCTTCAAGGCTGAGAAAGCAACTTTGGAGATGCACTAAAACAGGCAATTCAGAAGAACAGAAGAATACTGAGAAGATCAAGTAAGGTGCTGCTTTTCCATCCCCATTCCCTCCTCTGAGATGCTACAGCTGAGCAGGTGAAAAGATCCATCTAGTGAAAATGCAGAACAGGAGGATGGGAAAGAGGAAGATAATCTCTGCGGCTCCTCCCACTCTGTCTTGAATGCCGTAAGCTTCTGAGTTCAGCAGTTTACAGGCATCATGATAGGACTAAGCTGTCCCAGTCAGACTAAGTGGCTGAGGAAAAATTATACTAATAAACAAAAAATTATACTATCTCAATACCTTGAAATATCTTCTTGACTTTCCGTGGAAGTATAACTATCATCCAGTGAGTCTGGCAGGGGATGTTGTTCTAAGGAATTTTTTGTACTTCCTTGGCTAACAAAAAATAAAAATAAAGATATGACTTTATACCTAGAAATAAATTCCTACAACTAAAGATAATTACATTTCTTCTTGAAATTTAATACAAGCAAACCTTCTTAAAATGTTTGGAAAACATACCTTTTCATTAATATAAATATGTGAGTTTTCAAAATATGCTATCCTTTATGCTTCCATCAACCAGAGAAACCCAAAAGATTTTTCACATGATCTCGATCAATTATCAATTACATAAACTCAGGTTTTTTGTACCATGTGTATCTAAGGATATCTTATTTAACTATAGGATCTAGAAATATACATGTGTATTTTTAAAAAGCAACACATACATTGGCTTCAGTACAGATTGTTGGCAGCAGATGGACAAGGTTAGTTTAGCTCTCAGTCTGACAGTCAGATTCTGGTTCAGCTGAGGCATAGGTAGGATACAAAGTACATTCAGCAGCAGCAGAAGGGTAAGTCCAAATATGAGATAAATTGATTCAACAAAGGTAGCTGCATCTTTTAGTTTACAAAAGATGAGCAAAGACATCAAGGGCAGAACATTTTGGAGGACATTCCTTCAATAGTTGGAGACGACTTGATGACACATAACATTAACATCAGCGTTGTACCATGGCTACCTCTGAAAATGTGAGGGGAAATCTGAGTACAAGAAGGAAAGGTTTTGGATGTGTACAAACCTATTTCCTAACCATGGTTAAGACGGCAAAGATTTTCTTGGGCAGCCAGCAGTTCCCTGCTTCTTATTTTCAAGAAGACTGACCTTACCATCAACAATCATACTATGATTATGTGGTCCTGAAAGGCTGAAGTTCATTCAGTGCAATCCTATGCAGTATTAAGTCTGCCCAACCCCACTAAATCAATGGGCTTACACATGCCTGCAATGTACCACAGCCTTAAAAACACCAGGAATGCCCATCAATTGTTGGTTCTTTTTTAAAAGCCCTTCTAATTTATCCTCTGTACATGCAAACAAAACCTATTTTTTCCCAACAGAGTCAAAAGAGGCTGTTATTACTGTTCTCTTCCCCAAAAGTCTTGTTTTAAAGTGAAATGTAAACCTGCGCCTGTGTGGTACAACTGCTGGTAGGATCCCCATGTGATTGCTTTTCCATACCAAAGGCAGGCAAGAAGCTGAAGGCCTACTCCAGTTGGATTCCTTCTTGCAGAGCTAAGCGGCATCAACTGTCTTTCAAAGAAGTGTGGGACACAGGGATAGGCAAAGGGAAGAGCCAGACCTGCTCTTGTTAGCCAGAGTTTCAACAGTCTGCTGTCAGTCATTTCCTCTTCCCTCCCCTTCCCTTTTCCCTTGTGTGTCATGTAGTTTAGATTGTAAGATTTTGGGCAGGGACTGCCTTTTTCGCTGAAATATTGGAAAAGCCACAGCAAGCTTTAATGACTGAGAAGTGGGATAAACATACTTTACATAAACAGTCATAAAAAAAAAGACATCGTGGCAAAGGTTCTCCTACAACCCCTCTCTTCCAGATGTCAGTTTTCTTTCTGGGGATGGGTCTTTTTTGTAGTGAAGGAGCCTGATTAGCTTAACAAACTGCATTTTCTTTTTGTAAAACTGCTTGCTTTGGAGAGGAAAAGGAAAGGCAAAAGAATGTTGATAAAGGGGGACAAAGAGGCAGTGAGTGAGAGAAGACCCCCCACGCGAGGCCTGGCGCTAGCAGTGATCACGCTCCCCCTGGGAGGGGGCTGGACACGGATCAGCCCCTGCAGAGGCCAGGCATGCAGTGGCCATGCAGACCCCGCAAGGGCATTGGGGGACGGGTCAGGCAGACCCTGAGAGGGGATGGGGGAAGGAAAAATGGGGCGAGATTGAGTGGAAAAGGGTAAAAAAAAGTATAAGAAGGGTCAGTTGGAGAAATTTGTGTGTGTCGCTGCCTGCCTGCGTGCAGCGAGCGGACACCCGGTTGCTTTGCTCAGCTGAATGAAGAAAACTGAACGAATCTCCGCCTGACTGAACCTCACTGGCACTTGGTTTAGTGGGTCTGCAAGTCACCTGGCTGGCAGGGACCTCAACAGCAGTGCATGCGAAGCCCCCACCTGCAGTCTCAAACGGTACTGGTTTGCCACCTCCACAGAGCTGGGCGAGAGCTCTCACGTGCAGCCCCTCCGAGGAAGCCTCTCCGCCCTGCCAGCGGCGCTGCACTCCCCTCGCACCCTCTTGGCAGTGGGGCGGTCGCCTGGAAACGCATTTTTGCGGAGAGAGATCTTAGGCCAGGAGGAACACCGGAGATGCAGCCGTGCAAAGAGGCGGGAGCAGAGGTACGAGGGAAGCGCGGCTGCCGGGCACAGCCTGGCCGGCTTCACCTTCAAGCGCCTACTCAGGCACCGCGCAAGGCCGCAGCAGGCTGGGTGGGTGGGTCGGAGGCAGGAAAGAGCCTCCCGCGGGCTGGCAGTGGGAAGGGGCCCGCACCGTGCGCCCCCCCCGCGCCGCAGGAAGGTCACTCACATCCCCAGGGCGTCGGGGGGCACCGGCTTCCGCGTGTACCGCGAGATCATCCTCCTGTCTCACCAGCGGATCCAGGCTCGCACCTACGCGGCCGGTGGGCCAGCTCGGGCCCTGGCCGCCATGGCGACGCGACGCCCCGCCCGCGTTCCGCCCGCCCCCTGCCGAGCGAGGCGAGAGGAAGTCTCGCTCGGAGGGCACGAGCGCGCGCCGCGTGGAGTGGCGCGAGGCGATGAGGTGGCAGCGGGGCGCGCGCGCCGCCGTCGGGTTCCGCGTGACCGTCGCAGGCACTGTGCGGTGGGGGGCTCGGCATTCTGGGTGGGAGGTCGGACTGTGCAGGAGGAAACCGGAAGAAGCCCCTCCAGTTTATCCTGAGTCGGATTCTGGAATGAAGACAGCGGATCCTTAGCGGCTGCCCCAGCAAATTTGGTATGGGACAATGACACATTTTGTATTTATCCTGTCTTTTATCCAAGGAGCTCAGGGGTGGCAGACATGGAGTTCCCTCTCACAACACCCATGTAAGAGCCAGTGCGGTGTAGTGGCTAAGGGCGTGGGACTGGGACTCAGGCAATCTGAATTCTAGTTCCCGCACAGCCGTGGAACCAACTGGGTAATTTTGGGCCAGTCACAGACTCTCAGCCTACCTCATATGGCTCTTGTTGTGATGATAGAACTGAAAGGAGGAGGAGAATAATGTAAGCTGCTTTGAGTTTGGCATAAGAAAAAATCAAGATATAAATCTTATACATAAATAAGAGTTTTGGCTGAGACAAATGTTCAAAGACACCCAGTGAGCTTCATAAGTTTGGCTATATGAAATGTGCTATGCATCTTTTTAAATAGGTAAAGGGCAGAGTGGTGCACAAATCAATGGATAGAACTTTCATTGGTTAAATCGTGCAATCAATGGCATATAACCAGTCTGAGAAAAGACCTGTTTTCTAGAAATCCGCATGTGTACCTCCCTGAAATGTAGCTGAGACTGCCCAGGCACCATTCCAGAGAAAGCTAGTTGTTGTTGTTGTTGTTATAACATTTCTATGCCGCCCCTTGCCGAAGCCTCCGGGCGGCTTACAACACAGTAAAATACATTGAAATACAATAGAACATAATAAATAGTTGGCGCTTGACAGATAAGAGCACCCACTCCCTCCTCCTCCTCTTCTATGCAATAGCACCCCATCCTTCCCCCTTCTTCAAAGCATCTTCTTTGGTGTCCAAGTGGGAAGATCACACCATTGTAACCTTTTACTTCTGTAACCTATTGGAAAGTGTTAACTGTGTTACAGGCAACCTTTAATGATCTATGTATAAAAGAGCCAGCTGAGGACTGCTGAGGGGCTCCATCCAGAATGATTTGTTGGTAGCTAGTTATTCTTCAGAATAAATTTTTTAAAGAAAAACCTTCCCCTGTTGTGTAATTTGGGTATATGCACACCAGGACACAGACCTTTTGGTCAACAGAGCATCTCTCAGTTGCTATCATCCTGGAGTTTCCCTCTTGTCTCCTGACAAACTCTGCATTCAACTTCTTCATGATAAGACAGTAAATCAAGACTCTAATGGTACCTTATTGTGGAAAGCTTTTCCTGATGAGCAGAGGGTAAAATCTTGTCTGTGATTCAACTGTTAGAAGTGCAAGAGTCCTGCCAACTAAAAATGTAGCAGGTGTTGGGTTGGATTCAGGAACTGCCCTTCATTGATTAGAGGTTCTGCTCATAGTAGGTGCCTTTATTTGTATATTTATGGATTTATATCCTGCCTTTTCCCTACAAAGGGCTCAAGGCAGCTTACATCATTCTCCTCCATCTTATCCCCACAAAAACAACCCTGTGAGGTAGGTTGGGCTGAGAGTCTGTGACTGGCCCAAAGTCACCCAGTTGGCTCCATGGCTGAGTGAGGACTAGAACCCAGATCGTCTGTGTCCCAGTCCCATGCTCTTAACCACCACACCACACTGGCTCTCAGTGTTCAAGTGTTCACTGCTTTGCCAGATGTTCAAGCATTCCCCTTGTAGTACAACTCACCCCATTCCTCAAGGTCTCTTGATCTGTGTAGCATTTTCAGTGGCTGAAGAAGCTACTGTCCATCTGACCAGTTACAGGCAACTAAATATGAACTCAGCCCCTATCCTTCCTTGAAGGAAAAGGGGCTATGTAAAGCTATTTCTCAGATACTGTTTCGTGACTTCCATGTCAGGAGTGGATCCCAACCCAGTATGTGATTGAATACTAGGTGGTGAGGGATCATGGGAGATGTAAGCAGAAACATCTAGAGGGCCACAAGTTATCAATCCTTTTGTTTGGTTTTGTTCTTGTTTAGTCACAAAGTCGTGACCAGTGCCTCATGGCCCCACGCACAACATTCCTCAATCCGTATACTAGATTAATAAAATACTTATTATATTATTCATGATTGAGGGCTTAGTATATCATATTTCTTTATTGTTTTATTGTCGATAAATGTAGAAGCATTTATTGGCATAGAAAAGGGAAGCTGTATACACTTTTTAAGGTACATTGGCCCCTTGCCTTAGATGTGCTTAGTAAGTGAAAAAAGCAGAATTAAAACAACTGAGAGACCAAAACCTATGTTCAACTCCCAGCATTTCCCAGCCAGCATGCTGGGAAATGCTGGGAGGTGTTGGACTTCTTTCTGTCCGAACAAGCAAAGGACTGTACCATTAAGGAAGATCTTTAGTCAATGCAGTAACTAGAAATGGTTAATGATTTTTGTGACCAGATGGAAACATTTTTAATGACATCTACTATGTGACACCTTTGAAGACTGGAAATTAGATAGCAAAGAGTTCATTATGAAATATTTTTATACACTTGTGTCTAGCTGCATAGGAAAAATGGTCATGCATTTTTAAATAAAAACTTGATTTTGACTCTGTTGGTATTTCTAATGCAGTGTATTGGAGGAGGCAATAATGTCTTTGAATATTATTTCCAGAGAATACTCTGTTAGGTATAGAATGGAGGAGTTGAGCTTTGCAACCGTGGAAGATGCAGTACAGTACCAGCTATTCTTAACACATGAGCCAGAAGACCCCAAACATCATCAAGAAATTCTTCAGCAATACATTGAAAAGATACTGTCACGCTTTGCACCCATATTGGTTTCCTACCTCTGGCAAAATCAGCCATTTAATCTAAAGTACAAAGCTGCCAAAGGTAAAATAATCTTTGCTGTCATTCTTTTTTTATAATTTTGAATGTGGGATAGAGTTAACCCCAATTGTATGAGAGTTTTCTGGGTAAGCAGGTAGGCCCTGTTGAAGCTGTTATCCAAAATGGTCGTGATTTCTTCAGAAACGGCAGAACACCGAATATTAATTCTCTTCATCTTTCTGAAGATGGGGTGTGGTTTTCTGCTGAACTTCAATTTTCTAATGCATGTTGGATGGCTGGAAAGTTTTCAAGGTTTGGTTTCCAGACAGGATATCTTAAAATGTTTGCCATTCTTATTGAAGTATACACTCTGAGCTGAGTCTCATTTGGTTGAATAGCTGTTATTCTGAAAAAGCAAATGATCAAAAGGCAACTGACATTTCCAATCATAAAAAGATTGAGTTTCTCCAATCTTTCCTTTTCATCTCCACTATTAACTTTGCTTTCATTACCTTCCTGTTGAACTCTAAAACAATATAAAATGATAATAAAATACCTAGATTTTGTTTTAGGAACTGTTTATTATTTTTGTAGGGTCATCTATATGTCATGCCACTTGCAGATTTTTTTATTAGGCAGTATACTGTATATGTATAATTAATAACTATATGCATGCTTCTTTACAAAGAACAGGTGTAACAGGAGTATATTCCATGAGGCTTTCAGATACAGGAAGGCAGCGGAGTGGAGGGCAGAATGATCCGGGGAGAACATGCAATTATTTCACTTATACTTTGGACACAGAGTTTAGATGCCATAGGAAAGGTCAGAGTCCCAGCTCCAACACCAGAAATGTGCTCTGAGGTTAGAACTAGAACTTCAATCCCAGAGCACCCTCCACTACCTCTTTCAGCCAAAAGAGAAAGAACTATGCTAGCTGCAGCTTGAAAGTTGGGCAACTGGGGGACCAGGAGAGACTGTTACATCCTCAGGGATATGATGTATCCTAGTGATGTCTCAGCCCATCCCCCCTGCAAGCTGCAGCAAATTACTTAGACAACTAAACGTTGCCTTCTAAGTCTTTGGCAGTGCGGGAGAAGTGCAAAGGTGACCTTCATTTCTTGGTTTGAGTTCCAGAGCTTATCAGGATTACCACTGGATCATGTTAATTACAGTGTGGAGATGAGATGATGGGTGTGGTCCAAAGATTTTCTAGGAGATGGCCTAATAGTAAAATGGACTACCTTTTCTTTTCTTCCTTTTAGGAGATATTCCTGCTCATATTGCTGGTCTCACAAAATTTGGGGATAATATTGAAGATGAATGGTTTATTGTATACCTCATAAAGGAGATAACAAAGGAATTCCCAGAATTAGCAGCTAGGTACTTAGTAACAATATTTGTTCACATTTATTATCCTGTCTCTTGAGGAATTAGTTTAAGCTGAATTTATATGTAAGTTTATAGTATGTGAAACAGTTTCATTTCCTTTGCAAACATTTTTCTGTTGGGCTAATATAAAATGTGGGGGAGAAGAAAAAAATGCATGCTCTAGCAGTGGGTTAAAAGGGACTTCAATTTGATTACCTCCAAGTAATTTATAATTGTAAATTTTACTTTGGCTAAATATATCCATAGAACTAAATTAGGGTGGAGTAATTTCAGAATTATGAGAGTAATTTTTCATTGGCACAGAGTGGATGACAACGATGGTGAATTCCTTTTAATAGAAGCAGCTGATTTTCTTCCCAAGTGGTTGAATCCTGAAAACAGCATCAATCGGGTAAGAAAGCTGTTCTAATGTTCTACAAAAGTACTGCTAAATCTAAGGATTAGATACCATATGCCTATAGTATATTCTTTATGCCTGTTTTAATCTTTTAAATGGTTACTTTTTCTGTGCTACCTCGGAAGTGTTTGACCAAAATGTGCCCTAAAACACCATTAAAAAAATACTGCTCTAGCAGAGATACTGTATCAGTATCACTTTGAAAGTACAGTCCATTCATAGCCTCAATGCCCTTGATATATGTAAGCATCCAAACTTGAAGGTTTATGTGCATCCAGTGTATTGAGCAAGGTGTGGTGGTGCGATGCCTTGCACGGCCGTAGTCCCAGCCTTCACCCCAGTATGCCCTTTTTGCTCTGTTCCATAAGCGAATTTGTCAGTTCAAGAGAGACAGCTGGAGCAGTTCTTTCTCACCAGCTGCAAGGGTAACAGGACTGGGTCTTGACATTCGGACTTCCAGCACCATAGGACTTTGGATCTCGAGAAGCCACAGGATTTATTTGTTTGTTTGTTTAGAACTTTTATATGCCATCCCTCATGCATGGCATTTTGGGACAGTTCACAATGCTGGGTGTGTTTTAAAGTATCATTTATTACTCTAAACCTTTTATGAAGAACATTCAAAACTAGCAAAAAACTTATACTTTTTTCAGGTGTTTTTTCATTGTGGACATTTATGCATAATTCCATTGCCAAAGACCCCCGAAGAGAAGGCATTTTTGCCTGCTACTAATCCTACAATTCCTCAGGCACTGAAGTTGCTATCTTTTCATTCTGGGGACTGTTTGGCTGCAAAATCTATTAGAGAAGCGATATCTAAGCGTATCAGTGGGTAAGTCGTTGTGTGATTGCTGAGTGTTTTATAGTTCCAGTATTTAGGAAGGTTCTGGCTTGCAGATAACTATTTATAGCTGATTAATACCCTTCAAACAAAGCATGCACTAAAAATACTGTAGATAGAGTAAGTTTTGGTGTTGAAGTAATAAGAATTAGTAATGGGAAAATACTGTTATCAATTTCTGTTTTTATGAAAAATAAACTTGTAACAACATATTAAATTATAACTTGCATAAAATCAAAACATTTCTTGTTAACCAGGGCATTGCTAAGTGTTTGGCAATCTTAATAGCTTAATAGGGAATAGAATTTCCTAAATTTGTCATATACTGAGACTTCTAGTCTTAACAGCTTATAAAGGAAGGATCTCATTCAAAAAAACTAAATTCACTATACAATACTAAATAGACTATTCAGCTGATACATTTGCAGGCCTAGTAAGCTTCTAATAAGAGTTTCAAAATTGGCACACATTTATACCCTATTAAGGGACTGCAGGTGGCGCAGTGGTTTAATCTGCTGTGCTGCTGGGCTGGTTGATCGAAAGGTCACCGGTTCGAATGTGCACAATGGAGTGAGTTCCCGTTGCTCTGTCCCAGCTCCTGCCAACCTTGCAGTTCGAAAGCATGCAAATGCAAGTAGATGAAAAGGTACCACTTCGGTGGGCAGGTAACAGCGTTCCGTGCACTTCGGTGTTTAGTCATGCTGGCCACATGACCACGGAGACTGTCTGCAGACAAACGCTGGCTCCCTCAGCTAGGAAATGGGGATGAGCACCACCCCCTAGAGTCAGGCATGACTGGACTTAATGTCAAGGGGAAACCTTTACCTTTATCCCTATTAAGGAAAAATGATCTTATTAATATTATTTACTATCTCATAAATTAGGGCTCCTGGTCTTAATTATCTCAAAAAGGAAAATAACTTCATTCAAATAAATGTTTACTTTATTAGAACTGTGTCTCTTAACAATGAATCAGGTTATGAACTTCTTCCATAGGTATCCTGAGAAATTTCAGACTTTCCTTCACCGAGCTCACTGCTTTCTGCCAGCAGGCATTGCAGTAGTACTGAAGCAACGTCCTGCATTAGTGTCTGCAGCAGTCCAGGCTTTTTATCTGCGAGATCCAATTGATCTAAAAGCATGTTGTGTTTTCCAAATGTTCCCTCCAGAGACACGCATAATGACTTCAGTAAGTAATGGTTCTACTTAGAGTTAATTTTGCCAGTAAATAAATCCCATCATCATGCATGGTTTACATGTAACTTCACGTGGGCTTTCACACCACTCTCTTCTTGTGTGTAAGAGTAGCAGAGATGCAAAAATTACTGAAAACTTAATTCCAAAGGTGGTTCCTGCTGCTTTTAAGTAGGCAGTTGTACAACCACTGCTGGAAAAACCCGATCTGGACCCAATAGTATTTGACAACTATTGCCCAGTAGCAAATACTCCTTTTTTAAGGAAGCTTGAGGGGGTTTGAGGGGGGGAGCAACTGCAGGCACTTTGGAGGATACTGATTACACCCTTTCCAGTCTGGTTTTTTACTTGGTTTCAGGACTGAATCAGTCCTGGGAACCCAATGGGAGAACTTTATCAAGGGATGGACAGGACGAGCATGACTCTGTTAATTCTTCTCATCGAATTCTCCCGGATGGATGATGTGGGCTGGACATTGGAGGCACTGTTCTTACAGTGGTTCCTGGTTTACCTGTGAAATCCATTTCAGAGTGACTTTGGATGGCTATTCCTTGGGCCCTTAGCTACTGACACATGGGAGTCTTACAGGACACTATCTTGACCTCAGTGTTGTTTAACATCTATGTGAAGCTGCCATGAGCAATCAACGTAATTTGAAGCCGAGTGCCTTCAGCATACTGACAACACGCAGCTCTGTCTCCCTGTCGCATCTGAATCAAACGAGGCCGTGAAAGTCTTGGAGCAATGTCTAGACTTAATGATGGCTGGATGAGGCCCAGGAAACTGAAGTTGAATCCTAGCAGAATGAAAGACCTGTGGACAAGCAGTTCCCAAGTCTGGGAGAAAAACTCATGGCCTGTTCTTAATGGGGTTGCACTGAAAGCTCAGGTTCATAGTCTGAGGGGTACTCCTAGATCCATCGCTGCCAATAGAGCTGCAACTGACTGTGACAGCCTTTTGTGAGCTTCAATTAGTTCACCAGCTTCTGCCTCTCCTGGACAGTGATAGCTTGGCCGCAGTGCTGCAGGCACTTACTCTATCTGTACCTATCTAGGATTGTGCCTTTTATGTATCTAATGAATCAAACTGTTGGTTACAAAAGTTTATGACTGGTTGGATCAGGTAGTCCCCATGTGTTCTGATAACGCAGTAGGCTTTTTTCCTTGTTTCCGCAATTTTTAAAATGCTAATAAGAAGTCAGAGTAAATTCAAACATAACCAGTTTCAGGAAAGTGTATATTTAATCAAATACTGTAATCTTTCCAGGTTACTTTTACTAGATGTCTATATGCACAGTTGGTTCAGCAGACCTTTGTACCAGACAGACGGAGTGGCTACACGTTGCCTCCTCGTTCACATCCTCAGTACAAAGCATTTGAGCTAGGCATGAAATTGGTAAGCGTGTACTTTAACACAATATTTCCAATGCAAAACATGGATTCAGCTAGTAAGGTACCAATTTGCCACATTTATGATTTTATTAATTCAATAATAAAACTTTTGCGTGCATCAAAATAATCTTTTTTGATAGGATACTTTTGTCTAGTTTAGCATGTTCTCTTGTATTTTTAAAACTAAAAGAAAATTACATAGGGATATATGAGAATTTTGTTGGGAAATCATTGGAACTTGTCCTGTTGTTAACATGAAATGTGAGGGGGAAAGCATGTTCTCTGAAAATGTTCACAAAACTCCTGCTTCTGTTTGCGGTCAAAAAATATACACTTTGGATATATTATGGTGTAGTTCCTAAATGTTCATTTCATCCATTTGAAATGTGCACTTTTCCCATTCAAACAAAATGGGAAAAGAGCACAATAAAACAGGATACCAGGTGGGGCCCATTCCTATTAAAAACAGTAAAAGAATGAAGTGAGCACTAACTATATGTTGTCCATCAACCAGAAGATATACACTCCTATGCTTAATCTGAAATATAATCCTAAATTCTTCTTGTGTATTTACTCAGGGCGGTTTTTAAGTTATTTCAGTTAAATCCTGTACTTCAAACATGTATCCCAAGAAGTTTTGTATTAAAATAATTGGAAGCTTTTCTCTTCTTTTCTCTTGCAGGCTCATGGTTTTGAAATTCTGTGCTCGAAGTGTAGTGCATCTTCTCATGATTCCAAGAACCCTATCTTGAATCACCCACTTTGGGATAACTTTCTCAACAGCCTCAAGAAAAACAATTTTTTTAAGGTGAGCTGTTTTGCATGAATTGGAAGAAAGCAACATTAACCAAAACCACTTAACCCTACTGAAGCAGAAACAAGGGGGAGGGTTTGCCATGCTAGGGAAAACCCCAAGTTTTGCATGAGGAGAAAAAAATTTAGAAAATTATTGTGTGAATGAAATAGGTGGAAAAGAGCCACGTGCATCATTCTGATTTCCCTGGAGGTCAGATAAAAACAAGTAACAGTGGTCAGAGAATGCTTAGTGTCTGTTGGAGTGTGGAGACTGTGGTGGTGAGAGCAATAGCTATTAGCACCACTGTTCCTTTATTTGGAATCAATTTATTTTCGTCATCATTTTTGCTACTATGCAAAAGTGGCTTTACCTTATGAGCCCATCTGTTAATCATATGTTTCAGTTCTAGGAGCTTCAGCTACACTTCCAGATTTTTATTCAGTGCAATAAATTCCATGATGAGCTAAAAAATGTTATAGGAGAGTATTCCTTCCCCCTGCCCTGTCAACAGCAAATTATTTTTCCTGCTTTATTTGAAAGCATTTAATTGTTTTGCTTCAGCGGTGGCATTGCTGTCATCGGATCTAAACATGAAAGTCCTACTATACACATTTATAGAAGAGAATGTATTGATCTACTATTATATTTTAAAGGGTGAGCTGGAAGGTTCTGCTCGGTATCTGGACCAGTTGCATCTCGCAGAAAATTATTTCCAACAGACTGTAATCAGTCACCAAAGGTGAGGGTACCTAAATACTTACATAAATAGGGCTTAATTTCTTTTTGTTTGCCATGCTGTGGCATGTTGTGAACTGCCCAAAGAGCCTATAGCTATTGGGGTGGCATACAAGTTAAATAAATAATGCTTAATCTGTGTGTTTGGCTTGCAGGTGCACATAATGTGCACTCCAAACATGTATTATAGCCATCTGTGCAATGTTTCTAATTATAAGTCCAGACTGCTCTTCTGCTTGGTTAGGGAGACAGATGCTTGATGATCATCCACCAAAAGTGGAAATTCTCTCATCCAGAACCGTTTGCAACACCAGTCCTGCTAAGAAAGCACTACAAATGTTTTGCATTGGATATAGCCTGCAATCCTGCACTCACTTACCTGGGAGTACACCGTATTAGCTTGCGGATGCTCCTTGATCCACCTTTGTCACTTAAGGCTCAGGTGGTCTCAGTGGCTCAGAGTGCCTTCTACCAGTTTCGGTTGGTGGCCTAGCTGCACCCCTACCCAGACAGAAATAGCCTGGCTTCCATAATCTAAGCTCTGGTAATCTCTAAATTAGATCCCTGCAATGCACTCTACCTATGTGGGGTGGCCCTTGACGGTTCAGAAGCTGCAGTTGGTGTAAACTGTGGCAGCCAGATGAATAACTGGAACCCGGGGGTCCAAAGATATAAGGCCAATTCTGGCCCTCCTGCATTGGTTGCCTGCAAGCTTTCAGTCCTAATTCAAGGTGCTGGTCTTAACCTATAAAACCCTACATGGCTTGGGACTGCAGTGCTTGTCAGCACCACTCCCAGCTCCATTCTAGCTGGACACTGTGTTCAGCCTCTGGGGCCTTCCTCCAGGTGCCAACCCCCCAAGAGGCTCAGAAGGTGGCAACTGGGGGGGGGGCTTTTCTGTGGTGGCCCCCCATTTTTGGAATAACCTCCCTGATGCAGCCTCCCTGGCACCAAATTCTCTAGTTTTTGGGTGCCAGGTTAAGGCAACTCTCTTTGTGGAGGCCTCTAAGACTTCCTCAGTCTTTCAGGGGCCTGACAAATTATCCAGGTGCCTTTCTTTAATTTTTGCTGGGTCTTCTTATTCTCTTTTTAATGTTTTATGCTATTTTAAATTACTAAATTATTAATTTAACAAATTCTTGTTAATATTATTTATGTCTTTATTTTATTTGTTTTATTCTCTGTTGTAAACAGCCCAGAGAGCTTTGACTATGGACAGTACAGTCATGTAGTAGTAGTAGTACAGAAATGTAGTAGTAGTAGTAATAATAATTCAGTAGTAGTTACTTCTAAGTTTTCATGCATAGGATCGCACTACAAAAACTGCTTGGATCATGTTGAAACCCATTTTACAAATACTGAAACCATTAGGAATGAAATGTGGAAAAACTATTGCACTTAAGAGTCCAACTCTTTCTTGATACTACTTCTGAATTCTCCATGTGATTGTGGTTTCTAGACATGTGTACACATAGTAAATATTTAACAAGATTTTCATAGGTGTACAGTTATCCCTGTAGGTATGCGGTGCATTATGAACTGGTTTGAAATGGTAGCCCACCATCAGTATTCATCCATGGCAGGTGGTCATGTGTGTGAACCCATTATCCTTTCTTCAAGGTGGCTAATTTTTCACTAACAAGCCACCCTAATAACTCATGCTTTGTTTTGCTCATGCTCATGTTGGCTGGTCGTGTGGTTTTAACTTGGCAGAGCAATTTTATCATGAGTTGCCAGGGACAGCTGGAATTGCCCAGTCAGAGTGGCAAAACACCTCCTGCCTTTCCTTGTGAACTCCCTCATCCTGACTCAACTGACAGCTGCCTTTACATTTCCATGCTTTTCTCCTTTGCAATATCACTTTGCCATGACATTTGTGTGTGTGTCTCCTGATTCCACGCACCGCTCTGTAACCAATATGAAAATGTGACCTAGGAAGGGAAGTGACAAGCAGGAAGTGGTAGGGGGAGCCAAAAGCAGCTGAAGACAAGACATGCTGCCAGCAGGCGTTCTTATTTTGGTAGTAGATTTTCTTACTTTAAAAGCATTCTTGCTAGCACCAAAGTATGACGTAGCACCAGTGTAAGCAGCAAAGTGGAAAATGAGACTATGGGAATGCTTGACTAAATATTGGAAAGGCAGAATAGCACAACAATGAAAGCCCAGAAGAAAAAGAATTTAAAAGCTGGTGAATATGTTACTGCATTCATAAGGGCTCATAGAATTAATTCTATTTGATGAGCAAATGGGGCAGTGGAGGGAAGTTTCCATCAGTAGCCGGCAATCCCAGCAGTTGCAGACAGCTCAGCAAGCAGTTCTACCACAAATGTGCTTACATGCTGGACCAACTGAAGGACTGAGCAGGAAAGCAAGCCAGTCATCTGTGGGAAGCACCATGGACTGTTCAGCAAACAGCAGATCTCTGGTGGTTTATGTGTAGGATGGCTTGGCATGGCAGGAGAACCCACCCAATACGTATGTGAAAAGCACTTCCTCACTAATGAGGTTTTAAAAGCATGTAAACTGCTGGATCACGAGTGTGGACTATGAAAAAGTGTTTCTTAATGTTGTATGGACATTAAACTTAATTTACATTCTGAGGTTGTGTTTTCTTTTTGATAGTTCAGTTGCTGAAAGTCCAGGAGAGGAAATTAGGAACATATTAAAAGCAGCATCTTTTGATTTGGAAGATTTGAGAAAAGAAGCAAACAGTCTTCCTCCAGAGGATGGTAAGATGAGAGAGTTAAAGAGCCAAAGTCACAACCAGAGTCTTCCGCAGACTCTGTGCCTTTCCTTAAAAAACCATGGAGACCTGAAGAGTTTATTAAATGTAGACACAGGCATCAAATAGGTGTGTTTTCCCTTCATCACACCATGGGAGAGCATTTAGTTATGTTGCTAGAGGCAGCAGAAAGTATGGAATAGTGACTTTAAAGTATTCAACACTGCAGTCCTATAGGTATCTATTCAGAAGCAAGATTCCCTGAGTTCAATAGAACCTAACCCAAATAAATGTGCAAGGATTGCTGTCTAAATTGTGCAACCACTACTCTGTTCAATGCGTTGTGGATTAATTTTAAAGGGCTGTGAAGGTGTATTGACATTTTTAGAAGGAACTGAAATCCTGGAAGGAAAAGGGGAAACTCCTTGCTTCCCCTGAGTAGCAGGATTGCTTTTTCTATACTGCAGTTGGAGAGAAAGGTTCAAGCAGACTTTTAGCAAGGTGTTGATTTTGCTTTATTTTTTAAAAACGCTCATGCTTAATCTTTTCCTGGTCTGTTTACTCCCTTCCCATTGTGTCTTCTCTTATGGTCCCCATAGAGCTTTGGTAACTTGCAGTAACCATTTGAGAGCTGACTTTTGAGCCAGTGCGTCTATGTCTTAGACAGCTGCATTCCTCTTGTGCTGTCTTCTGTTCTTTCAGATGACAGCTGGTTGGAGGTCTCTCCAGACATGCTAGATCAGATCCTTAAGGAGACATCAGGTACAAGCAAGTCCACATCTACGGTAAAAGAGGAACAGAACTATGACTTGGCAGAAGTGGCTGAAAGCATGAAGGCTTTTATGTCTAAAGCCTCATCATATGAAGGAGCAGAAATGCCATGGTATATCTTTGAATCCATGATTGATGCATGATTCCTTGTACTATAATCTTTTTGTATTGTTTAATCAGTAATTTAAATTCCAAGTAGCCATAACAACTTTGGAGAGGCTTAGAAAGTATCTCATGTGTATATTTGGCCTTAAATAATACTTCACTGGAAAGAAAAAACTAGTATCTGCTGAATTTGCCAGTGGAATCACTAGTTATTTTGTGAAATTTACTGAGGCTGGCCTCAATATGAACTTGTTAACTGCTGTCAAAATAGGGAATGGAAACCCTCCAGAAGTATCTTGTTAAGATGACAAATGCATAAAATAGTCAAAATTGTTCTTATGCAGAGAAGCTTTATTTCAGTTAAGGAGGAAAAGAGAATTTATAGATTATACTTGTTTGCCATTGTAAACTTCTTCAATGTATTTTTTCACTGTGACGTCGTCTTACAATATTATAGTGATTAATGGAGTTCAGTCGTTTTTTCCCTAACTTTGGCTAATAGTTTTCTTTTCTTTTTTTTCATTACAACTTACAGTGATCCTGTGGACCCTAGACAGTGTGTGAAGGGGCAGAAGATAATTTGGGTTCCCAGCAGTGAGGACAGAGCTAGAATTCTGTCTTCACATTTTGCTCCTATATTCACACACACACACACAGACACACACACAGCTCCCCACAGCCATTACAGGATGAGCCATGCCAGCTGTGCCCCTCATGTCATATGAATGACCTCAGAGAAGGGGTTTAGAGGTCAGAAAAGGGAGAGGGCTAATGCCACAAAGGTGCAAGGTTTCCTGGTGGCACCTCGGCTCCCTCTTTCCCCCTCCAAAACACTGCAGTAAGATGGCTGCAGTTGGCTGGCTTGCTGCTTTGCAGTATGGGCAGCACAGAGGTGAGCACTGCCTCTACCCTCCCACTGTCCTGCACAGGATGCCTGTAATCTGCCATATTCTGCTGGCACCCGCATGGATTACATGGATTAGCATAGTGATGTTAGTCTGTTGCAGCAGAAATAAGGGCATAAACTTTAAAGCCATAGCTAATGAAGTGGGGTTTTGCCTATGAAAGCTCATTCTACAACTGTCTTTGCACTAATTTTTGTATTTCCTTGTTAATGTACAATGCGGTTGGATCTGGTAATCCATGATAAACTTTGGTAAACAGAAATGTGGGAGGCAATTTTTACCAGTCCTTCTTGCATTCCCTATCCCCCAATTGCCTTGGAATGGGAACATTGGAATAGCCAATGAAGCATGTAGGGGAATGCAGGGAGAAAGGAGAATATGGCAAAAATATTTTCTCCAGAACAGACATATACTTGCATTTGGAGAAGGGGTCTGCTGGATCCAACCCATTTTTTTTCTTAAATAGGAACACCAGGTATACAAAATCTAATAATGCATTTTTAACTTTCAGGTCTTCTTCTGACTCCCATGTCACTTTTGATGTTGACTTATTCTCAGATGCCATAGACAAAATACTGGGTGAGTACTCAGGGGCAGGGAACAGGGTGGCAGAGAGAAGTGTCTTGAGATAAATAAAATCCCTCCTGTGAAGTAACATTTTCTAAATTATTAGCAATGGTGTTGCATTGGTTATTCAGATAAGCTGTTCGCTCTCTCTCTCCCCCTCTACTCTAGTTTTGTTTGTATGTGTGTGGGCATTGATTCTGTTCTGTTTTTAGGAACAAATTCAGAAGAGCTGGACTCAGATGATTTGGAAGAGGAAGAGGAGTTTGAATTCCTAGATAGCGATGAAGAGTCTGATCTAAAATCTGAGTGTCAGGGAGAAACATACTGCAATACAACTGCTGGAAGTCTCAAATCATACATGGATGAAATGGATCATGAACTGTCATCCACCAATATTGGAAAAAGCTTTACCAAAGTGGTATGTTTAACATATTCCTCTCCTCCTGGTGTCCAATAGGAAGAAAAGCACAAAGCATTGGAATGAATTGTGCCAAAAAACAGCTACAGTGTTAATTTACATAGTACTTCTAAACTTGGTTTTGTCTGTGTTAGCTAGCACTGCCAACAGCTGCATGTGTGTCATTAGTTCTTTAAATTTAAGAACTCTGAATGCAAATTAACAAAACATTCTTAAGTTTCTATTACCTTCATTTATTACAGATTGGTTCTGCTCATGAATCTTCATCTCAAGACCCTAAGACTGGTATTGAAGATGGTGCAGAAGATGCTGACTTGACATCAGTAGATATAGATTTGAACTTAGTGACTAATTTGCTAGAATCATATAATGCTCAGGCTGGACTTGCAGGACCTGCCTCAAACATTTTGCAGAGCATGGGAGTACATTTGCCTGAAAACACAGACAACAAACCTCACTAACAATTCACTGAAGGAATAATCAGATTTCCTAGTTCAAAGATATGTTGGTGGGTATGAGAAGTCTCCCAAGAAGCAATTCTTTCTTGGAATAAAGAATGAAAGATTTTTAATTCTCAAGAAATCACTTTAAATCCATGCAAGTAGTTTTTTTTAGTCTCTCTTTTGAGATGTTTTCTAGGTTGTATGCATACAGAGGTGTTAGTGTCAGAAATTAAGATGCCTTGAGAAAATAGACTGTTGCAAATACATTTCTGTAAGTCCTAATATTCGCTAGACCACAAAACTATGTTTCCTTACAGCATTTTGTTTTGGTTTTTGTAATTTAACATGAATTGGTGTTGGAAGGTCTCAGAGGACCATTTGTGATGAGTATGTTTGGGAAGTTTGCCTATATTTCTCCTACTTCATCCTGAAAGTGCAAAAACCTTGAAATGTGGCTCTTTAATATGCAGTGAAGCCTCTTTGTGTTTCCATACAATTAGTCATACCAGATGGAATAGAAAAAAGCTTTCTGCTTTTACTTCAGATACAGATGCAGTCAAACAATTAAGGGAAAGTAATGTTAGTCCATTTAGCTGATCATTACTGATAAATCTTCTTTTATGTTCTTTGTACTGGCATATTTTCTTTCTCTTTGAATTTCAAAAGCTCAAAGCAATTGCAGAGCAATTGTTCTGGGACTAAACTGGCACACCAGCGTCTAGGCTGCCGTCAGTAGATGGCTCAAGGAGCCACTGTATGGTTTTCAGACCAGATGTTGCTGAGTTAGATCCAAGTTTGTCTTAAGCCTTAGTGCTGTCTTAATACATCTTGCATCTTTCAAACATCTTTTGTTTTCTCCATCTCTAATATTAACAAGCTAATTCTCTATTTTGCCAGAGGATGTTGTAATCTTCCCAGATTATGAAATAGAACGAGTATTTTTTTAAAAAACTGACCTTGTGTGAAAATATAAAAACACCAAAGAACTTTACTAAGCCTTCCTTGAAGTTTACTTACTAGGACTTACTTGAAGTGTTTATTCACTCAGTATATTGGATTGGATCCAACACTGCCATTCCATTTGATCAGTGGGATGGGAAGGAGGCAATCTGCCCTCTCCCTCTGAAAAAGAAAAAAAGTATCTTCTCTGGAAGGCTAAGAAATCCTGCAGTTGGATGGAATGTCCAGTAGCACATTGTTGTATTGAATCCATTGCCCCAAATAACTGAAGTATTGGTTTTCCTTTTCTCCTTCATTACGTGTTGCATTGTTACTAAAATTATTTTTAATTTAATTTACTTTTGTTTGTCTGACACTCTTTCACGCACCGCTCAGTAGTAACATGCAACTGTCTTATGCAAAAACAGCTAAAATTCAAAATGAGAGATTTCTATTTTTTCTAACCTTTTGGTTCTTTGGCAGTTGTTGGAAGTATTTTTTAATCTTGATACTGCTTTTCCATACTCTCACAAATGCTGCTATTAACATGTGCATCAAAAATGTAATCCTAAACTCATTAAGTTATTGGTTTATAACAGCAAACAACTCTTACTTGCACAATAAACATACATGCTCGACTCCTAATTTTAAAAAAATTATGAAGGGAAAGTTTCCAGTTTCTCTTCCCCATTCAGTTACCCTGAACAATGGGTGGATTGGTGTCTGCTGAGATTAGGAGTGTTTCTGCCTTGAAGTTCCTTAAATTAACTTGTCCTTATGGCTTGAATCTAAGATATCTTAAAATGCAAAAATGAAAAACAAACTTGAGATCTGATGTGTTTTGGAACACATACAGTTTTGTGAAGTAATCTCTCTCCCTCTCTCTCTCTCTCTCTCTCTCTCTCTCTCTCTCTCTCTCTCTCTCTCACACACACACACACACACACACACACACACGAGTGCGCAACAGTAATGACAGATTACAGAGAACAATTATGCTTTGTCTCCCATCTCCCATCACATGGAGTTCCATATTGCTAACACATCTGCTGGTACTTGTGGAGAAACATTAAGTAACTAAAACTCCCTGTAGTCTGTTTTCTGAAAAGAGAAGGTTCCAGCATCAATTTGTAGTTTCACAACTTGCTATTGAAAACCAGGATGGGTTGAGAGGAAGTTGGAGATCACGTTCCTCTCCCTGGAAATTACTTTTCCAGCTACAGAACAGCTTGGATTTTTTTCCTTTGTCAACTGGAAGAAAACAGGCACTCCATCTGCATCTTTCTTCTTTAAAATTTACTATGAATGCTTTAAGAAGTTCTTACGTACAGCTGCCGCCCCACATGTGTGTTCTTTGGCATCCAGCAGATTCGAGTTTCTACTATATAAAGTACCAATAAGGGGGAACAACCCAAAGGGAATGAAACCAATGTGCAAAACATTTGACCACAGTAGGAAAAAAAAAACCCTACTGGCATTCCATGCTAAATTCCAAATCCACCCTTCATGTTGGAACTGAACACATTCCTGGAGAAAACAGTTATGAAATTTTTTTTTAAAATGTTGCAATTGCTCCAACTACTTGGAAGATAACATCTCGTAAATTCCCTTTTGCCTTGTCAAGATCAGTATATTCACCTTATGTGAAAAAGGTTCATGCTTAAGCCAGTACGTATGCTTCACTGAAACAAATCTAAATAGTTCATTTGTCAATGGTCCGCTACAAAGAAGAAAGAATTGTTCTGGCTGAGGGATCTGAAAGTGACAAGCCAACTTCAATTTGACTGAAATGTCTGTCTGAAATTTCTGAAATGTCTTGAGGAAAAGGCAATTGCTGTGCCTTCCCCATTTAGTGGCCTCTATTCAAGCAACAGAGCATTCATCTTTAAATCAGTTTAAAATAAGGTTTGTATATTTTTTAAATGAGCTTTTGATTTCTGCATTTGTTGTAGAAGCCAAATCAATACTCATTATTCTCCAACTGCAGCAAACACATACCTCTTCCGGGACTTGACAAGAGAACAGACTGTTTCTGTTAAACAGCATCTTACATTTTGATAAAAATATATAGTCATCAACAAAGTAGCAAATGAAATTAAGCAAATAAGTGAGTTATGATCAATCTTATTAATATGGTTTAGTCCCAATGCTTAGAATGAAAAAGCTCTATGCTGCCCACTTAGATTGGACCAGTTGATTCTTCAATTTTAGCACTACCATTCAGTTAAAGTTCTGATATTACTTAGTGCAATATGCAGTGAGATCCTTTTACTTGAGAATAGCTTTCCCCAACCTCCTGCCATCCAGACCTATCTGGGATGATTTGTTGGAAGTCAAAAGCAAAGTAATGGAACTAGAAATTCTCAAGAATTAAAACAGCAAAATTATAAAGTATACCTTTTTTCTGCAGAGTTGACTGCTCTGAGCCTTCAACATGAATTGAGCCACAAATCCATATAAAAAGCTATTCAAGCAGCTGAATGCTGTGAGTACATCTATCACCGCAATTCTATTCTGATTATGTTGATAGAACTTGCTCAATGTGAGCAATATGGAGCATTCAAGGAATGGAAACCATTTATTGGCAATATGCCCAGATGGGAAGACGGAATAGGATATTTTTGCAAAGAAAATGCATATCTTTTGAGTTCCATAGAGAAAACAATCAGGACAAGAAAGAAGTAATTACAACAGTAGGAGATAAATGAAATTAAAAAATGATCCATTTGTTATCTCTGTTTAAATAAATAAATTGCTTAAACCTTGATAAACCTCAGGAGTTGGGGTAGTAAATACTATGGGCAAGCTATTAAAGGTAATTTCCATTGGTTTCTCCATGAAGCACTAAATGCCACTGCAAGCTGGCACGAAAGAAGTAAAGTAAAATAGATGGTGAACACTAGTCCACAGGAGCTTTTTATATAAGAATTATTGTAGACTTTTATTACTTGTTGGATAGTGTAGGCTTAGAAGTTTTAAAATTGGACTTTACTGATGTTTGTATAATTATATCTAGTGAATAATCAACAAAATCTGGGCCATGTCTTTGCTGTTAGATTCAACTGTGACACAAGAGTCTTATCTTAGAGGTGCACTTCAGAATAACTTCTGTAAAGAAATGTGTGTAAAATGTGCCATCGGAATTGAAAATCCAAATGGTTTCAGCTAGGAAGGGTTTCCATGCCAGACCTGGAGTGCCAGTAACTTCTGATTTAAAAAATTCAAAGTGCACAATGCTAAAAATACGCCTGTTCCAGTCTGGGCTCCAGAATCATATAAAGACTAAGTAAAATGCCTCCCACTTGATTGATTCATGTAGAGTAATTCAACTATCAGAATATTTCTTTATAATTTTAATTTTTAAAACAGTATCTCCATTTAAGTGTCATGTACATGCATGTATGCATGCTGATTAAAGAATTTGAATATAGCAGTCTTACTGATCTGGAGGCAGAGAAAACACATCCCACAGTAGAACTGAGAAAACCAGCATTCATTGTTGTTTTCCTTCCCTTTTCTGGGATTCTTTATATTTCCCCCTTTGATAATTTCCTTCCCATTGAAACCAATGGGAAAAATTCATGTAGCACTGCTCCAGGGCTGATATATATATTCCTCCCCATTCCCATGTTAAGAGCATGTCTCCCAATCCCCCCATTACATGCTTCCTGGTCTGCCCCATTTTGTGGTTATAAACATCAGAAAAGTTGTACCCTTGTAGAGTCCATCTGGTATTACTTAATGATTTGCGTGAACTAGCAAGATCAAATACTCAGGTCTGAACTGTTCCTTCAAAATATTCAAGTACAGCCAGATAGAATATAATGGGTACATTTTCATGACATGTTAACAAACCCTGGTATTTAGCCACAGTGGGCTAGTTGTCATGCAAACAACCCATGATGAATCCAACAAATGATCACGCTCCAGGAGACACCACAGGAGCACTGAATCCCAATCTCTGCCATGTTCATGAGCTGTTAATTGCTTGCCATGGCTTCCCAGCCCCCGCACTCTTTCCCCTCAGAGACTTCCATTTTGACAGCTACCAGCAGCCTGTTCAAACTCCCTCAGCAGTATCTTCAAAGCTATGCCCATGGTTATCAACACTTAAAAAACCTTTTGCTAAAAAAAAAGTACCAAGTAACTGTTTTTATTACTTTCTTTTTGGGATCAGTTGTGCAACTTTGAGGATTTGAAGCCCAAAGGGCAGCAGGTACCAAACCTGGATATTGCCCAGAAGAGGCTGCAAATGCATTTCTTCCCCTTGATTACACTTGACATGCATTTTTGTTTCTTCCTTTGCCTGCTCCCTCCCTGTATTCCAAATTCTTTCAAAGTGCCACAGTTCTGGCATGAACAGTGGCTGTTTTATCACTTTTTACCTGCCGCTTCTGTATCCTGGCAAAACAACCCAGGAACATCACACAGTTCGTGGTTCACACATCATGACAACATATGGCTTAAATAACCCAGAGTTCTCAATCAAAAAACAAATCATAGGTTCTCTTTCTGGATTGTTCATTGCTAACAAGCTATAGTTTGTGCAGTTGGGTTTGCATATCTGCCTAAACTGTAAAACTTTGACTATCAATTCTCTTGAGGTATCAAAACTGCCTCTCCTTTAAATTCTTAAAAACCTGCAGCATGCCAGTATTTCTGACAATTCAGTTAGAATTATGCAAACACCATAGCAACCTGAACACAGGTCATGTAAGACTCAAGGGGAATCTTGAATGAACAGTGAAGCACAATAGAAATCAGCACTAAAAACCAGGTTGGCCACTTTGGATAATTGAAATCCAACCATCTGTTCATGGGTCTTCTCAATCGGGGGGAGGGGGGGTTGCAACACAGAAACAAAGCAAGTCAGAAGGGGCCTCCTGGGCCATCCAGTCTGGCCCTCAGCTCCAGCCAGCTCCACTCATGTAACCCCCAATGTGTGGTTGTCCAGCCTATCCTTGAACACCCTGACTGATGGGGCCTCAACCACCGCCCTTGAAAGCCCATTCCCTACCCTTGTAGTCCTAACTGTCAGGAAGTGCTTCATGACGAATACTGATTGAACAGATACTGTGGTATTCTGTATAATCTCAGTAACTTTTACTAAACAATCCTTAAATCAGCTAAACCAATTCAGCAAATTGAACATTGACACCCACACAGATCTTCATCATCTTCACTGTCAACTTTGTGTTAGGCTTTAAGGCATCACAGGAGTCTTTGTCATCTTTTCCACAAATGGTTGCACTTTGCGGGGTCTCAGCAAACTTCTGGCTTCAAAACGTTCATCCAGCTGGTTAAATAAAGGAATCACAAATGCTGTGAAATGTTTACAGCTGAGTGCAGCGTCGAATAGGACGTTAGGCACACCCATGTGTTCCTAGTAAGCTAGCCCATAGTAAGGTGGCTGTAATAGTGAGCCCCTAGGCTTAGAGACGGCACAAGCTGTTCAATACTAATAGCTAAGAGTATGGGTTGACAAAATAGGGAATTTGAAAATGTAAAAGCACTGGACCATTGTGCTGGGAAAGGAATGATAGTCTTTGATTGTAACAAATTCCATTTTGGCTTGCCGTGGGACAGAGGCGGCAGCAGGCATGTGGGGGCACTCAGCACTGCCCCCTCCCACAAATACACCAGAACTTCTTATGAGATCTGTCAGCAAGTTCATTGCCTCAGACAAAAGTGCTGCACGGAAGCCCCTCCACCAACAAAAATATTGCAGAAAAATCAGAATGGAGGGCCCTGAAATTAGGATATCAACTGTAAAAGTAATACTGGAACCCAAAACATTTTTACCTGAAACAGTAAATGGCTGACCGGTTCTCTCTAAGCTGGCCCAGAGACCTGCTCCTTAACCCATTCCTGGAGCAGTTGGTGAGCTATGGCTTGCTTAGGTGGCACCCAAAAGGAAAGGCTTTCATCTTTTCCTTTGGACAACTTTGGTTCCCTTCCGAGGGCCTCTACCACCTCCTCAAGGCTAAACCACTTGGCAGCTTCAAGCTCCTGTCTGTTGATGCTAATCTGAAAAAATGATTTAAAATCAAATCAAAACAACAAAGCAAAAACTGCAGCATCCCAGTGAGAGCTAATATAGTGCTGTGGCTAAGACTGAGCTGTGAGACAATTCTCAAGTCCCGATCTCACTTCACACAAATCCCTGGATAGCCAGGCAATGCACAATTGTCTTTGCTCCTTTCCCCTTATGTAACATAGGAATAATGCCATCAAGCAATCTTAGAGAACCACTGAATGGACCTAAAACTATTCTCAGTTGTTTTAAATTCAACCACAAAGAAGAGCAAGGGTTACTCATAAAAAATCTTACATTTAGATAACTAAGGCAACTAAGTTTGGCTTAATAGCTCCTAGACCAAGGGTGACCCCAACCGTTTCCCCACAAACGCTGTTTATTTGATTTTCTGTTTTTTTATGCATTTGTCCTTTATTCTAAAAGGTTGAAATGCTTCTACTGTGGCTTAGTTACTGGCAGGAAGAAGTGCCTGTTGCCTTTGATCATGATGCTTTGGTCCTTGGCTCTGCTCACCATGGGAATACCACACCCAAGCATGTCTCCAAATGGAATACTGCCCTTTTGCTGAAGGGATCTTTGCTTTTGTCCTAAACCAAGATGAATGACCCAAGGAAAAGGATTTTCCTTACCTTGCTCCGTTCTGGATGCACCAAGGCATGACAAGCTATCATAAGGGAGCTGTTTGGGAATGGCCAGTGCTGAGAAGCAGAATACCACAGAGACTCCACTTCCAGCCCCACTTCTTCAGCTACTTCCCGTCGGACTGTCTCTTCCACAGACTCACCTAGGAGCAGAAAGCAATGAGATCCTGTGAGAAGGCAGTCAAGATTTCTTTTGAGTAAGCACAAAAGAGTGTTGATGACATAAGAAATGGAAGATTACAAACCCTTTCGGGAATTTAACAGAGTTAATGTTAGATTTGCTCGTTACTCAATTGACCAGTGAAATGTTGGCAGGTGGCGGATTCATTCATTCATTTTATTGCCATAGTCAAATATTCTGTGAAGCTTGAAGAATTAGCCTGTCATCTTTTTCACACAACTGCCTTTAAAAAATAGTTAGCCAGTAGTTGCTGTCACTCTGCTTCTTAATTTCATTTTTTTTAACAGCAGAGCCAGCCTACACTGAGCATGAGAGAACTACTTTCTGACTGCTCATCTGCTTTTGCTTTGCAAAGCAACCCACAAATGAGCTCCTTCATGGCGAGTTTTCTGAGACATCCAAACTCACATTGTTAAGGGGGAAGCAACCCAGTGTTTTAGCCCAACAAGAAACCACGGGTTGATGTGGAGTTGTTTCCCCCTCAGCAGCCAAGAGGACTGGGTTCAGGTGCCATAGTGAACAACTCAATGGGGCATCCCTGGGTTCTTCCAAATAAAAGTGGAAGAGGGTGGTGAACAGTCAGGAGCAAGTGCTCCCATGCCTATGCTGAAAGAGCCCATGGATAGCAAATCATGGATTGGTTCAGCATCCACATTGGATCTAAGTTAAAGAACTGAAAGTTCTAACTGTAAACTAGGGGAGAACAACATTTAGTCTACAATTCTATATATATTTACCTGTGAATAAGTCCAGTTGAATTCAGTGGGACTTAATTCTGAGTAAACGTGCTTAGGATGGCACTGTTGGAGTGCCATCCTATGCCCCTTGTCCTCACAGCTGGATCCACCACTCGTGTGCTTACAGCTGCTGTGTCTCACACCAACCAATTTTCAGGGGGAGGGGACACCAGTAGGAGTCAAAGTGGCCCCTTCAGAAAAAGCTCACTCCCTTTCTCATTCCTGGCACCTCCTTTGCAATCTCAGAGAGGGAGCTAGCATGGTTCTTCCGGTGGTGGCTGCAAGGGGGGTGAAGCCAGGGGCTCAGCCTTTGGAGTCCCATCATTCAAGTGCTGTGCATACAAATGTGGAACATGGTGTCACATGTGTCTTCCTTACCCACATCACAGAAGCCAGAAAGAGCACTGTACATCCCTTTAGGAAATGATGCTTGCCGTATCAGAAGGCATCGGCTCCCATCAGAAACCAGAGTAATAACCACTGGAGACATCTGAAAATACAGCAAGGCAGAGTTCAGACCAGTAGATTAAAGGACAACGCTGCAATTCAAGCAGGAACTTGAGAAGTTTAAATGATGTTTAGAATGGCGCCAACTTAATTTTTTTCTGGCTCTTATGGGTAAATCATAGAGAAAAATCACAATGGCCAGAACGCAGGATCCTATTACAGACTGTGATACCACCCATGCAAAAATAAAAACAGCAGCAGCAAACCCAAGGATCAACTAGCTGTGATGACAGAGGTATACAAATGCATCTTCCTATCTCTAAAGCTTTTCAAATAGTAACCATGGAGTTACTGATTTGGATCCAAAGAAAAGTACGAGAGAGGGGAGTTAGCCCATCCCATCTTCCCAATGACCATTTCCTGCCTGATGACGCCTGAATTTTGCCCTGCTAGTTTTGTCCATTTTACCCAACTGAGGAAAAATGGCAGCTTCAGCAAAGTAATTGTCATCAGGAAACAATCTTCTCTGTGGAAGAGAAAAGGTTAACCGCTCTCCCACATGGTCACAATCTGCCCTTATTTGTTTCCTGCTTTATTTCATGCAGAATAAATTGAAGGAGTGAAAGACAGACAACCCTTTACTTTCTTCACAGTATTCTGAATCTAATGAAAAACCAAATCATTTCCTCTCCTCCTACCCTTGCTCCCCTAGGGGGTCCCACGATCAGCTTGCAGTAATGCCAACAGAAATTTCTTTCTAGCTTTACCAATCCTGGCTTGTTTTCTTTATGGCTCAAGAACAGACTTCCCTAACCAGGTTCTCATGATAAGTTTTGGATTACAACTCTCACTGCCATTTGGCTAAGTCGAGAGGAGTTGCCATCCAAAACATCAGCAGGGACTTCAGTTGAGGAAGACCATTTATGAAGTATGTCTCTTTCCTTTCAGGTGCCCACCTGTGGGTAATAGATGATGCCACTGTTGTGACAAACACGTTTGCTTCCTGCCAGGTTCTTCGTGGTGGGCTGCCCAGTTTTGCGACAGTACTGATTGTCCTCATGCCAATGAAGGAGTGCTTGGGCCTAAACATATCAATACAGTGAGTCAGATTTTGAAGAAGTGTGTGGAATATTTGTAAAGGAATGTTAACCCCTTTATGAAAATGCCGTCGTTTCCCCTATGAACCACTCATTTTATGTTATCTATTTATTTTTTACATTTGTATGCCACCAACTATTCCAATAAGAACCTCTAAGCAGCTTACAACAATAATCAAAATCACAACTATTAAAACAATAAAATAATCATATAAAGCAGCAGTAATAGAATAATGGCCATTTAAGAATGTAACAAGTGAGGAGAACAACAATATACATCAGTGTTAACTACAATTTAAAACTTGTTATTAAAATATCTGAAAAAGAGAAATGTTTCTGCCTGGTGCCAAAAAGAGAACAATGTTGGCCACAGGTGAATTTCTCTGGGGACCCTGTTCCACAACTGGGGGGCAGCCACTGAGAAGGTCCTTCTATTTGCCATCCCTGAGGGATGACTCTTTTAGAAGAACCTCCTGCCCAGATATTAATGGACAGGTAGGTATATATGGGTGAAGGCAGTCCTTTAGGTAGCCAGGTTTTAAGCAGTTTAGGGGTTTCTATGTTAAAATAATCATTTTTAATTGGTCCTGGGCGTCAAATGGTAACCAATATAATTTGTATAAAACCAGAGCTATGTGGGCCTGCAAAGTACGACCTGCTACTTTATGCACAGCCCAATTTTGGACCAGCTGAATCGCTGGACCATCTTCAAAGCCAGCCCCATGTAAACTGCATTACAGCACATTAACATCTGGATGTTACCAGTGCACGAGTACCTGTGGCCAAGCTCTGTCTATCCAGGTAGGGGCGAGGTTGATATAGTCACCACAGCTGAAGGAAGGTGCCCTGGCTGCCAAATCCACTTGGGCCTCTGGAGGTAGTCCTGGGTCAAGGAGCACCCCCATGCTATGGACCCTGTCTTTCAGTGGGAGTGCAACTCCTTCCAGGGCAGGATAATGGCCCTCCAACCAGTCAGACAAGCCATCTACCAACAGCACTTCCATCTTTTCTGGATTGAGTTTCAGTTTATTGACCTTCATCCAGTCCATTACTGAGCTCAGACCCAGGTTCAGCACAGAGACCACCTCAAATGGATTGAATGTAAATGAAAGGAAGAGCTGGGGATCATCAGCATACTGCTGACTCCTTGGCCCAGACCTTCTAATGACCGCTCTCAACAGTTTCATGTAGAGGTTAAACAGTATGGGGGATAGTACAGAACTCTGTGGAACCCCATGACGTAACCACCACTCAAGTTGTGGAGCTCACATGATTGGAGCAATATACAAGTTAATACTTGACATGAGCAGTCTCAGTGCTTGTGTTGCAAAAATCATACCGTAGAAATCAAAGCTGCATCTTCCTTTTCTAACTGGAAGAAAGCTTTCTGTAATTTGGTAAATGTTCCATTGAGTTCAGATTCAATGGCAGATCTCTCCAAGGATCCTGGAATTCAATAAATCTGCAGGAATCAGACAACTTGGTTATTACCCCCACCCCACACCCTTTTCTCATAGCAATAGTACCACTGATGACAACCTAAAACTGATAGTAATTGAAATATAAGACTGAGTGTTCAAATGGGTGTTTACAGAACCCTTTCAACTTGTTTATTCTAGGATTTTAAAACTGGGGTCTGCTTAGCTTGTGGAACCAGTAAGACTCCTGGAGATCATATTAATGCCTTGGGAAACACACTCTTTACTAATGAAAGCTCCAGTTAATGGTCCACAGTAGCTAGAGAAAGGGCAGATACTATTCTGGAAATAGACATGACTCTACTCCCCACTGCAGATGTGGTAAACAAGGAGTTTTTGTTTAAAAGAGACAGCAGACTGGCAGCTTTAGACATAGACTAAGGACAGAGCCAGATGGATTTTAGGACCATAGAGAAAAGGAACATCACCTTGATGTCTTTGGAGGTCTTAGGTGAGAGCAGTGGAGTGTTAAAACTGTACCTCTGCTCATCCTGTATGTTTGTAAATAAATGCAAAAAATGGAGACTGTTGTAAGCCCCCGTTACCTCCTTCCAAAGGAAACCAACTTCCCATCTCCCAACAATGGTGTGGTGTTCATATGACAATATATTGCTATAAAATGAAATAGTTAAAACTGATTTTAGAGAAAGGCACAGGTGGGAAAACAAGATTCCAAGATCTCATTCAAACTCTGGGTTGTTCATTGCTCAACAGCCCCGAGTTCCAAGTCTGGATATCACGATAAACAACCCAGGATCAGAGTGTTCTTGGTTTGTTTACTGCAGGTGGCCAGGAACCTGCACACATGTCCACTATCCTCATCCATGGCTACCCAGGGTTCATTTAATCCTGGGGTGACATGATACATAATGGGGCAAAAACCCCAGCTTCACCATGGATTAATGGTGATCTGATCAATATATATGATGTAGCTGAATTTGGAACACTATACAGTTCTTCTTGGGTTTAAAGCAAGATAGTAATAAGCATACACAAAGTATAATTCTAACCTAGATCCAGAGCAAAGTACGGCGTACACTCCTCTGAACAGCCGATCACGATGGAATCCTCTATCCTCTCTTCACTCTCTCTGTACTTCCCAAAAAGCCTTTTGATTTCTGAAAAACAGAAGCACACAGGGAGGGAATGTTTAAAAAGGTATAGTAACATAACAGTGTGACTCCTGTTTAAAATGTTTACAATCATGGACTGAAGAAAAGAGAAGTTTTTTGGGCAGAATTTCAACACAAAAACTAAACTGGAATGAAATTAGTTTCACAACAACAGCTTTCTAAAGGAACACAGAAATTGGAGATTGAAAGAATCCTGAGGCTTCTCTTTGTTAAAAAAAATCTCTACCCCATCCATTCTTTATTCCCCTATCTGCCACTCAAAACTGCTGTTCTCCCAAGCTTCTGGTGAGCAGGCAACAACAGCATCGTTAGCACCTTATAGATATGGGACCTCTTATGAAAAGGAAGTATCCATTAGTCTCAGAACATTATTAGCATAGTGGAGAAACTTACTACCTGCTGTATTTATCTTTGGGGTCCAAAATGTTTTCCCTTTTTGTTGCACGAAGGGACAGAAGTTGTGAAACAGGAAGAAATCACCTGAGTTATAGGCTTCCCGACAAGCATTATCATCTTCTTTTAGCTGAAACATGTACCTGCAGATGGGAATTGATCAGAAGGAACACTGCATAACTGAAACCTAACATCCAGTCCTGTGTATCTGTTCTTAAAGAACTTTCTCCTTGATAAGCGAGTTTAGCACTACAGCAAAACAGTACAATACTGTGCACCTCTACTCAGAAGTAAGGCCCATCTACTTTATGGGGCCTTACTCTTGAGTACATGGGTACAGAACTGCAGCCTAAGGCAAGAGTGGACAGAAGGTAAGTTACCAGATTGTTTAGGACTTCAGCATCCATCAACACCCATCAAAATGCCGGTGGTCAAGAATGGTGGGAGCTGCAGTCCAGTCCTATAAGCCATATCCTGGATGACTGGAAATCCTTCGAGGTTTCTAATCATACATTCTAGCAGAGAAGGAGCAGAAGGGGCAATTTTCAGCTTCCTTCACTTGTCACTAGAAGGAGCTTTTAGCAATGGCACTTTGGAGAGGAAGAGCCTCCCCTCCCACTGAAACACCCCTTTCTCCCTCTCCCAGGTTGTTTTTTCTACCTCTCCTTGCCAACACAGCTCTCTCTGCTCTGGCCCAATGGGTGAGATAGGGGGTTGGATCTCCAACTTCCCCTCTCCAAACCTGTATAAGGTCACTTTTCATGTCCAGTCTGTACAAAGGAGAAACACTAGATGCAAAATGAGAACATCTCTTAAGTTGTTCTGTAGCACTGATGGGAACTGGAGCACTGATGAGAGCCAGCTGAAACATTCTCAGCTTAATTATAAATCCAAACCAAATCTATTTTAGGCTGAGATAATTCAACCAGACATTGTAACATAAAGCTGGCAGATTTTTCAGGGAAAGCAGATGCAAATCGATTTTCATATGACCGATGACTGTTCAAATAGCATTTGTTGCCATGTGAGAAATGGGACTGGACTAAAGTAAATTGAGTGCAAGAATTATCTTCATCCCAGCATATTAAAGATACATTGGCAGGGACAGACAATCCAATAATCCACACTCAAGAGTTGCATATGGATAATGTGTGGGTTGCTGCTGAACCATGGATTGTGTTGTCTGAAACCAGTTGCACTAACAAGCCATGGCTTGTTAACTGCAAGCAACCCATGAACAGAACCCATGGTTTGTTGGGTAGTAAGTTTGGTTTTTCCCCATGATTTGTTATCTTGGTTGGGTAGAGACAACACAATAACCAATATTTCAGTGACAACCCATGGTTTAACAACAACATACAGTCAGCCCGTACACAACCTTTGAGCATGAGGGTTGACTGAACTGAACTACTGTCTAGATTTTGGGAGAGCAATCAGCAAGCCTGACATTCTATTTTAGCAGCTGCTCCTTGTTTTAGTAGTATTTCAACAATGGTCAAAATTTGCAATGAAAACTATGGAAACTGTTAATTGAAACAGTAAGTAGCAAAGCAGGGAAGCATTACCATGATACAGGATTAATTCTTAATTTATCCTATTACGGAGTAATATTAATTAAAATAATTAATTAAATTATTCTCAAACCTATTTGAGAATATTGGATTTAATAGAGCTAAGCCCCAAACTTCCCAAGGGTTAAGAACTGACCTCATTCTTTTGACATAAGTTGAATGGAACCTGTCATACAGTGAAGAAGTTCTTCTATATCCAATTCGACACAAAAAAGCTATTACCATCTTGTGTAACACAGCTTAAAAAACAAGAGCAAGAACATATTCAATGCAACAAATAGCTACAATTTTTATTTATTTATTTATTTTTCGATTTATATCCTGCCTTTTTCCTACAAAGGGCTCAAGGCAGCTTACATCTCCTCCTCCATCTTATCCCCACAACAACAACCCTGTGAGGTAGGTTGGGCTGAAAGTCTGTGACTGGCCCAAAGTCACCCAGTTCGCTCCATGGCTGAGCGGGGACTCGAACCCAGATCATCTGAGTCCCAGTCCCATGCTCTTAACCACTACACCACACTGGCTTTACATGAGCTTGGCTTTACATTTCCAAATTTTCCAACACTATTATTACAGAAATTGTTTCATCCAGAGGAGATAGAAGATAATAACATAAGAAATGTAACGATATTTGCAAATATTTCCTAGAATATTTGAAAGATGGCTCAAGAAATTTTTGCAGAAGCTCCAGCTGAGTTAATTTTTCTTCCACAGACATGCATGTGTATCTTTTCGGCCTGTTTTTAATGCTTGTTTTAGCTTTTATGATTTCACCATTTATGTATTAGTTTTTCTTTAACTGAAAGCTACCCAGAGGACCTTTAAGAGGGGCTTTTAAGATCCGGAGTGAGACCCCTAAACCAAATTAGAGTGAAACAGGGAGAGGCAGGGAGATGCTGCTGCTAGATATGGATCTAAAGAAATTCTGGTTTTGCCCTTACTCCTCTGTAAGGGGCATGTTTACTTCGAAAAAAATCCCATTACAATCAATGAGGTAAACCTTGCTATCTGTTTAGGACTGCAGTCTGAACATACTGTTTTTAAAAATCAAAATGCAAAGCCCTCCAGGGCTAAAAAGTGAAGCATAACTTTTATTTTGAACTATTACTATAATGCAACCGCTTTAACAAGTGTGCAGAGCAGCTTTTCTATAATAAGCATGCAAAGAAAAACCTTCAGCTGTATGCTACAGTGGATGGGAAACTGCACCCAGGAAATAATTTTTGGTTGGAAAAGAATAGATGTCGAAGAGACACACACCCCAGCCTCTTTTCACCTGTAAAAATGTTAGAGCACGTGACTCTGCTTCTGAATGGGCAAGAAAGAGAGTTAAGTTATATGTATTTGACCATGTGGGCTAGTCCACGGAACTTGAGCCAAAACAAATGTTTGCCGTTCCCCAAGACTCTTTTCGTCGCGTAATTTCCAAATGCCAAATGCAACGGGCTCCATAAACGTGACCTCCATCGCGATCAATACCGGGGGTGGGGTAAGGACAGGGCTCGAAAGCGCAGGCCCACTAAGCTGCCTATCATTTTTAAATCCTTCGGGACTTTGGCATAAATCAAGAAAGACAAACGTACTCTTTTCACTTACTGTTCCCAAAAGCTCAGTCAGCAAGCCCCTCTGCAGCGACCACGACGTATTTTCATGAAAAGTGCTCTGCTTTGTCCATGAATCCAAAGTCTACTGCGCATAATCCTTTGCGTCCAAAGGGCTTCTGGGAAGCGTAGTTTCATCAGTTTTTTTAAAAAGTAAAACAGGCTACAAGTGCCTGTACCTGCAAGGTTTCTAACCTGCTAAGGAGGCTGGGATCTGAGTAGCTCTTTCCTGACTTTTCTGATTAAAGCGGGAGAGAAATTAGTAGGAAATTACATAAATTGAAATCTCAGAATATAATTGGGTTTTATAGAAACATCTGTTTAGCTGCAGAGGAAAACAGGACACTGGACTAGACATAGAATTGATGGGCTTCTTCCCTTATCCCTTTAGGGTCTGAGATTCTGCAGCTCTTCCCTTAAGGTTTCCTGCTAAGGCATCCTGCTTTGTAGGATGGGATGGAGTCTAGAAATGAGATTCTGGGCTGCCCCCTGAGAGGTTTTGATCTTGTTTCCAAGTGGTTCACTAGGAGCGTTCAAAGGCGCTGTCTTGGTATTTTGAACAAGAACAGAACAAATATTTGCTGTTGAAAGCAACCTTTCCAGTAAGCTGTGTTAGTAACTTTATGGGTGAGCTCAGACTAAAGCTCAGTCTGTCTTTCTGCTGAGCAAGCTGGACATTTCCTTCATCATGGGTACTACTCTAGCTTTTGTTTTCTTGTAATGAGGAGATTTATGGTAGCCATTTTCTCAGTTAATCTTATTAGCCTAGAGATTAATTTGAAAGTGCTTGCTGTGTTCAAAAAAATCTCATTAGAAACACTCAAGCATAACCTGATGGTGCTGTGTGCATCATTCTAATAAGCACGTCATATCTCCTCAATGGTTCATTTTTTATTTTGAATGAATAAACCTAATTCAATGCTTGGCAACCTTTATTACTATCTTAGAGGACCAAAAGAATAAAAGCATGTCACTACTTTACAATAAAGAGATTTTTGTTTGCATTCATCAACCAGAATGCATACAAATGTCATTCTTGGTCAAAGCCAGAGGGCTATTGCGTGGTACAGGTCAAATAAAAAAAAATGGAAACTGTTCCACTCCAGGCATGTCATGAGAAGGCAAGACTTGCTGGAGCAGACAGTAATGTTAGGGAAAGTTGAAAGGAGAAAGAGAGAGCGAGAGACTATGAGATGGATTGATTCCATAAAAGAATCCACAGCCTTAAAGCAGGGCGGTCATCACCAGAAGTCAGAGATTATTTGACTGAACTTCTTTCATCAACCTTTTGCTCCCTTCACAAACTTTTCTAATGCAATCCTTTTAGCTCTACTTGCTTCTTTAAGATATTAATTTGGAAACTGAAGCTGGATTGAGCCTCTCTCCTGGTCTTCCAGCATGCAATGCAATATAATACGAACATTTGCAATGTGCAAGGTTTGCAGTTTGGAGGACACCAAAACATGGAAGGTGTGTCTCCAAAAAGTGATACGTTTATCTGCAAGCTCTCCCTATGGGAAAGACACCAGGATGAGGAATAGGAAAGATGTGGTTTTGTAACTGCTAGCTTTAGCTTCTGATCATAGTAACAGTTTCCACAACATGCTAAGCCATGGGAGGGAGGCTCAGTATGTCTTTTGAACCCCTTCCCACCACTTCCTGTGGGTGGTTTACAAACTACATAACTACCCGTGGTTTGTAGTGGGGTTTAGTAAATCTTCTGTGGCTTAGCAGGTCATTCAAACCTGGATGACACACTAAACTGTGTTAGACCCAAATAGCTAGAGAGGTTCTTGCTCAGAGGGGCAAAACAGGGCTGCTGCTCTGGAGAAGGGCTCTAGCCAATGACAGCTGGTGAAGTACCCAAGCAGCATTTGGTGTGGTTGTCATGATAGGTTCCCCCGCCACCCTGTGTTTGGAATGCTGGACTTGATTAATATTTGGACTGGTTACCTTTGCTGTAATTAGTGCTGAATTTGTACAGGTCAAGTTTAAGAATACAATTTAAGACACAAGTTTAGCGGAAAAAGGGGCTTACACCTCCAAGTGTTGTAAATTCTTCCTGCCAGGAGTGGGTTGTTGAGCAATCCCCTACCCTCTCACTCTTTTCAGTGTGTTGAATCACCTATGAACAGACCTGTCCATGGTATAATGCCATTGATTATTACAGTGCTTGTCTCTTCCTCCTGTAGTCAGTTGGATGCCATACCCTGTTGACTCCACCAGTGAGAACACAGGAAATTCCACCCCCACCCCAAATTACTAGTCCTAAGGCTCCAAATTACTAGTCCTAAGTACTCTAACATGATACCCAGATGCGCAAATGTGCCCACAGACAACTTCGATTTCCACCAATTTCCCTACTACTTATTTTAGTTCGTAAGCATTTTGTACTTTTTAAGAATGGTGGTGGTGGGGGGGGGGGGGTTGGTGGAAGGCTGGCATGCTACGAAGCAAGCTGCAGCGCTCCCAGCACCATCCCTATCACCAGAAGTGTGACTTTATATTATATAGCTCAGGACCACTTACTTCTTGGGAAAGTTACTTTCTTATTAAGTCCCACCAGTTTGGGCTTTCTGGAAAATGGGCTTTTGTGTCCAGCCACCACCCCCATCCCCAAGAGCAGCCATTTTAAAGATGAAGTCTTCCCCCAACCAACTCTCAAAATTCAGATATTCCCATCTTCCAAAATTCAGGCATTCCATATCCTAGAATCTTGGAGTTCCCTTCAGAAGTCTCTCTCTCTCCTAGATTATTTGGTGGATAGATCTACAGATGCTTTGGGCAATAGGCAAAATGCTAGCAGCTGAAGTCCAGAACATCTGGAGACCTACATTTTGCCAACCTGTTCTAGATGGTGAATTTTATTTTTATGGTCATACTGTTGCAGCCACACCAAGACCTTCAAGTCCAGCTAAAAAGTCTCCTTCCCTCAGTGCCTGTGTTACGTTGAGGGCAGCAAAGGTATTTTAGACCATAATATGTTCCCAGAAAAAAAAAATAATGCTTACATGCACCTGTTCCCTATTTAAAAACCCCAAAAGCTGTAGCAACGATACAGTAGAAGCAAGTTGTCAGTCACTCATTCCAGCTTGAAATATGTAGCAATATGCCAAGTTTCAAAGAAAAACAGGCAGCTCTTTCGGATGAAGAAAATACTTTCTGTGGTTCTTCGTGTGTCCAAAGGGGAAAAGATTGAAACACTTCAATCAGAGGAAACCTTTTCTTGGAAAATCAGTGGAGAACTAAGGAATTTAAGCTAGCCACTATTCCAGAGGAGAGAGGATATTGTAGGTCATAAATGTGGCCAAAAAAAACCAAACCAAACCAAAACAAACAAACAAAAAACCCCAAAAAACCCCACACAGTGAAGAATGATGTAGAATGGAACCCGGGGCCAGGTGGTGATGGGAGTGCCACAGAGACCAATTAATGCATGATCCCTTGTGCAAGTCTGTACTCTTTCCTCACATCATGCCATCACAGCATCACTCCATTTTGTTCCAATTATCACGACGGAGCCATGCCTTATACAGTGAGTTTATAAAGCAAAACGCGGAGTGTTTAAAGCCATTTTTCAACCCATCCGCGTAATGCATACTCGGAAGTAAGGCCCACCACTTTCCCTAGAGCTTAATCCCGGGTAAGCATGCACGGGATTGCAGCCCGTAGCCATTTTCCCTCCCCGCGCTTGGTCCCAATCCTGCCACCCCACGTCCTAAAGGAGGCCTCTGGAAGCGGGGGGGGGGGGGAAATCAGTCCGGGGCTTGCGCTTGCGCACTAATTGGGGGCGCCGCTGCTGCTGTTGTGATCGGCCTCACGTAGAGCCGCCGCCGCCGCTGCCGCTGCCGCTCCTGGTGGCGGCGCCTGCTTGCGAGGAGCCGCCTCCGGAGCCCGGTGGGCGGGTCCCAGCGCGAATATGCATTCCGAAAGGGGCCTGCTGCGCCGAGTTGGAGAGCGGCGGCGCAGGCGGAGGGACGGGCAGCGGCGGCTCGGCTTCACCCCGAGGTAGGTGGCCGGGCTCCCTGGTCCTGGCGCGCTGCGCGCGGGCGGCCAGGAGAGGGGCTCGGCTTGCAGGCGGCTTCCTGGCAGCTGCCCGGGCGAGCGAGCGAGCGAGCGAGCGAGCGAAGGGTGGAGACTGGCCGCTCGCTCTGCGCTCCCTCTCGGCCCCCCCAGGCGAAGTTCGGCGCAGGCTGGCGCTGCTGCTCCTCTCGCGCAGCTTCCAGAAAGTTGCTCATGGAGACGGTGCAGAAAGTGTGTCGCACTTTTGGAGCGCTTCCCTCCGCGCTTTCGCGAACCCTCCACGCCGATGGCGCTTGAGGTCCTTCCTCCTCGCTGGGAATCTGCTCGCCTCTCCCGAGCGCTTTCTCTTCCCTTTCTCTCGCAAAGGGGCTTTGGAAAGAGGAGAAAAAAGAGCACAAGCGCCCAGGCGACGCGACGGGCTTCTTTCCTCTCCTGCAGAGCAAACTCCTCTCGCCTCTCCTGGAAAAATCTGTGCCTAGCGGCTTCAGTCCAGTCCAGTCCAGCCCAGCCTTGTCCAGTGCATGCAGAGATTCGTTGTCCACGTCTGTGCCCCAAAGGAGAAATTGAGTTTTGGGCTGACGTGGACGTGGGTCTTATTTTTAACTCCCTCGTCCGCTCCAGCTTTTCTTCGACCAGTGAGGACAGGAGTTTTAGAACGGCTCATTTATCTATACAGTGATTTTCGGTGGTGTGCGTGAAGAAATCGTATTCTTTCTTCCTCGTAGATCTCCGTGTCTGGCTCTGATTTATGAAAAAAAGTTATTCATTCAAGCTTCGATACTATGCTCGTTGATCTAATGCCAGGATGCATGCGCGGGTATTTACTTAGAAAGGGGTCACTTGCTTAACCAAATAAAGTTTTCTTTCAGTTTTAAATAAGCATCCATTCGTTTTCGGTTATTTCTTAAGCAAAATCAGACAGGGCTTATAGTAAAATGTGTTGATTTGAATGGTTACTGCAGGCGTTCCTAGCAAGCAAAATTCCCCTCCATCCATCCCTAGTATTGTAAATGGATCTCCTGCAAATAAAAGGGAAGAAACCAACAAATGGACAGAGTTGCCTATGCAAAAGAGGCCTGTTTTTACAGAAACTTAACCATTTCTTCTTCAGTTCTGTAGCTTTTTATTAGATGTCACTTGGAAAGAATTTTGAAATGAAGTGTCCATTACGTGAGTGGGGGAGGGCGAAGTACGTGGCAGAGCATTCTTTCATCAACCTTTTGCTCCCTTCACAAACTTCTGGAAAGAAGCTATTTAGCCTGATAGTCATGCTTGCTCAGCATGAATTGCATGCCTTTTTAAGTAGGTCACACATATATGAAGAATCTGACATTTTAGAAACATGGAATTACATGCATCGCTTTTTTTCCTGATCATTTATCAGGGAGATGAAAATATTTGCTTTGTCTTCAAAACGTTTAATGCTACTTTTCTGAAAATTACGTATTATATCATGCATGGATAATGCAGAAGTATGCAGAGTGCTCTTCTGCAATTGTCAAGTTCTGCATAAGAAATCTCAACAGGAAACTAAAAGCAAATTTCCTGAAAGTTCTACAGCATAAGTGGCTATATGAACAGGAGATTCCAAATAATTTTATTCGTGTTTCCTTAATCCCCTTAGTTGCTGTTCATCAATTCCCAAAGGTTTAAAAACCTGATGTATAATTATTAAATTGTTCAACTGTTAAAAGCTGGTGTATAGTTTGTTTCTGTTCATAAAAGAATTTGAAGGGAGAGTGTAGCCAGTTCATGCAATGCTTACTAAGGATGTAATTCTTATCTATTTATTCAGGAATATATGCTGAAAGATCATAATGTAACCTCCTTTTGGACACACGTTCAAAAGGGCCGTAACTTTAGCTATCTTGCATTATACGGGGGGGGGGGGGGGGGGCCATTGAGCCTTGTCTTTCCCCCAGCATACATTGCGTCTGCCTTGTAAGATCGAACACAGGAATGGGCCGAGCAAAGAAGACACCAGCACATGTTGCAGCAAGGGGCGCCCAGCCCAGCTATCAGCAAACAAACGTATGTGGGAAAGAACAGGCAATCAAGGGAAGCAGGCAAAAAAAGACTCCAGAGTTTGCTCCAACTGACTAATTGCTTTCGGATGTTTTGGCTGTTTTCATAAGCTTCTATCATATATATGTGTGATGTCAGGCAGATGGAATTTTTATCGGAACCCAAAGGATATAACTAATTTTAGGACTCAGTTCAGTCTTGCAAATACGTGACTCCTTCCCTGTTTCAAGGTTTCTGGGCTCTCAGGTTCCTGAGAATGATACAGCTCTTAAAAGCTAGGTTGATAGAGCTTCTTCAGACTGAAGGCAATCAGGACCTTTTCTTCTAAATCAGGGGTCAGCAACCTTTAACACTCAAAGAGCCATTTGTACTGGGAGGGGGGCCTTCTCTGCGGTGGCGCCCCGTCTATGGAATGTGCTCCCCAGAGAGGTCCGCCTGGCACTGTCATTACATGTTTTTTGGCACCAGGTTAAGACCTTTTTATTTAATCAATATTTTAATAAGTTTTAATATTGAATTTTATCATATTTTAATTGCAGCCAGATTGGGTCATTAATTAATTAATGTTATGTTAGATATTTGTATTGTATTGTATTTTATTTGTATAAGCCGTCCTGAGGCTCTTGCAAAGGAGGGCATACAAATATCCTAAATAAATAAATAAATAAATTTGGGCCTGTTTCCCACACAAAAGAAAACACCAGGAGCCGCAAAACCTTTTTGACATCTAAAATGAAGATAACACTGCATATATCGTTTTTTACCTTAATGCTATGTATATCTTCATTATGATTTAGCTGCAGCTCTTGTTCAGTCACGAAAAACTGTTATTTTTAATCTTACATTATACACTAGTAGGACTCCTTTCATATATTTTGAATAGGAGAACAGCTTCCTGAAGAGTTAAAGTCAGTGCTAAAGGGCTGCATGCATTAAACAGCAAACCCCATAAGTTTGTCAGCAGTAAAAGCAAATGAATCTACCCATGTATCATTAAACGTTTGGTTTTCTTCAGAAACTTTTCTTTGATTTACCCATGGTTGGCCTACGGAGAAAGTCGCAGATAAAAGTGTGTTTAGTGACTGGTTAGCAGATAAACAGTCAAGTGCTGTGAATTGTGACAGGTCCCAAGCACAGCTTTTATCATTCAGAGGAGGGAGATAACATTTGGACAAAGAGAATCTTTTCAGCAGTCTTTCCTGTAACATGAGAGCCTGCAGGAAGCTTGTTCTACTCTTTCCCTCCAACTTAACCTGCTAGTGGAGCGTTCCTGACTGGATGCCTCATCATCACCTATTGGTATTTTGTAACAGAGCCTTGAGATCCGCGGCTGTGATGCATATTTTGGGCAACTGAGCCGCAGCAGGGGGATTCAAGTGCCACGTGTGGCTTCGGAGCCGCGGGTTGCCAACCCCTGTTCTAAATACACATGGTTGTAGCATTGACCAAATGCTCTGCAAAGCTGACAGATATCAGTCTCCACTGCCTCTTCCACAAATGCATTCCTAAATTGGCTACATGGTGAAAAAGTGGATTCACAACTCATTTTTGTTTGTTTCTGCTTTTAACAATATTGAGATTCACACAAACTCCTATCTTGTGAATTGTTGTGCTTTCAACTTCTTGACTATATGCTAAAAACCAGTATCCAGTTAGTTATGCTGCTGTATTGTGAAATACCAAATTCTGTGTGTAAGATTAGCACATTGTTTGAGTATTATGAACTCACGGGCAGAAGTGAGTTTTCCTTTTGTGGCTGAAACAGATGGAATGGATTTGGCCTCCTGGCATTGCCTTTATGTGCATTCTGCTACTGCTTGGAAGGATCATATTAAGACTGGGTAGTAGGAAGCTGGGTGCTGGTGCCAAAAAGAAGACAGAGGGTCAAACAAGCAAAGCATCCCATGACCCATGGGAAAAAATTAAGGGGTCAGGTAAAGGGGATGTGGATGCACTCCTAAAGAGGTTCATGCAGAGAGACTGAAGCAAGGCCAGGAATATCATAAAGGGACATGGAGATGATTGATGAGAAACCTCTGGCCCTAAATTTCTATACTTTTGTGTATATTATAATTAAGAGTCATTCAGATTGTATGTTCATGACTGATTGACTGAAGTAGTCAGTTCTTTTTCCTAACATAGTTATCCATTTTTAATCTTGTTTTATGTATCCCAGAGAAAATATGCATAGAAAGATTAGAGTAGAAGGGAAAGTACACCAGCAGTCTTTTTTTACTATTCTGTAGCAACAGGTTTTGAATTGTGTTTTAAAACCAAAATAGATGATTGTTGAAATAAACTGAAAGAAGCAGTTTGACTTCTGACTGAAGTCTCAAAACACCTGGTGACAAAGAATTCTGTAGCTACCTTTCTGATGTTGCAGAAATGCCAGACATTCTTGATCTGTATCACAAAATCATGAAGGGAAATAGGTTGCTCTGAAAAGATTCCTCAAAAGCAGAAGGTTTCCAGTGCAGAATTCCATAGTAGTCAATTACTAGAAGAATTATCTGCCAGAGTATTGTTGTTGACACTAGTTAGTGTACAGTAGACTTTAAGCCTCACTGTTGCCCTGAAGGCCTGGGTAATACCGTTTTCCCATTTTAAGGAAGTACAACTAAAGATTATTTGCGTGAGGTTAAGCTAGGAAGCCTTTTTCTGGATCTCACCTGAAGTCACTTGACTTTTCTAGGTAAAGTCTGTTATACAGTATGCAATAGCCATCCAAAAAGGTATCACTGAAACATTGGACTACAGCTCCATCATCCCTAGCCAGTATGATCACTGGTGAAACACCCACAAAAGAGTTTTTTGTGATTTTTATTGGTTTAAGCTGTTTCAAAGAAATCTTAGTTATAAGAAATGTTAATCTTTAGGGTGTCACAAAACTCTCTTTTATCTCAAAAGACAAAAGGTGTGTTTGACAGAAGACATTCTTGGAACTGTGGCTGAAATTAGACCTTCCTGGAGGTGTATGGCTGCCACTGAAAGGAGCATCTTCTTTGTCCTATCTTAATATGTAGAGGAATATAATGTGTGATGCCATTGCACTGAATTTCCTCACATGTACTCCACTTTGAGCCCTGCTGGTAGGGATGCTGAAGCTTGGTCCATGATGACTTCATACTGCAGGTTTTATTTTGCTACAAAAATAGGAATTACGAAGTTGTTTCTGTAGATACTGTGCATCTCAAGTAACATTTCATTTTAGAGGTGCAGAGTTGCTGCAGAAATCATCAATCAGTCCTTGAGGACTGATTAAGTTTTACAGGAAAGACTTTCACATTTATTTACGGAGGATTTCCTGTACCAAGTACTCAGAGATATTAAGGGAGGAGTTATGTCTGCAGACACAAGTAAGTGCATGTTCAGTAAGTGTGATTAGGCAAGCCCTGAGGGCATGGCTGGGATCTTAATCCAGACTACACCTTGAAAAATGTTTTTAAACTGCTACGGTAATAAGATTAAAATGCCAGCGCACCGGTCGCCATGGAAGAAGTATAAGCGCTGCACTTTTGATAGATAGCTCCAGGAAGACATGGTTATTTCCAGGCATTTTAATGTGGAACTGGTGTTTCATAGAATGAATACTCTGCAGCAGAAATCGTGCTCATTAAATCTTGCTATGTTACAAGGCGGGTGTGCCTGGCCTAAGAGGCACATATGTAAAGAAATTTGCTGTGCATAAGCTTTAACATAAACTTGATGTTGTTACATGCACCTAATACACTCCTTTGTTCCACAGCCTGTACCATGTTTTTGCCATTTTGTTAATTGTTTGGACACAGTCCAGTAGTTTTAAAATGTTACTTTATTTCTCTCTTAGGTTTGTGTCCAAGTGAGAACATTAAAACTATGTTGCCCGTAAAGTCATGGTGTCTTCTAGTCCTTTGTGTTCTGGTTCCCTCTTATGCTCATACGGATTTCTTCACTTCAATTGGTAAGCAATGTTTTTCTATATAATTTCCAAGCATTAAATGATTCAGTAATGATAGCATTGAAAGTTGTATGCTGAATGGCATTACTATTGTATACATATTACTAAGGCATTATCCTGTGTGGAAAAAGGCCTACAGCTCACGGAAGGGTCCACCCAACATGTTAGGAGTTGCAAGCCTTTTGTTTTCTTTCTAAACATGGATAGGATTGCACTGTTCCAACATTAAATGAAAACACCAAAGCTAAAACATGACCAGTGGTAAAATCTAAAAGTTTAGTAAAAATGCGAGTGAATAACTATGAAACACTATAGCAGAAATTTCTCCATAAAAACTATTAGAAAACACTGAATTAGCTTTTAAAAAGGAAAGGGAAGATAATAATACTAGCTCCTTAAGTGAATAATATTTTTATTTCATTTGTAAATTGAGGAATATTTGTGGATCTGGATTCTTAAACTCAGCCGCCACCACTTTTGAACTGGTTGAATAAGTGGGCTGTGTCACTAACGTGCATGTGTAACATAACTTTGTATATAATTCAAAACGTTCTTTGCCTACCGAATATGCAGCTTGTTTCACGTTTGGGTGCTAATACTGTTATGCATCTTTCCTGAATTAAGACAGAATTCCTTCATAGCAAATGGCTAATTTTGCAGTCTTTCTGATACAGTATTTCTCAATGCATTGCCCTGCAAAGTTTGAAATTAGAAGTTCCATCAGCCCCAGACGCCTTGGGCAATGCCAGGAGCGGTTTGAATCATCTAGAAAGTACCAATTTGTGGAAGGCTGCTCTACCAAGCTGGTAGTTCTGTTGATGAATGTTAATGATGGAAGTATCCCTAGAGAAAGAGAACTCACACTGTTTATTGTAAGATTTGTCCTTGAATATGTAATTTCAATAATGTAATGCATCTTTTCCCATTCTTCGAGGATATGAGATACTATCAGTATTGAGCAAAGGGATTATTTCCGCTGGCTGTCTGCTTCATGGTGGAATGGTTATGGTTTACTTATCTTTTGGGCATGCAGACTTAAGAAAGAAACAACTATGAAGTGGCAAGGAGACTGCTTTCCTGGTTGAGTGGGGAGGTGGAGACCTTTCAAATTGTTAGAAGCAAGTTATAAATTCCTTTTTCAATGGCTATTCATAATAATAATGTGCCTCGTTTAAGTCAAACTGAATTTGGGAAGGAGTCCTTGAAAGACACAGTATAACATATAAAACTACCACTACATATTCATTTCTCAAGCTGCCACTGAGAAATTGTTAACCTAAGCAAAGCCACTTACTTAGGATATTACGCAATTGAATCTATTCAAATTGCAAATATGATTTTGCAATATTTGCAAGGGGAAGCTAGTCACTGTGTGGTGAAATAGGTCATTGCCTTGCAACTTGTGTTCAATTTCAGTTGCAATGGCAACCTTCTGACATAAAAGTCTCCTTATGGCAAAACCAATGAAGATCGGCTTCAAATTCAAATTGTGTTGAGCATATGAGCACAAGTTAGCATGCATGCTAGTTCCCATGTATCCGTCTGCAGTAAACTACCCAGGTACTCTCTATCCTTGGGTTGTTTCTTGCCATGTCCAGACTTGGAATCATAGGTTATTGTGGGACAAAGAGCCCGAATGCTTCCACCTGCCTTCTCAATATTTCTAAGCATTAATGTAGAGAAACGAGTCATTGGCTTACAACTTGTGTTCAAGTGGCATGTGAACAAAGGTACTTGGGAGAAACATCACCCTAACATTAACCTTGCCCTTTGGGAAGTACAAGAGAGTGCAACTGAAAACTCATTGTTTATTTGCGTGCATTGGTCTTTTTCTAGGATTTCATAGCAGTGGTGATTGACATAAAGATTTCATTAAACAATCTTTTAGGTCACATGACGGACTTGATTCATACTGAAAAAGATCTGGTGACATCACTGAAAGACTATATCAAGGCAGAAGAGAGCAAGCTGGAACAGGTTAAGAAGTATGTAGTGACTTGAATACTATTGCTTAGTGCATAATACATCTCTCATATTGCATAAAATCTGTGCGTAGGCGAAATAATATATGGTAAATATATTTATGGTCATAAAGTATTATTGTTAACAGTTATATTATTAAATAATAATAATTCATATTTATGGCCTGCCTTTTTCCTTCCGTGGAACTCTAGGTGGCTAACACAGTATTCCTTCTCCTCTCAATTTTATCGTCACAGCAACAACCCTGCAAGTGAGGTTGGACTGAGAGTGTGTGACTAGCCTAAAGTCACCCAGTTTAGCTCCATCTTCTTAACTCTTATTTCCTTGTTAGTCTAAACTGCTTCAATCCTTTGGAAAAAATATAGAAATTTCTTAATTAAAAATTAAAAGGTATGGAAACTAACTTGTATCGTGAGCCAACTAAAAATACAATTACAGTTTTGATCTTGAAATAATACAAGGCAGCAATAGAACATGACTCTGTGAATGGACTCTCTGCTAATGACTTCAGGTACAAGCCTATTCAAATTTAGACTGAAACAAGGCCTATACCTCCTAGCGTGTCCTAGCCAGATGTAGGCCTTTTTTCTGTCTGTACTCTCATAGGATTGAATCTTTGGTGAAACAATATTTAACTTGGATTTTATCTCTGCAGGTGGGCAGAAAGGTTGGACAAGCTGACAGATACTGCAACGAAAGACCCAGAGGGATTCTTGGGACATCCTGTGAATGCATTCAAGTTAATGAAGCGACTCAACACAGAGTGGAGTGAGCTGGAGAATCTGATCTTAAAAGATATGTCCGATGGTAGGTTCTTTTGAAAGCCCTTGTAGTCTGAAAGCCTGGGTTGAATATTGAGTAACAGATGATAATCAAATGAGCTGTGGGCAAGGAAGTCCTCAATTTCAGTCCTCTCCTGAGCTAGGAGCTCACTGGCATCCCACAGAACTTACGGTTTCTTATTGGAGAGGCTTGGGATTTCAGTGAGATTGGCAATATTTATGTCAGCAGTAACTGGTTATGAAGTTCTGTCACTAAAAATCAGATTACAGGCCTGTCTTATCCCTTTTGTGGCAGATAAGACCAGAGATGTCGCACTGTTGCATGCGTTTATCGAGGAAGGAAAACAAAAGCACAGAGGGCTTAGAATAAGATGTGACAGAGCATAGGATCAGAGAATAGTAGAGTTGGAAGGAGCCAGAAGGCCATTGGGCCCAAGCCCCTGCTCAGTGCGGGACTCCAAGCTGAACCATCGTTCTCAGGTGGCTGTCCAGTTGCATCTTGAAGGCCTCTAGTGTGGGAGAACCCACAGTCTCCTGAAGTAATTGGTTCCATTGTTGCACTGCTCTAACAGTCATGAAGATTTTTCTGATATCTAGCCAGAATTGGTTTTCTGTAATTTGAACCCATTATTCCGTGTCCTGCACTCTGGGATGATTGAGAAGAGATCCTGGCCTTCCTCTTTGTGACAGCTTTTCAAGTCCTTGTAGGGTGTTATTGCATCTGCCCCCTCAGTCTTCTTCTATCGTGGTTAAACATGCCCAGCTCTTTCAATCTCCTCACAGGGCCTTGTTTTCAGTTCCTGGATCATCCTTGTTTTCCTCCTCTGAACTCTTTCCAGTTTGTCTGCATCTTTCTTGAACTTGCGGTATTGTTGAGCCAAGTATTCCACATCTTGTAACAATGCATTTGGTTTCCTGTTTCAAGATGCAGAACTCAGCATTTGTTGCTATTGCATTTCAATCTGTTTTTTCAGCCCAGTACTCTAATTATCAAGAATACCTTGAATCTTCTTTCTATCTTCCAGGGTATTAGCTATTCCACACAATTTTGTATCATCTGCAAATCTAAGAAGTGTTCCCTGCACTTCCTCATCCAAATCATTAATGCAAATGTTGAAGAGCGCTGGTCCCAGGACTGAACCCTGTAGTTTCCCGCTTGTTACTTCTTCCCAGGTTGCAAAGATGCCACTGATGAGCACTCTTGGGGGCTAATTCTGTATCCACCTGTGGACCTACCTGATCATCGTTCCATCTAGGCCACTTTCAGCTCATTTGCTAAACAGAACATCACAGGGCAATCCATCAAATATTTGCTGAAGTCAAGATATACTATATCCACAGCCTTCCCAGTCAGACTGACTGGTCTATAGTTCCCAAGTGCTTCTTTTTTTTCCTTTTGTGAAGATGGGGACAACATAGCCTGCTCCAGTTTCCCTGTCGTCCAAAATTTCTCAAATATAATCGACAGTAGTTCTGAGAGTTCTTCCACCAATTCTTTTATGAGTTTAAGGTGGATTTCATCACGCCCAGGAGATTTGAACTCATTCAGTCCAATTAGAGGATCCTTGACCATTTGCCCATCAATCTTGAGTTGCCATCCTGCTCCTTCAGCTTGTACTTCCTCTTCATCAGGAAGGTCTTAGATCTTCTTCTGGGAGAAGAAAGTAGGAATTGGGCAGTTCTGCCTTTTCTGTGTCGTCATTTTGCCATCCATGTTGAACACGCATTTCTTTCCTCTTTTTTTACTTTGGACATATCTGAAGAAGGCTTTCTTATTGCTTTTAGCCCCATTTCATTCCTAGCTTTACTTTTCTGGGTACCATCCCTGCAATTCCTTGCTATCTGCCTGTATTCTTGCTTTGTAGCCTGTCCTTCCTTCTCCTCCCTATACATGTCCTTTTTTGTTTTCAGATCATCTCTAAGCTTTTTGTGAAGCCACAAGGTCATCTTTTGTCGTCTTCCACTCTTTTTCCTTGTTTGAATGGTTTGTAATTACGCCTTTAGAGTTGTCTTTTTAAAAAATTCCCATCCATCCTGGACTCCTTTTCTTATTAGAGTCACTTGTCATGGGACTTATCATTGTTCATTAAAATTGGCTTTCATAACATCCAGGGTATCTGTTTGACTACATTTGGTTTTTGCTTCCTTTAGAATCAAGAATTCAAGTATGTCAAGGTCACTTCCCCCCAGAGTTCCTGTAGCCGCCACTTTGTCCGCTAGGTCTTCCCTGTTAGTATCAAGTCAAGGATAGCCATCCTCTTGTTCCTTGCTCCACTTTCTGTTGGAATACCAGCAACACGTGTTAGGAATCTCTTGGAGGAGCAGCGTTTGGCAGAATTTGTCTCCTAGCAGCTAATAGAAAAATTGAAGTCCCCCATAATGATGTCATCATTCCACCTTGAAAGGCTGGCTCTTTGCTTTTCAGAAATTTCATCCTTGTCTTCTTGACTGGGTGGTTGCTAATAGATTCCAACCAACATGTTCCTTTTATTTCTTGGTCCATTTATATTAATCTAGATCTTGATGAGGCTACTAAACTTATCCTTCTGTATTTCCGCGTGCAGATACGCATCTTTAACATATAGTGCAACCTTGCCTCTCTTTCTGTTTCTTCTGTTCTTCATGAACAGGTTGTATCCTTCAATTGATGAATTCCGGTCATGGGAGTCATCCTACCAATGTTCAGTTATACCTGTCAGGTCATATTTCCCTCCTGTATTAAGAGTTCAAGTTCATGCTGTTTGTTTTCCATACTCTGGGCATTAGTATATAGACATTGAAGATCACATGCTTTATACTCTAGCTTTCTTCCTACATTTTTTCAGAGACTAGTATTGAGTGCTGTTACAGATGCTCCTTCTGTTGTGGTACATAAGCCTTTGCCTGTTGTTACACCCAGGTGTACTTCTTCCTGTCCTGTAGGATTCAGTCTAAAACCCTCCTGAGAAGCTTCTTCATACTGTGGCTAAACACGCTGTTTCCAGTCCTTGAAAGGTGCAACAATCAGGCTACTCCCTTTCAGTTACTGCTCTCAGGAACACATGGTCTCCTGGAAAAGAAATGGCTAGTCCAGGCCCCTCACCCCTCTGCCTGCCTTTGTCTCCTCTTCCACTTCAACTCTGCCACCAAACTCCTGTTAGTTGCTTGCTCCCTGGGATCTCGACCACTTGTTTTCCAGGGTCCCTAGACCAGCTAGGGCAGCTTCCTCTGATCTGCTCAGCTAGAAGTCAGGAACCAGAGTAAAATACGTTCAGATGGAGATTATTTACTAATATCTAGCTGAAGCCCAGAATTAGCTGATATAGTTCTTGATGAACCAGAAAATATATTTGGGCACCATCACATAGCTAAACACTAGATGCAACAATCCATTTTACTTTACTAAACCAAAATTTTATTTAGCACCAAAAGAGGTAAGTTAGAAACAGTTATCCTCATAGATTGTATACTTAACTATTATTACAAAAACAGAGGGGGAAAACAGACAAAAATGGGGAAAGAGGTATGGAGTTCAAGTGGATAGTAGAAAGTAGGGTAGAGGCAGTGGGATTTGGACTGGAATCCATGTGGAGGAACTTAGAAGTATGAATAACTTTCTTATCTTTAGGTTTTATTTCCAACATGACTATTCAACGCCAATATTTCCCTAATGATGAAGATCAGACTGGCGCTGCCAAAGCTCTCTTGCGACTTCAAGATACATATAAGTTAGATACAGACACTCTCTCAAGGGGAAATCTTCCAGGTAAAACGGCTTGAAATCATTTAAAGTATAAGGGGAAAGTCTTTCTTTAAAAAAGAAACCTGTCTTTTGCTTGCTGTGTGTGTGTGTGTGTGTGAGAGAGGGAAAGAATGAGAACTGTTTCAGACCTAGTGAATGATGATGCCTTGTTACAGGAATGAACTGTATGCTTTCACAGACTGTTCTTCTACCCTGACATGCTATAATGGTTAATCCCTGGCTTTCCCTCTAGCACAAACCACAGTTTGCATTTGCATTTGAACTGCCAAGCTGTGGTTTGTACTTGCATTCCAAAGCAAGATTGCAAACCAACTTCAAACTGTGGCTTGCATTTCTACAATAGGAAACAAACAAAATGCAGAGCTTTCTCCTTCTATTGTAATGGCAAATGCTTGTGCTAAAGTGGGAAAAGTAATTGAAGCATTGTCTGTAACGAGAGTAGGTGCTAACAAGCACTAAGTATGACATGAACAGAGTTTGTGTGTGTCTTAAGTACCATATACCATGTCAGGCAACAGTTTCCTACCCACTCCCAGTCTTGAGAAACGAACATAAGGGAAAAGATCTTTAAAATATCATCATAAAGCAACATTTTTTCATGTTAGATCTTTCTTTTTCTTTTTAGTAATATGAAAATACCTTAGGAACTGACAGATGGGTTTTTGTTTGGGTCTCATAGTGAAAATACTAATGATTAATAATTTACATAGGGATATTAATTCATCTAAACTGTTTTGACCTCAGATCACTTTATAATGTGATAAATGTGTATTTGTTGCTCGTTTCAAGAAATTGGACATCTTTCTACAAAGAAAGACGATTTATCTGGGTGATCTGTCACTTTCCCACCCCGAGGCTTCTGCGATGGGTGTGGCATAGAAATGTTATAAATAAATAAATAAATACTTCTTAACATGAGAAACTGAATCTGTACTGCAGCATTGTTGCGATTTTTAAAAGTGGTTGAGAGTATGTTGGGACCCTGTTAGCCCAGTTTGCTCCGTGAGCTGCAATTCATGTGGGCAATCGTGCTTAATATTCATGCTACCACTGCAGCATGTAGGAAGGAGGTTTAAGCTATTCTGGCATAATGTATGGCCTGACTTGGGATTATGTGAGGGTTGTGTAATCCTTGTGCAACACACCCCTACCGTGTTTGGACAATCCAACAAGCTTCAGTTGCAGCTTGAACACTCAGAATAGCTGCCTGAGTGCACAGCAGGGACCGTGGCTCAAAAACATTGCGGGGGGTTGTTTGGTCCCTGTGGAGTATCATGTGTAGCATCACCGATTGATGGGATTTCTCTTCCCCCTCCCACACAACCACCCCACGCTCCAGCACTAACATCTACACTCAAGCGCAACAGTGGGCTCCTGTGTGGCCTAAAACAGGAGAACTTCCCCTAGACCTCGCTCAGACTAAGCCAGTTGCAGCTCCCTTTGATCACCCTCTTTGCGGATTGAGCGGTCTTGCATGATAGAAGGCACCGTCTCACCTTCCTGTTAAAATTGCTGTCATTGTATTTCTCCATGGATCATTATTTGGATTGTTTGTCATACTATTGCCTTAGAATTGGAACTCGAGGCTTTAGGAGAGGCAAAAAAGCAGCAGGGCACAGGTTTTCAACCTTTAGCATCTGTATCTAACCATCATTGCTGTAATATATCTAGTAGTAAATGTGCTTATAGATTAGATTTCGGTACTTACTACCAACACCATCCTCATGGGCATGTCAGTTTGTAACACCTGAAAAATCTGTTGCGAGTCTGAGGCTTTTCAAGCATGGTTCCTAAGACAGAACAGCTTCTAGAACATTTCAGTTCACAAAATAAAATGCTTTAGGTACCTTCTGCTAATTCCAGTTTTGCATTACTTTATATTTAGTCATCAGCTGTTGTTAACAATCTGTAAAAATCAAACACTGCAGCTTCAAAAGGGAACTTTGTTGCTAAAATGTTCTATTTCCATATAAGCATTAGTAAAGTTTCACTGTTCTCTTTGGCTTCCTGTTTCCTATAGGAGTAAAACATAAGACATTTCTAACAGCTGATGATTGCTTTGAACTGGGCAAGATTGCATACACTGAAGCGGACTACTACCACACTGAACTGTGGATGGAGCAAGCTTTGAAACAGCTGGATGATGGAGAGGTTTCATCTTCTATTGACAAGGTTTCGGTTCTAGATTACCTGAGTTACGCCGTATACCAGCAGGGAGACCTGGACAAAGCATTGATTCTTACCAAGCGACTGCTTGAACTGGGTATGTTAAGATCATTTATATTTTCAGTTGTTGCAATTTGTAATTTTCACAAGTTTCAAGAGTTTCTTTTCTCTGAAGTTCAATAATGTAAGTTTCACTTTTACCAAAATAAAACTGGATGATACGATGACATACATCATAAAGTAAATTTGCTTAAGGAAGTTCATAGCAAGAAAATTTCCCTTTCTTCCACCTTTGCATCCCCCTGCTTCCTGGAGGTAAGGAGACCATCTAGCTCAACATAGGATTGGGCACAGGAAGCTGCAGGCAAAACAGGAGTGAAATTGTCATAAATGTGGCTCGGGATCCAACATGCATTAACTTAAGGAAGTTTGTTATTAGTCATAATACTATCCCTTATAAAGTACCTAATATTTTCTAAGTACTGTACAGACATTAAAGACTAAGACAGTTTCTACCGGCAGACTCACAGTTTGCCAGATGATATTAAAGGAAAAAGGGATGGGAAGGAAAAGAAAAGCAAATAAATTCTCTGCCGAGATCCCCCTCTCCCCTGGACCAACATGGAAAGAACCATGCTGGCTGCTTTTTTGGAGGTCTCGAGAATGATCTTGGAGAAGACTGTCAAGAAGTCCACAGAGCGAGAAAAACACAGAAGTGACTGTCGCTCCTCACCTCTTTCACCCTGCATACGATTCCTGCAATTCCTGTCCAAGTCTGGAGGGCTGTGGGCATCTGAGCAGGAATGTACCCTTAGTAGTTTAGCCATAGAAGCTGACAGATGCGTGCTACAGTTTAGCAAAATGATCATTCTTGGAGTTGGCTGCATTATCTCATAGAAAGACTTGCAATTGAAGGAGCTTCCAAAGATACCATTGTAGAAGTTGACTTGATTCTTTGAGTTAGGTCTTTGAATGCTCTTTGTCACAATGCAAATATTCAAATGTTTGAGTTGAAACAGCTGGCATAAATGATCACGTTTCTGTGTCAGATTTGAGTATGTGTTGGAAATGAAAGTGCATATAAAAAGCCAGCTACAAAGTGGTTGAAAAACTCAACTTTAGGCTGTAAAGTTGTCCTTTCTGTTTCCATAGAACCAGAGCACCAGAGAGCAAATGGCAATTTGAAATACTTTGAATATATCATGTCTAAAGAAAAAGAAAAGGAAGCAAACAAGACTGCTACTCAGAAAGAAGTGCAGCCTGAAAAGGGAACTAAAACTCAGAAAAAGGGACCTCCCAAGGATTATCTTCCAGAAAGACAGAAGTATGAAATGCTGTGCCGTGGTGAGGGTCTCAAAATGGTAATCATGCTCTTTGTGTACTATTAAAATGACTTAAAACCTGTCACGGACATCTGAAACCTCTTCTCCTAGATACCTGTTTCTATCCTTAAATTTTCTTACTTAATTTCTTACTTAAATTGGGTGGTGTAGAATTTAAGTAAGAGGAAGAAACAGCAGCAACAGCATTTGGTTAATAACACTTAACTTTTTGTTTCAAATGTTTAGACACCTAGAAGACAGAAGAAACTTTTTTGCCGCTATTATGATGGGAACAGGAATCCAAAGTACATACTGGGACCTGTCAAACAGGAGGATGAGTGGGATCGTCCTCGGATTGTTCGCTTCCTGGAAATAATTTCTGATGAAGAAATAGAAACTGTCAAGGAGCTTGCAAAACCAAGGGTAAAGAAGCTACATTGCCCATATGCCTTAAATTATATTTTCAATGCACAAGTTTTGTCACTTATTTCTTGATTGGCTGCTTTGCTTTTGATAATTCTGTAATGGATTGTCCTCTGTATGTGCTTGGCATACTGGATCTCTGGAATAGTTCAGTGCTAAGCACATACTTAGCACAAAAGTATGTGCTTAGCTTTTTTCACAAAAGTATGCCAAAAAGGTCCCAAAGTCCATGATGTAGTCAGGTTGCAAATGAGCTATTGCTCATTCATAGTACACTATACTAGGCTACATTGACAAATATTCTGGCCTGGCTTCTCCCAACAATGAAGCTAAGTAGGACTTGTCTACGCATTGCGTTAGAAGACAGCCCGGAAAAGGCATAGTGAACAATCTTATGATTTTTATACTGCATACGAATTACCTCTGGATGGCCATACCTCTGCTACCACTATTTTGATTTGGTCCTACACACTCTTTTTTCCAAAGATAAGTTTTATTAGAATGTACCTAAATTTAGTTTTGTTTTATTTATTTATTTATTTATTTATTTATTTATTTATTTATTTAAAAAATTAGTAGGCAGTCCATTACTGTCATCTCTGGATGGCTTGCAACATTATTTCAGACTTCAATAAAATAAGATAAATTAACTATTCCATACTGAGCATCATTTAAAATAAATTAAATAAGTCACTTCAGAATTATTTATTTATTTATTTAGGCGACTTCTATGCTGCCCCATTCGCCGAAGCCTCGGGGCGGCTCACAAACCATAAATAAATAAAATTCAATGAAACAATATAAATTAACAATATAAATTAAGTCGCCCTGGCCAAAGAATAAAATGAATAAATAATATTAACAATTAAAATAATATTTGAATAAAAAGTTCTTCGCCTGGCACCAAAAATCAAATAACAACAGCACCAGGTGGACCTCTCTGGGGAGCGCATTCCATAGATTGGGTGCCACCGCAGAGAAAGCCCTCCTCCGAGTACCTACCCTCCTAATTTCTTTCACGGAGGGTTCCTGGAGAAGGTCCTCTCCTGCTGATCTCAAGGGGCGGGCAGGCATATATGGACACATAGTAATTAAAATTACTATGTGTTAAAATATTGGCCAAATAAAAAGGTCTTGACCTGGCACCGAAAAACATATAATGATGGCACCAGGCGGACCTCTCTAGGGAGCGCATTCCATAGTTGGGGCGCCACCGCAGAGAAGGCCCTGCTCTGGATACTCTGTTTCCTGACCTCTTTCAAAGAGGGTTCCAGGAGGAGGGCCTCCACTGCCAATCTTAGGGGGCGGGAGGGCATGTAGGGAAAAAGGCATTCCTTTAGTTATCCTGGTCCCAAGCTGTTTAGGGTTTTAAGTTTCAAGCCATAGTGCTTATGATGATGGTAGAAAAATGTTTACTTTCTTATTCCTCTGCAATGAAGAAGTTATGCATTGTATAACCAAAAGAAAGATCTGGCTTGTCCTTTCACTCACTTCACAAATGTGCTAGATTCCTGAAGAAATGTGAACTTGGATTAAAAGTGCAGTATTAGTACAAGGTTATTACGATTTACACCACACTCCCCTCATTTGGATCCAGAGATTGCCTTTCTTTGGAATAGCAGAAAACTTGGAACTGACCTGTTTTTGTAACATGTTCTTCTCCAGTATGTAGACATGGTTTATTTGATTTGGTTTTTGGGAACAACTGACAATATAAATAACTTCCACCAGTCCTCACGCCAGTGATATCCTTTCTGTTGATCCCGTGTATTACATTCTCCCTGCTCAGGTAGCCTGAAGGGCCAAATTTCCCCTCGGTCATGACACAATATTCCCCATTCACAGTTTGGTCAGGGAGTGTTGTGGCATGGCCAAGGAGGTGAAATTTGGTCTTTCAAGCTACCTAGACAGGGAGAATGTATAGACAGGACCAAAAGATAAAAATTATGATGATAATTCAGGTGTGATCTCCCTTTTTCAGATGTGTTGAGAGCACCTTATGTGTCTTCCATGCATTGCTTTTTCCTTGAGCAATCTGTGGGCATTTTTTTTTTAATAGGTATTGGCTCAGTCAATAGCATTTCCCTGCAGGAAATGACTGATTATCCCAGTGGTTTCTGGGGTGACCTTTTTACTGCCTTGATTGGAGGACACTTGGAAAATAAACAGCAGCACACCACTTTTACCTTATTCTGTAACTCTTCCTTGGGTTTGATGGAAGCACATTGCCCAATATTGCTTCCTTGCAGAACTATAGAGTGTTTCAAAGGTGTCTGACAGGTAAGAAACACAGTCTCCCCAGTGCTCTCCAACTATGTCAGCAGCTGGGGGAAAGCAAGACTGAAACCAGACATACACTGCTGGTAGATCAGCCCTGCTATTAGTCATGTGCCAGTATGGCTGAGCCAACAGAAAGGGATGCTAAACTAGCCTCTCAAATACATAGCACAAGCTGACAGGTTTGATCTTAATTGTACAAGTGAAACTTCATCCACCTTCATTCTTGATTTTTACCATGATTTCCACAACTGCCAGGAAGGGCCTGCCGCTTCAAGGTAGTTGCAGGTGAGTCCGATTTTTGTACGTTACAGAAAGACAGTACCAGTCTCCGACAATAATGACAAGGGGCCTCAGTATTGTTCATGACAGAATTCTTGTACGTACTGTCTTAGTGGAAAGGAACCCTTCTGGAGCCTGTCTTCCATAGTAGGATTCTGAATGGTCGGATTGATGTGATGCAATATATGCATTGTAATGCAACTATTCTGATTGGTTCGCTTCACAGCTGAGGCGAGCCACCATTTCAAACCCCATAACAGGAGTCTTGGAGACTGCACATTACAGAATTAGCAAAAGGTAAGACTTCATGCGCCATAATTCTGTCCCTGTAATGAGTGCCCCTGTGGGGCTCATTTGGGAGGAAGTGGCCAGAAAAAGCTAGTAGCTTACTTTTTTTTGTTTGCAGATATTGTAACAAACGGTTACTGCTCAGTTTCGCAGAGTCTTTTTCTAACCAGAAGTTCTGTTCTTGTTTGCTCATTTAAGATGTGCTCCTTACCAATTTTGGTGGAGATCTGATACTGCTTTTGGCTTATTCTATGTCATTTTTTTCATCAAAACCTGGCATTTCTTCACTTTTGAAGAATATCTTCCTACAGGGCTATAATTGCCATGTAGAATACTCTGTTCACTACTAATTTGAAGTCTCTGCTTCCTGTGTCTAAAAACCAGAGAGACATTGACTTTCCAAAACTGCATACTGCACATTAAAGGATGAACCATTTCCATATTCCCATTGTGACACAAACTGCTGTTCTGTCTTGCCTAACTCACGAATCCAGATTTGACGTGTTCACGTCAGGCACATTGCTACACTGGACATCTTCCTGCAACTTGCTACAGATTTATGTCTTTTGTGAATCCTAACAGTTGTGGCTGTTTGGATCAATGTTAAATAAATTTCCTTAGTGCCATCAGAATCGCTAAAAGCTGTTGGGTTTTCTCTTTGTTTTGACTTCATCATTATTTCTGTCTTGCTCTTCTGTGGGCTTCACATGGCTCCCTATTGAGGGAATTGATCAACTTTGCAGGCGCTTCAGCTTTTGATCCTCACTTTATATTATATTAGTATCCTGCTCTTTCTTCAAGGAGTTCAGGACGGTACACATGACGGGATCATTCCGTTTAGTCTGTACAGTATCTCTGGAGGTAATGTATGCTCAGGGAGAAGGAATGACCCAAAGTCACCCACTGGGCTTCATGGCTGAGCCTCTGTTTCAGCCTGGATCTTTTGGCTAAAATCCCATTATTTCTTCATTCATTGATTTCGTTTTTATACCACCCAATAGCTGAGGTGCTCTGTAGCCATCATTGGCTCTGGTCAGACACTGTTGTACAGACAACACTTCTGTCTTCATTTGGGGACCTTTTCAGTGTATGTACATGTGGGAGGGGGTATTACTAACCATGGCACTTTACATTAAGTTTGTACCCCCACCTGTCAATTTAAAAAAGACCTGAAGAGAGTAACAAGTTTACACATCACTGCAGTGCACTTTCTAAACATAAATGCCAGTTATTGTTTATGTTATGTTTCAGACAATTTAAATTTGCACATCTTGATAAAAGCATCTCTCATTCGTGTACCAATTCCAGCATTTTTTTAAATAAATGAGATAATAAAGACTAAAAGAACATTTAACTTCTGGATATGGGGAAGTTTTCTGTGAAACTCTGCGCACAAATGGCTTGCATAAACTTTCCATTTGGGGAAGAAAAAGTGAAAGGACAATCTAACCAAATTGAACCAATTGAAATGAATTTGGGAATGCCAGTAGCAGTAGCTACTGTAATCCTTTTAAATATTCCTGCTGATCTGAGCATTACATACCATCCGGACCAATCGGAACCCTTCTAAGTGCCTGTGGCTTGGTCCAGAAGCTTGCTGCTAGAGTAAGCCCTTGTCCTTTCTCTTTTTGTAGCTGAGCCGAGCTACTGTGCATGACCCTCAGACGGGGAAACTGACCACAGCACATTACAGAGTCTCTAAGAGGTAAGGGGACAGTGGTATGTCTGAACTGCTATGGGAGTTCTCTTTGTAGTGGCTTCTGTCAGACTTGGTTTGGGATTCTGTACTTAATTTTCCTCTTCAGCTAATAGGAAGAAAGTATTAAGTAACCTTATCATCTGTTGCCTTGAAAGTCTGGAATGCTTGAAAGGGGTGGAAGCTAACCAAAGCTAAGTGCTTCAAGTATGTGCTTAGGTTTATTTCCCTGACAAGAGTGGGACTTTAATCCCTTTTTGGTGCATGCGAGCACCTCTTTCTCCAGCTGCACAATCATAGTAGAAATAACACATTGAATTATTCCATCTTAAACATTATCCATGTGAACCATGCACTATGAAATCTTCTTGCTTTGCTAATATTACATTCCCTATGTTAATTATAAACACTTCTTAGGAGGCACAGGGTCAACAGGAAGAACATTCTGTGACAATGATAGCTTGAGACCTCTATTTGAGGATCTATTTTGAAATAGTTGGGGACTAAAAATAGTGGTTGTACCTTTCTTATATATGCTTAGAAGTTGCTGTTTACACAGCATTTTGCTTGCTGATTTAAGGGGCTATTTCTAGAAGTTGCTGTCATTACCATGAAAAGAGTTGCCTTTTGTTATTGCTAAAGAGCAGTTAACCTCCTGGATTTCTACTTTTGAAAGGAAAACATCTCACAAGTGAGTTTTATATTTTTAAAATTTCAGATAAGCCTTACTTTTTAAAATCTCAGATAAGCCTAACCTAGTGTTGGGATATTCAGTATGTATAGTACATGTAATATTCTCTTAAAACATTGTATGCCTCCTTGTTGCTGCCACGTATGCATTGTTAACCAGCATTTTGGCACAAGGGCCGAACTGGGTGGTGGTGGTGAAGTCCTGCATTTAATGGCCTTTTAAAACCGCTCACTGTGTAGAGACGCCTCCCAGAATTTCAGGGATTTTAGTTTTAACAAGCACTTTTGAAACTCAGGCAAAAAAAAAAGTTGCCCAGCATCTTTTAACATTTAACAAGTTAATCCTTATGACTACTTCATGTTTTGGCTGTTAGTCATGTAGGAACATGAGTAGTTATGCATGTAGATCTTTCTCCAGCAGCCAATCTCTGCTAGCGGCTTACACTGTACAACCGCGCGTCTCCTGTCCTCTGCTCCTTCTCATGCCGTCTTCTGGCCATTGCAGAGTTTGACTCACTATAGGAAGCATGCACCTGCTTGTAGGCAATTGCCAAATGGGAAATCAAAAGTATGTGAGATAGGCTTTTTGGTTGTTTCATTTAAATCTGTTCTTTTTATTCCACTCTCTGAAAAGCTGCCTACTCTAAGCAGACCCACAGCAATAAAGCGAAATTGTTCGAAATCTAAGTACTAGTGAAGAAGCAGCTTTTTTGCCTCCATGAAAGAGGCTGAAATGATTTCTTGATTTCTAACTAAACCACTCTTACTAAACCACAAATAAAGCCTCGTGTATTTTTAAGGCAAACCTGCTTCCTCTTTCCAGACATTCCATGCAGACTTTCCTAGCTGACATATTTCTGTGTTGCAGCCTGTGTCTGCTTATGAGGGCACTACTGTTCATGCTGAAGTATGTGGCAAGCTATATAAGGTGGCATTTAGCCAGCTGGGAAACTGCGTTCTGAGCCAAGCCATGTGCAATACCTGCATAATTCATCGTGGCTAGCATAACTTTCAGGAAACGGCTGCAAAAGATACATGTTTGTGAGAGCTCAAATTACTTCAGTTTCCTCTGTAGAATAAGAATAATTGAACTGAAATAAAATCTGTTGGCAAATGAGCTTCCTGGAAAAGGAAACCGGAGGTCAGTTGATTCCTCCCACAAAGGATAACATTTATTTATTTAAAATTTTATTATACCATTCTATAGTAAAACCTCTCAGAACACAATCTGCCACTTGATGATGGCTACAAGATTGATGGGAATATGTTGACTGGCAAAGTGAAACAAAGTTTAATTGATTCAGTGCTTTGAGTCAAGCCCAGTTTGCAAATGAGAGGAATATAGAAGAACAATAAAACTGCAACAGAATGCCACAGGTACCATAACAGAGAAACAACATAGTTTAAATATTTTTTAATCTTTTCGCTTATCAAAATAATTCTCAAGGTGGTTTATGGAGGAGTACCATAATTTGCAATGCAATATAAATGGTAGAGTTAAAATAATTTCTGTCGAGATCAAAGGGGCAAAAAGCTATTCTGCCTGAACATTCCTTCCATATCACAAGCTCTGAAATAATGTAACCACACAGCAGACCTCCCTGCCGCTGCCAGAGCAGCTCCACTTAGGTCCTCCCTCTCCAGAAGCAAGATCTGACGCAGGGCTTCCAAATGAATAGCATGAGCGCGGGGTGGGGTGGGGGGATCCATAAAGTGCTTCCCATGATGCACTGGGCCCTACACAAGTAATGGCGAGCACCTTGAATTGAGCCCAGAAACAATTGTCTAACCTGTTCATCTACGCCCAGTTCTTAGCAGGGGAGAGGAAGGAGGTAGAGGGGGTGTGTGCGTGTGTGTGTGTGAGTGCATGTTTTAAGGGATTACTCTAATGGGCCAGTTTCACAACAAATAATGTATTCATTGATACGGCTTACAGCAGCAACTGAACCTCAGTACTGTTGCTGCCAAAACATCATTTGTGTATACACTCACCTGGGATCTTACCCCTGGGTATTCATACATAGGGTTGCATTATAAGTGGGCACATGATATTTTACTGATCTCAGCAGTATTACCTAGAAAAAAAGAATTAGGCTTTTGGTGAAGGAGATCTCTGTTTTAGTCTCGGTAATACTAATGTGTTTGCTGGTGAATAATTGCTTCTTCATCCGCAAGGAATGAAGAAGCAAGAAGGAAGTTTGCTTGGTAGGCACAGCTGATCAGTTATCATGATAATAAAACAACCTACTGGCCTGATCACAGCGTATATGCTAAGCATGGAGTGCGTGTGGCTTATTATGAAACTTGCATTTCTTGCCATAACTTTAATTTCCCTCTTTAAGAAATAAATTGATTGCTCCAGATAGTACTGTGGTGCTAGATTTTAAAAGACTTTTTTCATAGAATAATTTGTTGCCTGGCTGGTTTGTTTCTTATACTAACAGTTGCTCTAAGTCTGAATCTGTGCCTAAGCTTTTCTATTTACGAACAACCTATTTTTGGTCAAATATAAAGCTGTATTTTCTCCATACCCTCTGAGATTCTGTAACCTGTGTTGGGTCATAGCTTACTGCTTTTAATTAGAGATCGGCTGTAATCTTTCTGAAAGGAATAGAGGACAAGGTGCAACTTTGAGCCTTCCAAACAGCAGATTTATCGTGTGTTTCTCCAACAGATTTGTAGCCATGGATGATGATCGAGAATCAGATTGGTTAACCGCTAGCTTTTGGCTATTCCTTCATTGTGGCTGTTCCTTCATTTTTAAGTGTATAGTTCATGGCATGTGGCCATTAGTGTTGCTGGAACTGCTGGCTACAAAGCAGAACGGACATTTTCAACAATTCAGTGGTCACCCCTACATTTCCGGTAGAGCTCCTGCCTTTAATAGATGTATGGCAGGCATTATCTGAAAAGTTCCAGCTTCCCATGCTGAGAAACAATTACTTCTAATCCATCAGGGAAAAATGTGGTAATCCTAGAAATCAAAAAGAAAAATGAAGTGGGCAAAGGTGCACATCCAAGCTATATATAGAGAAAATGCAGGTTGAAACAGAAAAGGCCAAAGGTAGAGTAAGATTGTTTTAAAAAAGAGAGAAGGCTCTGTTTCCATCAGAAGGAGTTAAGCCTTGGGTTAGGAGGAGAGACAAACTCTTCCTCTGTTCTCCAGTTTCTGGTATGAATAGTGATGATCACTTCCCCTCATTTAAATTAATGCTTCTTCTGGGCACTGTTTTTTAACTTGGGAGTGGCTCTTGTGCTTCCTGCTTTAAGAGTCCATCCTGTCATTCCAGTTCCTTGTAAAAAAATGTCTGGTTTTTGAGTGAACTGAGTGCTTGTAAAATGGACATGGTCCAAACTGTTATTTACAAGTAATCCTACTAGCAACCTGGTAAAATGGACGCATGCAGGGCATACATCCAAGTAGCTGTATCCATGAACAACAAAAAATAATGGGAAAATATTTCCTGGCACCTGGCATAATTAGTATCGCCTTGTTAAAAGTCACTAGGAACTTAGGTGCACACATCTAATGTAGGATTAAGTTGATTCATCCTCTGAAATAGTTCTGAAATTGACAAGTAATGTTGCAGTACTATGGATGTAATGCTGGCCATCTATACTTAAATAAAGGCATTTATTCAGTTGTTGATGTGCACCAGCCAGAGGACTACAGGTGTTCCTTATGAGTGGAGTTAAGCTAAGCATATTTTCCTGTAGAATTTTTAGTCCATTTATGAATTGGTTTCTTATTAGTGTTGAAACATAATTCTCGGAGCATGTTTTTCAAGTATGCGAATCTCATTTCGTGTTTAGTGCCTGGCTGTCTGGATATGAAAGCCCTGTCGTGTCGCGTATTAATACAAGGATACAGGACCTAACGGGACTGGATGTTTCCACAGCAGAGGAGCTCCAGGTAGGCAAGTAGATGCAAAGAAACACAGGTACCCATCCATGCTCACTTCGCCTTGAAAGGATCAAAATGCCCACGGCCCATTTTTCCAGGAGTCTTTGAGTAATAAAACTCTTGCTTTCATCAACACAGGCCCTACTGCAGTGGTGCTTACTGAATGGCCTGGGGGGCACTGGGGTTAGGTGCAGTGCAACTCTCTGCCTCACCCTGAGAGTTGGGGAGAGGGGGGTGTTTGTTTTTACAATAGCTGATCACCGGCAGAAGATGCTCTCTAGTTTTCCTTTGTCCTTTGCTTCAGTTGGCAGGATGGAAGCTGCATTCAGAAGCTGAGTCAGAACACCTGCCCCACATCAGCTGTATGGTGGCAGGAGTGGGGTTGTAGTTAGCTGTAGGGGTGGGGGAACCTGAGAGGCAAAGAGCAGTGTCTTTGGCTTGCTTCAGGGGCATAAAGTGCAGAGGCTGGGAGCAGAAAGAAAAAGAATCCCTGGCAGAGAAAGAGAAACTTGGCCCTGCAAGAGGAGGTCACAGCATGCTTTCAGTGACGTGGAAAAGATCCATATCAATACAAGGACCAAGCAAGAGTCTTGGAATTTACCTGCCTGGTGACTCAGTGACAGACCGATGAGGCCTTGTTTGGATGATGCAAGGGAGAAGACAGAAAAGGCCTCCAGTGAGTCCAGCGTCCAGCCTTGCTCTTTGACTGGGGAGCCATCCCAGTGGTCCAGGAGCGGCCTCAAAGTAGCCAACTGACAGTGCCTGGAGTTCAACTGGCTAGTGCCTGAAAAAAAATTATTTCCCTAATCTCATTCTGGTTTCCATTTTTAAGGGAAGTTTTTATCACTGATACATACACATACTTGTACACACTCCTTTTAATATGCTATATACATTGTATTTTCATTATTTCATTAGGTATTGAGCTCCTTCTTGGGCTGTTCTGTTGTTATGTGCCATCAGGTCATCTCCGACTTATGGCCGGCCTATGGATGAAAGCCCTCCAAATTGTCCTATCCATGACAGTCCTTCTCAGCTCTTGTAAACTGAAGCCTTGTGGCTTCCTTTATGGAGCCCATCCATCTCATGTTTGGCCTTCTATTTCTTCTTCTGCCTTCAACTTTCCCTAGCACGATGGTCTTTTACAGGAAGTTTTTCCTTCGCTTAGGCTGCTCTACTGTAGATCTTCCATAAGCATATCAGTTGTAGAAAGGAGGAAGGATCCCATGCCCCTAGCTAGCATCTGGGCTGCATAGAACAACGTGGGTACTCCACATATGATAAAGCAGGCGACAGAGCTCCAGCCTCAGCGCTCTGGATCCCCTTTCCCTCTCACAGCCAGCATAGAAATAGCCACCCCAGCGGCCTCTGTAGCCTTCTTCCCCTCGAGAGCATCTGGCCATCCAGCCAAACAGCAGAAATCACCTGTGCTACTGCTCTCGCTCTGTAGCAGATGCGCATGATGCCCTGAATTCAGCATCTTGCCAACATCAATGGTGCAATCAGTGAGATTATGCCCTATGATTTATAATTCATTCATTCATTTGCTTCTTTCTTGACCTTGAATTGTTATGCATTTTGTTAACTTTATCTCAGAAAAAAGCATTTCAAAAGAAAGAAGTCTGCAGGAGTCTCATTTCAACCCATTTTCAATTTTGCCTTTTTTTGGGGTAGCTCATCGTAACTTGACATTGTAATTTGGTAGATCAGCATAATGGGGAGAATTTGGGTGTGGGTTTTCATGCATGTTTACTCCGGGTTGCTTTTGGAAACCTGGGGAAGGGGGGCTGGTGGAGCAGGCAAATGACAGGCAGGGAAAGGGTTAGCCATATATCTGCAGCATTGCTGCTTCATTCTAAAACCCACTCTTTCCAATTGGCTTTTCATTTAAAATAAAACAAACAGTTATATGTTTATAAAAATAAAGCAGTGCTATGTCTTGTATGAAGAAGCAAAAGTCCTCTCTCATTCATCCCAGAGTGTAGGACACGGAACAATAAACTTAAACTACAGTACACCAGGTGCACGTTAGGCACAAGGAAGAATTTCGTGACTGCGAGAGCGCTAGAGCAGTGGAACCAGCTGCCAAGAGAGAGTGCGTGCTCTTCCATGCTGTTGCTGTTGCCAGTCGCGAAGTCGTGTCCGACCCCTTGCAACTTCACGGACAACATTCCTCCAGGCCTTTTTGTCCTCCACCATCCCCTGGAGTCCACTTAAACTCACAACTTAAATGTTGCTTAACTTTATTCCGTTTTTGCAAGATGAGTCACTTAGCTGTGGTTAAAGAGAGCATGATTCCATCTTTGTAAGTCCCAGTACATCATTCTAGGCATAATCCACGAAGATATCAGCTTATTTACTATCAATTAGTGAAAGGCCACTGTAGCTATTAAGCTGATAATTTCTCCCTTATCATGGCTGGTTTATTGGATATTTGTGCTTCTTCCTCTGCTATAGGTGGCCAACTACGGTGTAGGAGGCCAGTACGAGCCTCATTTTGATTTTGGAAGGGTAAGTCTTTCTCTGCCCTGCCTTTGTGCTTCACATGTGCTGTGTTTCTTTCTTCCAGGTAGCAAATTATGGAGTGGGAGGACAATATGAGCCCCACTATGACTTTGCTCGGGCAAGTAGAGATGGGTGAAGCAAGATCTTCCAAAGCCTAGGCCTTTTAGCCTGTGGCACAAATGTTTAATGTCTGTGCTAAATTTGGACTGTCGAGTCTTCTAATTGGTTTGAATGGATCAAGTCCGCTAAACCACCATCTGAACAATAAAATATAGAACATAATAAGAAAGACCAAAATACTACAGAGAAATGCTGTTATGGGAAAGAAAGCAATGAAGGGTATTGCTCTGTAGAAATTGTGTTGCAGAAAATTAAGTCTAGTAGATTAGGGATGATGGTAAAACAACCTCATGTCATACTGTCTGTGATGCACATGCAACCAGTGGGGGAGCTTTTGTTTTGATGTGAATGCAGTTAGGTGGGATTGGATATTTATAGGGTCCAGATTGCTGAAACTTGAAGTGGTTATACCTTGTTTTAAGATACTGCACAGATCAGTGGAAATTAATGAACTTAAAATTTAAGATACCTGTTAGTTTTACTCCATGCTACTGTATTTTATTCTTTTACTCCATCTTCAAGCGAAGCTGCCAAGATTAAGGGATCTAAATGCAGATGGTGGTTTACTGGGCATTTATGTATGAAGTAACACCTTCAGTTAACTTTTTCCTTTGAACTAGGTTCAACAAAAATTATTTTAAAATTCTTGGATTAATACATTTTAGATTCTTCTCTCACTATCTAATTGGTGTCTAAATTATTTATTAACATTTTGTCTTCATTCATGAATTTAATTTTTCAAAAATAATTTTTACAGCACAATCTAGGCATGTTTATGCAATCCTATGAAGCAGGTTCCACAGTGTTAAATGGGCCATCCTTGTATGAATAAAGCACTGCATCCTAATTGTACTAAAATAGTATTGTATTTGCTTAATTCCATTGATATGCTGACTACTAACAAAAGTTCATAGAATAGCACATAATAAAAGAGAACTGATGTGTTATTTATTTATTAATTTATATCCCACCTTTGTTGTTTTACAAAGAACTTAAAGCACCTTGCATCATTCTTCTCTAGCTGCTATCAATCTTATCCCCATCACAACACAATCTTATCCTCACCACTGTGAGGTAGGTTGGGCTGAGAGCCTGTGTCTGGCCCAAAGTAATCCAGTTGGCTTGGTGGCTGAACAGGCACTAGAACACAGATTGCCCGAGTCCCAGTCCTGCACTCTTAACTACTTCAACCATACATTCTAAATCCACCGTAAAACCCCAGCAGTGAATTAAATAAGTGTCATTAATAAATGTAATAAAACTCACAATAGCATCAGAAACTTCAGCAAAAGGATTCAAGATATGAATTAAAAGATACAATTCTCAGGAAAGTAGAAAGGTCATTATATACTGTTGAAAAAGCTAGGATGAGTATCAGATTATAACCTGGGTGCCATCACTATGCAGGCCTCTACCTTGGTAGCCATCAGTTCACTTTGTATAGCAGGAGAATCCAGGGAACTGCTTACAAAGATCTGTGGATCTTGGTAGATCTTTTGCATAGCCTGCTCTCCAAGTCATTCACAGCTTAAACAGTGCTTTGAATTAGTCCTAAATATCAGGCTAGAAACTAGTGCAGTATTCAGTCCTATCATCTGTAGGGAGAAGCATTGAAGACTTCCCAAGTGTATACATGTGAAAGCAATTAGGGTTGACCAGTGGTAAACCGTTTCTGCTGTAATGTTAGGGATGGAAAGCATTTTGCTAGCATTCACATAGCTAATTTTAGCTGCCAGCTATATTTTAAACATTGGGTTGGGCAGGATGGTGCCCAGTTTAGTGCAAGTGCTTTTTAGATGTGGGGGAGAGTGTTTGAAGGGAACTCTTGAGTGCTAGGAGCTTGTTCTGCCTAAGAAGAGAATTTGTACTCAAGAGCAATACTTGATTTTTGATGTCTGTTGGGTTTCATGGGTTTTTTTGAGAGAGGCCCCAGAAGACCCAAGTCCACAGAGCCACTTACTGTATTTTAGTAATAACAGTGGTGTGCCAGACTGGGAACAGTCGAATAGTGATATCAAGTCAGTTCATCAACAATAATGTCTGTACAATCCGGATCTCATTTCTGCCAGATCATTCCATGTATCCAGGCAAATTCATGAAAATTAATCAAAACTGAAAATTTAGGTGGAAGACAAAGCAAGTAGTTGCATGAATATCCAAGCAATAGCAAAATAATCTCTAATAAACAGGGTAGTCACTGAGACTTCACTGCACTGACTTCATGCATGCATGCTCTCTCTCTCTTAACTTCCCTGAAAAGAATGAGGGTTTTGAGCTATGGCACGTTTCGAACCAAAATGTTCAACTAGACCTGATACCAAACCAGGTCATTTTATCAATAAGTAATGTCTGGGTAGGACTCAGAACAAGAGAAGCATGCTTAAGAACTGTGTTACTTAAAAAACTCACATATTGAATAACTAATTATTTCAATGAATGGCATTCACTTATACTTGATTTGTTTCATATAACTTGTACTAATTCTTCCTTCTGTTTCATTAATTCTGAAAATAATTTTGTTTGTAAATGTTTGTCTTAGCATTAAAGCTTGTATACCAGAGATATTTCACTTGCATAGTAATACTTTTATGTTTTGAAACACAGAAAGATGAGCCAGATGCCTTTAAAGAACTTGGAACAGGCAACCGAATCGCTACATGGCTATTCTATGTAAGTAAGAGACCCTGATGCCAAAATTCAAAAGTGTTCATATTAGTAGGAGAGAGAATTGGGATGACTGAAAACTCTCCTAGCTTGTATTATGGCACCATGGGACCGCTGAGGATTGTTCTTAAATTACATTGATACAAAAAAGTGAAAAGTTTCTGAAGAACCTTTCCCAGAATATTTCATAATTTGCATTGTGAGGATTGCAACATGGGTAACGAATCTTTTAAATAAATGAAATGTTTGTCCTTAGATATATTTAAATATCCTCTAAGAAAGTAAGGAGAGTCCTGTTTGCGGTGGACTGCCCAGAGAGCTTCAGCTACAGGCGGTACCGAAATGGAATGAATGAACGAAGACCATCCTGGCCCATCTTCCTCTTTGCGCCGTGGCAGCAGCCCCCTCCTGCTTTTGCGCCCAGCAACCGATATTCAGGGGCATATTTTCTTGGGAGAGAAACATAAAGCGCCCATGACTGGCTGCCATTGGTCGTCTTCTCATCCATGAATCTGTCTAATCCCCTTTTACAGGCATCATTTAACATAAGACAGATACCATTTTCCCTCCCTTTTATCCGTCCTAAATCTCCCATAATTTAGCATCATTGGATGACTCTAGGATCTAGTATGGCAGTGCCAAAGGGAATGAGTCTCCCTATCCACTATCCATGCACGCTTTTCCAAGCTAAAAGCCCCCGTATTGCTTCACTCATTCAGACATTTTAGTTCGTTTTTACTGTACCATTTCCCACTTTCCATTGTTTATTTTGAGGGCCAGTGATTGCAGCTGTACCCATGTCACACCATAGACGTTTATAAAGGCACCGTCCCAGCAGTTTTACTGTCAGTTTTAGCTGCTCATCATTCTCTTCTAATGATCCTCAACATAGAATTTGCCTTTCTAAATAGCAGCTCCAAACTGAGCTGACATTTTTATTGTGACATTTCCTATAACCTTAAAACCTTTTTCTTGGTCAGTCATTGCCAGCTCAGCCCATATCAGCATGTACATGGAGTATGGATTGATTGGTAGATATCGTATATACTTGCCTACTTTGAACTACATTTGCCTTTTTGACATCCATTCACCCAGTTGGAAGAGATCTGTTTTGAGCGACATGCTTTTTGTCTTAGCCAGTCTGCATAATTCGGTATCATCAAGAAAATTTCAGTACTAATCCTTCACTATAGACAATTTGTGAAAAAGTTAAAAAGCAGTTGTACCAATACAGATCCATGAGTGAACCTACTGTTTAAATTATTTCATTGTGAGAATTTCCATTTTCTCCTGTGCTTTTCTGTTTTTTAACCAGTTACCAGTCTATAAGGGACCTTCCCCTCTTGTCTTATGACTGCTAACTTTGGGCAGGAGTCTTTGCTCAGTGACTTGTCATTTTTTAACATTCAAAGAGCTTTTGAACACACCTGTCTCTGTTTACAACTAAAGGCTCTGAAACGGCTAAACCGATCATGATAGAGGTGTTTTAAATAATGCATGGTGTAGAGAAAGGAAAGGAGGAGACATTTTTCTCCATCTTCCATAACACTCAAGCTCAGGTCATCCTGATTGGTGGGATGTTTAGGTCAGATAAGAGGAAGTACCTCTTCACACAACATATAGTTGTGTTCCATATAACTATGGAATTCATTGTCACAAGAAGTGGTGATGGCCCCCAATTTGAATGGGTTTAAAAGGGGATTGGGCCGATTCATGGAGGAGGAAGGCCATCAGTGGCTATTAGCCCTGCTGGCTGTGTTCTGCCTCCTTTACCAGAGGTGGCGTGCCTGCATACAGCAGCTGCTGAGGAGCTTGGGCAGGAGGAGGTCTTGCACCCATCCTGCTTGAAGGATCCTGTGGGCAGCTGGTTTGCCACAAGGTGCATGGAGTACTGGACTGACTGCAGCCTTTGGTCTTTTCTTATGTTCAGTCTATACTGGATAGGTGTCATTCAAACATCCATGGGGTTTCATTTCACATAGGAGACTCCTAAACTTGGAATTGCTGATGCCAGTGACAGTCTAACGTTTCAGCTTCCTGGGGCAAAGCTGGTCAAATTATCTGCATCATTAGAGCAGGTACACCAGTAGAAGCCTGAGAAATCATTATTTCCTTCCCAGCACAGCTACATTGTGATTGAGCCAATAGAATCAGGCAGGATAAATTGAAGAACTTAAGAGGGAGGAGGGAATAGTGGGTGATCAATAATAATCACAGCATGCTGTATGGATGAGTACTTATATTATATACATTATATATCCTGCATGAAGATTGAACTTTAAAAATTCGGTCTGCTTTATTATTCAAAATCTCAATAGCAAAAAATGCAGTTTCTGCATATACCACTCCAGTGACTTTAATATCAAATCAGTGGTGAACACTGTCTGATTTCTTTTCGGCTATACTTAAAGAGAAACTTTGAGGTCATTAGCTGAGGATTGACATATTTTTTTCAGATGAGTGATGTGGCCGCAGGAGGAGCAACAGTATTTCCTGAAGTAGGAGCTAGTGTTTGGCCTAGAAAGGTAAGCACATGTGTGTGTGTTCACTGACTATCTCCGTACTGTCCCTTTCTGCTTAAAAACCTAGTATGCGTGTTCCTAAATTAAAGCTGTTGTGAAATAGTTTAAATCTTTCCAATGAGTAGGGTTCAGCTTATACATATGCCCACTTTTACCGTGTCTAAATTTGCAGGGGGCAGTTCAAACACCACAATGCAGTAGTCCCAGGGTTTGTCAAGCCATAGTTTCTTGTCTAGGGTACTGTGATCTAAGCTTTGACTTCAATCCTGGCTTGCAAGACACAGTCAAACCATGGTTTGCCATGCTGATTTGTTGTACATTTAAAATATATTTTCCTATTTGGATGTAACAAAGAACTGTGGGTTACTAGCCCCAGAAGTACTGCATTAAGGTGTGAGAGGTGGAGATAAGAAACAGGAAGGCACACACGAGAAGCCATGGTTTATTGGACTGAGGTTGTCACAGCTGAAATGGGACTCTTAACAATTTTGCGCCCCTCCCAAAAAAAGCTTGTGCATGGTATGTGCTCTCTTCTTTTCCTACTCAGTGGGTGCATCCAGATGAGGCTTTTATTGTGCTATCAACCTGACTCATTCATGGAATTTTACAGGGACCCAGACGATGCCATCTTTCACTTGTAATCCTCCCATGTTTTCCTTCGCCTTCCATCTTTTTCTAACCACAAATACTTTATTAAGGAGGAAAAGATGTAACTGCACGATTTCTTTTGGTTTGTAATGCTCGAAGACATCCAGTGAAAACACCCAATGCCACCAGATTGAAATTAATTTCCAGTTTATCCAAAGGGAAGTGTAGAATGAGAAGTGCAAGTTGTTTAATTTAAAAAAATTACAGAGACATATTTGGCAGTATGCCTGAGTACTATAAGTCCATGCTGCCTTTCAATACTTCATGGGCCATTTAGTTGATTAGAATTGAATCCTTTTCTTTGAGAACGCTCAGAATTCATTTTTTGAGAAATGTCATTTTAACTTCCTATTGCTAAATTATGAGGTTTAATGTTGTATTTATGACTTAATGAGATTGCACAGTATTAATAATAGCATTGTTAACATATTTGAAGGAGGGCGTAGCCAGTAGAAATCAAACAAACGAGTGGGACGGTGGGTAAAACACTGTTTAATACCTCACCTGGAATGCGTGTCCAGTTCTGGGCACCAAGAGTTAAGAAAGATGCAGAAAAATTAGAAAGGGACTAGAGGAGGGCAACAAAAATGATCTAGAGTTTGAAAGCACTGCCCTATGAGGGGAGACTGGGAGAACTGGGCATGTTCAGCCTTGAGAGGAGAAGACTAAGGGGGGACATGATATCCCTCTAGAAGTACCTCAAAGGCTGTCACAAAGAGGGACAGGATCTCTTCTTGCTGATATCAGAGTGCAGGACATGGAATAATCAATTCAAGTTGCAACAACCCAGATTCAGGAGGGACATCAGGAAGCGTTCCCTCACTGTCAGAGCAATACAACACTGGAACCAGCTGCCTGGAGAGGTGGTGGGCTCTCCCACACTGGAGACATTCAAGAAGAAGCTGGGCAGCCACCTGAGTGGGATGGTGTAACGTGGTTGCTGCAGCATCAGGGGGTTGGACCTGATGGCCTTCATGGCCCCTTCCAGCTCTACTGTTCTATGATTCCATAATACAAAGGTACTTCAGCGCTAAGACAAAAGTAGAAGTGGGGGGAAATCTACTGATAATGTGGTGGAACGCATACATGGCAGTATGCATCTTGTGCGGCAGATGGACGGGTGGCCCATCTTGGGCTGAATGCTAGGTTCCTTCATTAATGAGCCTCACGTTCCCTCATTAACAAGCAGCACAAGGCTTGGAGTAAAGTAAGGGGGCACCAGCAGAACGGACTTGGAGCGCCCCCAGGAGCCCCCAGACGCCTCTGTTTAGTGTCCTAAAGCTCAAGGGCTCAAGCAGTGGTGAGGCAAGCATTGCATGGAGATGTACGGAGACACCCCAGCAGGCAGTGATGAGCAGTGCCTGGGCCGTATTTCTTTGGCTGGCATCTGTAGAAACCAGCTTGGAGTGCACCTTAATAGTTTCCAGGAGTTAAATCCGCGGCAGTCTAATGGGTCGGTGTGCTTTGTATTTCACTAGGGGACAGCTGTGTTTTGGTACAATCTTTTTCCAAGCGGTGAAGGAGACTACAGCACAAGGCATGCTGCCTGCCCAGTACTAGTTGGAAACAAATGGGGTAGGTATGAAATCTGAGATGACCCAGTCATCTTAGTTCTCGCACTTTAAAATAACCTATGGAATTCACTCCCCAAAGAGGTCCGCCTGGCACCGTCGTTACTGGTTTTTCGGCGCCAGGTAAAGACCT